ATTATCTATGTGTTTTAGTTTTACAAGAGAAGTGTGGCACCGTGATGGCAAAAGAATAAGTACCTCAAAAACCACTTATAACTAAGGAAAAAGTTATAAGTCCAGATAAATAAAATGGGTCTTGCAACACCAGGCACAACATGTTTTGCTATTAAAAAAACTAAGGAAAAAGTTTGGAGTATGGATAAGTATTTTAAATATTATTTATTAGTTGTTTTTTGTCATGATTCCCCTCCCCCTTTTTGTTCTTTATTTACTTTTGTTGGAATTTCTTTTTTCTTTTTTTAATTTTGCTTTATGCCTAAAGAAGATTATTTATAATATTTGATTCAATTATCACAAGCAAGCAATATATACTTTTCAGTCAATATATTTTAAGAATATACATGATTTAATTTTTATTGTTGAAAATAACTTTTATATACTTATATCCTAAAAAACGTAAGGTAGTAGACAATTAATTATATTGATTCGTATTTAGAATTTTTTTATATATATACTAACACTCCTTAACAAGAAGCATATTAGATAGTTGAACATATTAATTTGTATTTTAAAATACCCTACATGGCTAAGAAGAGCTTGATCAAAGTGGTAACAATATTAGGCCAAGTTAACTACAATCCATGATTAAATCTGTGCATGAGCATGTAGTAATGATTGTTGGGAGAGGTTTGTCTTCCAAAAGTGACCTACCCAATTCGAAGACGGATTAGTTGGAATAATGATTTCGAACACCGGATGCACTATATACCAAAAATGAAAAAACCAATATGACCCTCTTGAATTTGGACTCCGAATGCTTAATATACCAAAAAACAGAAAAACTAAAACATATGACACTGTTAATAGAAAAATAATGATATATTAATATTACTCTAAAATATAGTAAAATCCGCACAATATGCGGGCATAATACTAATAATTTTACAATGCTAAATTTCATTATTGGCTTCCCTTCTTGTTCTCTTCTTCAAACTTAATGGATTCATTAATATTGAGAGATATTTTACAAATTGAAAGAATGTTGCACCATCATTTGCTCCCCGTTTATTTTTTCCTTCACAACCTATTGACATTTGACACCATTTTGGATAGAAAAATGTTGTGTATAACTTTAAAGAATTTTATTGAGAAATTACGATGATAATGTTTCTTCTTTCATAGTTGACGATAGGTTGAAACATATTAATTTAATGTCAACATTAATTTAAATGAAGCTAAAATATAACGAATAATTATATGATAACTAGAGGAAGTAGACGCGCTTACATAAAAAGAAAAAATATAAATTTTTATTATTAAAAATTTTGAGAGTCTCTTAATTGTTCATTACATTTTCTAAGACAAACAAATAAACAAAATTTCAAACAAATTTATCAATGTAAACAAAATTCTTGGTAAATTTAGTGTACATATAAATAATATTTCAACTTTAAATAAAAGCAAAAAAGAATATACACCAACATACTCAATTAATTTCTTCATGACAACTAAAAGAAAATTGCAACAAAAACCAACTCAAAGAACAAAAAAGTATCAAAGATAAAAACTACAATATCATGTCTTTGTAAAGGTTTTTGGCGTCAATTCTTAGAAAATGGATGAAAGCTAAATTTCAGAACAAAAAGAGAATGATGAACAAAACTAATAATTAGTTACCTTCAAGGATTTGGGATAGAGAGATAACAATGTATAAATATCAAGCAAGCTTGGAGTGAAAGAAAAAGAGAGAATGGCTAAACTCTCACTGTCAGTATTATATATCGACCAAATCTATATAGGATACTAAACTCTTAATATTCTTTTTCAACTACAAAATTATTTCTCAATGTTTCATTCATGTATCATTAAATTAAAAAAGAGAAGAAGAAAAGACAATGAGGAATTAAAAATGTTAAGAATAGTTGAAACTTAAAACTGTCATATGACTTATCAAATTCAACTAATAATTTTTTTTTTTTTTGTAATCAAGAACTTCCAAATTCTAACTTCTAATTAAGTCCTTTTATTTTCTTGACCATATTTTATTCTGTTTTTTTTTTTAAACTAACACCCAAACTTCATACACGAAAAAAATAACATCAAAGTTAATGCATAAGAAAAGATAGCTAGAAAATCAACGTTAATTAATGCATAAGGAAGGACTACCAAACCACCAAAACACATTCTGCAATCGATTATCTATTATTATATATATTAAAGGAGAGTTTGTAATCGACAAGTGTCGTTCAGTGAGTTAGTTTAGGAAAATTGTGACACGTGTCGTCTCTACAACTCTCCTTCATTAAAATGTAAAGAAAATATTGTAATTTGGTTGAATAAATTTTTTTACCTTACTCAGTGTCAGAAATAATTACCATATTCTATCATTGCATAATTTAATTGCACGAGAACCATAAATTCTGCTCAAACAAAATCATCATAATTATTAATCTATATAAGAAATTTATCTACACAATCAACTAATTTCAAAACTAATACACTACCAAAATGCGACAAGATGAATTAATCATACTCTTTTCAACAAATTAAATAAGAAATATATTTACAGAATAACCAATCATTAATTAATTATATAATTAATAATTGTATTGTGAATATAATTGTATATAACTCCAACTATCTGGAGCAACTGATATATTGATAGCAATTCTGTTATATTGAGAGTAAACCTTTCTAAAATATCATATTTAGAATATAGGTAGATATCGAGTAAACTACTCAAATGGTCCTTTACATTTACTAAAAAATTTAATTTGGTCTTTTATATTAAAAATTCACTGATTTGGTCTATTACACTCTCTTTTAGACTAATTTAGTAAATTTTACTTTTTTGACATTTACATTTGGTGGTAATTCGGTTGACCATTTCTTGATTAAGTCTAACATGGGTATTTTCGACAATGTCTAATTTTCAAAACTATAAGAAAACAAAAATCGACTTAAATAATATTTATCATATTATATTGATTTATAATTAGTTAAAAAATAAAAATTTAAAATTTTAAAATTCAAAGGAAATCCAAAATATGATTTCTTTTTATATTATCCGGTGGGCCCTATATTAGGGTGTCAAACTAGTCGTGTTTCAGGTTCACGGGTTGGATCTGGCACAAAGCTGAATATTTATGTATAAATTGTTTAACTATACGTGTTAATTATTTGAACCTGAACACGATTTGATAATAACACGGATGACCCGACACGACACGACACGACATGAAATGGCCTGAAAATAATTTAATATATGTGCAATTAACAAAAAAAATATTTTTTGAACAAAGACTAATAAATTTTTGAAAAAAGATAATATGAAATTAAATTTTAAGTACTTATAAGTTATAACTTAAACAATGAGTAGATGTCTACAAACATTAAGTATGCGATTTTTTTTAATTCTTGTGAATTTAATGGGAAAGAATTAACTAAATAACACATCATAAGCTTGATAGTATGTTTAGAATTAACTAATAGCACATATAATTTAGATGATATGAGTATATATATAGGGTTTAGATAGTATGTTTATAATATTTACCCAATAAGCCTTCAAATTACTTATTTTGAATTTCCAGTCAAACGAGTCAGTAAGGGTCATTAAAAAAATTAAAATAAAAAGGAATAAATTAGTGTAAAAAATAAATGTATTGGACCAAATTAGTGATTTTTTAACGTAAATGACCAAATTAATTTTTTTTGGCAAATATAAAAGACCATTTGAGCAGTCTATTCTACTTGTTCTGATTATCTCTTCCTTTTTCTTTCTTTTCCCTCTTTTTCATTATTAAGGATTAAAAATATTTCCCGACACTAATTAATATAACATTTCATTAAATTTCCATTTGAAAAAAAAAAATCACAGTAAGAGGCAGTAAACCATCATAAGCAAACCCTCACATCGACATGACATGATAAATATAGATTTGAAATTGGGAGAACATGTTTACCGTAATAAGTTTCCAAGTGTATTCCTTTTTGAATTAAAAAATTATGATCTTATCCCTTTTAGAAAAAATAAATCGCAAATAACAAATTACGCGGTTATTAATCATTATTCATTGATAATTTGAAATACCATAAATATTTTTTAAAAACCGTGCAACGCAGGGTAACAGTACCGGTTATATATAAAGTTGATGATTAGGATTGTAACTTTGCTAAAGTTAAATTATGAATTAAATTACATCATTTTCTATCAAGAGTTGTTTTATAATTTTATAAGGTTTTAATTTTATGAATTCACCTTCGAATTTGTTGGTAATAAAATAATAAAGAGAACAAAGATGAATAAACATAATAACAAGCAAAAGTTGGTTTAATTCAATATTTTAAAAAAATTAAGTTTACATAAACCTGCATATAATAAAATTTTAATCCTTAAAGGAAAGAAAAACAATTTGGAGAAAACTTTATATATTTCTCTAAAAGTAATAATAATGGTTTTGTAGGTTTTTTTTGAAAATTTTTTTTACTACTTTGTCAGTAATTAGACAAATATTTTTCTGGTTGGAATCAATAGTGTGCACGTATTTATTTAATTAACAATTTTAATTTTAAATTTTAAAGATTATATGCTGATCTGGTTCCTATAAATACACGCAAGAAGAAGTCTCTTCAACGGCGAAGTTGTCTACAAGTTACAGAAAAAGAGTCTACTTTTGCCTCCAAAATCGAATTCCTCCGACCTCTTCCCGGCCGACGACCTCGCCTTTTACCGCTGCATAGAGCTTTTTAGTCCGAGAACTCCGACGTTGCCCACTTTTATTATAGTCTAATTCACCGGTAGTAAGTGCCGTTCGTGTACTTCTTCCTCCAGCTCAAATTTCCCATCGGATTTACAAATCACAAACAGTTTCAGACTTCCTGGCAATGCCCTGCTAATTTTCTATTGCGAATTTAACTGGTGATCAATTTTAGTTGGTGGGTTTTGGTCAGAGTTTGTAATTACTTCTTTGTGTGTCGCTTTGTTTGAATTGAAACATCAGTGAATGTGAATTATGGCTGCTGACCCTGAGAAAGGTAGAATGCTTCAATTTGCACCTTTTCATAGCCAAATTGATGAGGGTTTCTGGCATAAGTTGTCCTCTTTGAAGCTCAACAAGTTGGGCATCGATGACTCTCCAATTCCCATCACTGGTATGATGCTTTATCTTCTCTGCATTGGATTCTTTTAGCATTGCTTTCGATGCCTTAAAGTTGACTCGTTTTTGTATTTGTTCCTTGATCAATACAAGAAAGATTTACTCTTTGTATCCTAGAAGCTAATGAGGTCGTCTTTAGCTTATTAGGATTCATGTTGAACAGTAATTATGCCTTAACGTGGAAGATATAAGCTAGCATTAATATGGACTAATTACCATCATCCGGTCCACATTAATCCTTTGGACTTTTGAGCACTTGAGGTTCTATTTACTTCTTACCTTCAGTTCGGTACTTCATAATTCATAATCAATATGTCTATGCATAGATCCATTCGAGAAAAAGTTCGTGTTTATGTATGTTTGCGTAAAGAACTGTATTGCAGGTCTTTGCTGATATAGGAACTGTATAAAAAATTGCAATGCGACTGTTCGTATTTACATGCAATCTAGGTTCTGATATGACACATCTGTAAGCCAGGTTTAGTGGTTTTGATCTTTGTTTCATCATTCCAGGCTTTTATGCACCTTGTTCACACGATAAAGTTTCAAATCACCTGACTCTTCTTGCTGAGTCATTACCTTCTGAAGTACCTGCGGATTCGTCCGTAATCGCATTGAACAATGGAAATAGGAATAGATGTCCTGTCCCTGGCATACTTTACAATGCAAATACAGTGGAGGACTTCAAAAATATTGACAGACAAAGCTTGCTCCAGGCTGAAGCTAAGAAGGTAGTTTTACTTGGTGAAACTTATAACTATCTATCGATTCCAAGTGCGGAAAATTTACTGTTCTCGAACTTCTTGAGCACACCAAAATTTAATGTATAAAATAGTTGCTGTAGTAAAAAAGTTTATACTTTCCAATTTTTATCAGATATGGGATGATATTCACTCTGGTAAAGTAGAGGAGAACAGCTCTTTGCTTTTGAGGTTTATGGTTATATCATTTGCGGAGCTGAAGAATTGGCGTTTCAGTTATTTGTTTGCTTTCCCCACTATGGTTCTTGATCCTCCGGCAATGTTGGTCAGTTTGAAGCCAGCTTCACAATGCCTTAGCTCAGAACAGGTTATATAAGATTTCCAACCACCTCCTATCCTCTAGTTCTACCAACTTGCATGCTTTAAAGTTGTTATATTTTTTAAAGCTGTTGTTCTCAAACAGGCTGAGTCTCTGTCTAAAGCATGTAATGAGTGGCGTACTCTGAGCTCGACTACAGGTGTAGCTTCTCTCAATACTCCCTTTCTTTTCATGTCTATAATATGTATAGTATCTGAGCTTGGATACACTACTAATTCAATTATATGCAGGTCTGCCATTCTTTCTTGTATGTATTGCTTCGAACTCTATTGTTAGCATTAGACAACTAGCGGATTGGGAAGCCTGCCAGCGTGATTGTGATAAGGTTTGTTCAGATGCCTATATGTCGAAATTTCTGATACTGAACGAGCATCATTCTAATACACATTTTTCTTTCTTTTGTTTTTTTTTTTTTTGAATAATATTTTGAAGAAATGTTTTCTGCACATCTCAAATCTATAGTTAACTTGTTTGTTTTATCATGGTTATTTGCATTATTTCAGCATAGTGTGATGAAGTTGCCTTTGGTAGTAATATGACAGGATTGTTGTTTCATTCAGTTTTAATGTGGCCACTTCTTGCAGGTTTTGTTTGGTTTTTATGATCCTTGTCACCTACCCAATAATCCTGGCTGGCCACTCCGAAATTATCTTGCATATGTTTGTACAAGATGGGGGCTTGAGAAGATTGATTTTCTGTGCTACCGTGAGAGGCGTGGTGTTATGGATTTAGGGTTGTCTCTCATCGGTGAAGTTGTAGTATCTGTTTCACAAGGTAGAACAGAAGCTATGTTTTTCCTAACAATAATAAGGTTTCTTTTTCAACTTTCCACATATTCTGCCTTCTGGAATTGCTTTATTTAAAAACCATGTTGGTGTAGGATGGAAATCTCGTGAACATCTGCCTAATGTTTTGGGATGGGAACAGTATCACGGGAAGACTAGACAGTCCGTCAGCCTTGCTAAGTCCATGGATCCAAAAAGGTAAGGTGTAGAGTTCCTTCTTAGTAAGAAAATGTAGATGTTGTCTGTTTAACTTCTAAAAATTCGGGCGTTTTGGGGGTATGATTTTCAGTTTAGCCGTATCTGCTGCGGATTTGAACTTAAAGCTTATGAAATGGCGTGCCCTGCCCTCCCTTAACCTCAGTAGCATATCTTCTACTCGATGTCTTCTGCTAGGAGCTGGTACACTTGGATGTCAAGTTGCTCGGATGCTTATGGTGAGTGCTTTCTTAGAAAGAATTTCTTATAGAAGTTTATGATTGTTGATTAATGATAAAATTCTATGAATTTCATTTCCTTACATAAAGCCCATCCTTTCTGCAGGCATGGGGAGTCCGTAAAATTACAATGGTCGATAGTGGGAGGGTTGCCATGTCAAATCCAATCAGGCAGTCCCTTTACACATTTGATGACTCCATGAATGGTGGTACATTTAAGGCCAATGCAGCAGTTCAAAGCCTAGAGCGTATTTTCCATGCAGTGGTGATTATTTGTTGATAATAATGACCTAGTGAGTTCCAAGTTGATCTCTTTGGCTCAAAGAATATTTTCCCTCTCCCTTTCAGGAAGCAGAAGGCATTGTCATGGCTATTCCAATGCCAGGGCATCCAGTGACTATTCATGAGGAGCAAAATGTACTGAAGGATTGCAAACAGCTGCAGGAATTAGTGGAACGCCATGATGCAATTTTCTTATTAACGGATACAAGGGAAAGTCGGTGGCTACCTACCCTACTTTGTTCTAGTGCAAATAAGGTTTCTGCTTTATTCACTTTTTGTCTTCAAGTACATTTTGGAATCATTCCATGGTGCCAGCTACATAGATTGCTTAACTTCGTTATTGATTATTCTTTACTCTGCAGATTACTATCACTGCAGGTCTAGGGTTCGAGAGCTTTGTAGTCATGCGGCATGGAGTTGGCCCAGTGAACATTGGTGAAGGTTCAAATGCTGTGAGCTTGTCGACTGAACTTGGTAATCTTTCAATTTCAAACAAAGAGAGCAGACAGAGACTAGGATGCTATTTCTGTAGTGACGTGGTCGCACCAATTGATGTAAGTAGTGTAATGACTAATCTGGTTAATTACTACTTATGTCATTCAAGTTTTCAAATAATCATTCTGTCCCCTTTCAGTCAACTGCAAACCGTACCTTGGATCAGCAATGCACGGTTACTCGTCCGGGACTCGCTCCTATTGCATCATCCCTTGCGGTTGAGTTATTAGTCGGAATCTTACAACATCCTTTGGGGTAAGTGTTCTTTCCATCATGTGGATGTGATGACTGTTGACTAACCGGATCAATTATATCTTTACTCTACTTTGATGCCACATATTCTTACCAATGAACTTAATGCAGGATATCTGCAGATGCTGAATTCTCAATTGATTATACGAAAGAAGGGAGTCCCCTCGGTATCGTGCCCCATCAAATTCGAGGTTCCCTTTCCAATTTTTCTCAGACAACACTTGTTGGTCATGCTTCTAGTTGCTGCACTGCTTGTAGCAGAACTGTAAGTTTCAGACTTCTAGTTAGTTGACTTTACAAAATCTTCTTACTTTCATCAAATTGTTGATCATCTGCTCAAATGTCATCATGGTTTGAAGTTGTTGCAGCATCTATGTTAGTTATTATTTTTTTTTTTAAATTTTTTTATTTTGCCCATAAATCTCTTTGAGCTTGTTTTAATGTTGTCTGGATTCGACTTTTTCCAGGTAGTTGAAGAATATCAGAAGAGAGGATTGGATTTCGTCCTTGAAGCTATCAATAATCCTATGTATCTGGAAGACCTAACTGGACTAACAGAGTTGAAGAACTCATCTAACACATTTGATTTGGATTGGGACGTTGATAGTGGTGATGGCAATGATGATTTTCTTGAGATATAAATCATCCACTGTAAATGTTTTTTTTTTTTTGTAAATTAACATTAATTTATTCCAGTTATGCAAAATTATTCCTGTGTCCTGACCCAAATTTCTCTTTTTGCATCGTTTTTGGTGTTTATATCAATTTTCAGTTTTATGGGAAACCTTCAACTCTACAGTTGCACAATATAATTGCGATAAAACAGACTGAAATTCATATTTTTACCTTTAATGCAAATTATATTAAGAAAAAAATCTAGACTAAACAATGATTTTGGAATAATGCCACGAAAGAATATCAAATTATTAAATAGTTTGGATTTTTGTTTTAGTATAAATTAACTAAAAGAAAAAATCTAATATGAACAATGATTTTGGGACAGAGGGATATATCTTTATGATGAGTATATTGTACTAGTTTATTTTTAAAATTATTATTTTGAAATAATAATAAACTCTTTTTTTGGAGGGGGGGGGGGTAAAATAAGAATTGGCATTCTATTACTCTTCTATTTTTATTATTTTTGTGGGGTTAATTTATTTATAAATAGAAGTGATGAATGGCAAATCATTCAAATCCTATTTTCTTAGCAACTTTTATTATCCTGATGGAATTCTCTATTGAAAATTTTTTTTGTTTTCTAAAATTTTGAGTTTTTCTTTTCATATGGAAAAATGATTAATTTTTTTTAATTTTATTTTTGCGAATATTAATAAGACATTACAATATACAGAAGTTAATTAAATTGAAAAAAAAAAACAATATACAGAAGTTAATTAAATTGGAAAAAACAAAGAATATAATTATTAGTCAAACGAGTAGGTCCCAACGCTGTCCCAAAATTCATTTCAAACCCCTGCTGTTCTTCTGTAAGAGCAAGTGTGAATTTTCAAATCACTCTAATTTTGTCAGATCTTGAATCGGCAATGTTCCTGGGCTTCACCTCCAAACCCCAGCTCTGATCCATCAAATTCCACAATCCAGGTGAAAATTAACTCCAATTTTCCTCGTTCATTTACTGTCCTGATTCGCCATTCTCAGTTCCTTGAATTCGTCATCTGCATTGTTAATTTCGTCGGAGTAAATCGCACTTTTTTTTTTTTTTTTTTTGCAGGCGTTGAAGGAGTTTATTCGACAGAAATTCAAAAAATGCAGCGTGCGCCAGCTACAATTGAGGAACAGTTAATTGTTAAAGCAATTAAAGAGGAGTGCCCATGGGATAATCTCCCTAAGAGACTTCAAGCCACTTTGAATTCTAAGGAGGAGTGGCACAGAAGGTACTTTTTATTTCAATAATCTTTCCTCCTGCTGTTTAATTGAAGTTTTTATTTGGATTTCTAACAATTTGATCGTTTTTCTTGATGAAGGGTAATTGATCATTGCATAAAGAAAAGACTGGTATGGAACACTTGTTTTGCTCGAAAAGTCTGTAAAGAAAGTGAATACTATGAAGCAATGATGAGCTACCTAAGAAGGAATCTCGCGGTTAGTATTGTTCAATTTATTCTTCTTCAGTTGTTTGCGATACAATTCAGGGGAAGATGATGGTCTAGTTTTCATTTACATATCTTAATGTAGTGATGCAATATAAGCTAAGATTCTTATCTCATTTATCAGTTTATAAACAATCTTTACATTCCCAATGCAACATTGTAACCCATGCCGTTATTAGTATGGACTCATTATAAACTAAAACTTAGTGGTTTCAGTGGATAAGCAGTGTCGGTAAGAAGACATTTTCAGCTGTTAGGGTGTCTTGTTGGAAGGGCCTTTATTACTTAGGTTGAGTCTCGAAACTATAACTTGCTCATGTTTCTTTTGCAGTTGTTTCCTTATCACCTTTCAGAGTATGTTTGTCGCGTGATGAGGCTTTCACCTTTCAGATACTACTGTGAGATGATATTTGAAGTCATGAAAAATGGTATTACTTGTTGCATTCCTATTTCAATGTTCTAAGATTGTTCTAACTTTTTATTTTGAATCTTGGTAATTTCCCATTTATCATTGTCACATTGGAGATACTTTTCATTTTCATCTTCAAGTACTTCCAACATATGTTTTCATAATCATAGCCTGCTTTTGTAGCTTGTTAAATACGTATATGCTAATATTTGATAATTAAATGTTGGGTTGAAGGTCATATACTATCAGATCATGCTTTATGATTTATGCACTACAATCCCAGCTAAAATTTATGTGTTTAAGGGAACTTTTTTCATGGTATTGTTATAGCAATTTTTTCTGTATTTAATGATGGTCATTTCACTTTTAGCCAAGATAAATTACAAATTGCTTAAACTGAAGGAAGCTTCAAGGCCAATCTATAATTTGAAGGGAAGAATTCAATTACACATCATGAATTTTCCTGGACACTGCTCAATCTTTCCTTCTTACCTTTCTCTTCACTGTTTTCTTGATAAGCTATAATGCTTTCGTGCTTGATGCTTTCAAAAATGTTCTTGAGCTATGTCTTTCTTGATTCTCAGAAAATAGTTTAACTTACTCTGTTCTCACTGTTCTTGTCTGCAGAACAACCGTATGATAGCATTCCTAATTTCAGTGCTGCAGATGCTTTGCGACTTACTGGTATTGGAAGGAATGAATTTATTGACATTATGAACAAGTGCAGATCTAAGGTAATTCTTCAATGTTGTTTATGTTTGGTATTGTGTAATGCTAAGAGAAAGGTGCTGAATTTATGAAAATAACAGCAAAGAATGATGCTTAAGTTTCTATGTTGTGGATGCATGGAAAATTTAGGGAGGTTTTAGCAATCGAATTTGTTCTTGAAACTTTTGGATAATTGCAGAAGATCATGTGGAAGCTGAACAAGTCAATAGCAAAGGAATTATTGCCTAATCAGCCTGTAGACTTCACCATTGAACCTTGGTGGGGAGTTTGTCTTGTCAACTTTACTTTGGAGGAATTTAAGGTTTGCTTGCCTTCTGCATCTATTACTAACTGGAGCTAAATTAAAAATATTTGCTCATGTTTTCGAATATCTGTTGATTGACGAGATTTGCTCTTCTTAACCATTGTAGAAACTTTCAGAAGAAGAGATGGCAACCATTGATAAAATTTGTAAGGAGGAAGTAAATTCGTTTATCCTTTTCGATCCTGAAATTGTGAAGGGACTTTACCGCAGGGGACTTGTTTACTTTGATGTTCCTGTCTATCCAGATGATCGCTTCAAAGGTAATAAGCACCCCTTACTCTACTACGTCCTAGATGTTTGCCTCTATGGATAATCTATTTTATTTTGGTCAAACAAACTCAAGGAAATGGACAACTCTTCATCGGGGAGAGAAGTTTTTAAATTGATACTTCTAAGAAAGATGTGATGCCCAGCCTATGCCTTGATTTAATTAAATGTTGTGGAGCTATGACTTACCTTTTTCTCAGTTATCTTTGGCCTGTATTGAGAGAAAGACCTCAATACTAATAAGTAATAAATGTCTTGATGTTCCCAAACTAATCTTGAAAGTAGATTTTTTGGAAGAAGTCTTTGGGGATTGGATGAGGATTTTCATCTCGGTCATCAACTGTAGTGAGTTTGTGTCAGATGCAGACATGAAATGTTGAGTAGTCTGTGGGAGGATGATTATCTTTTAATAATACTGGATAGAAAGGAATGGAATTTCCTTTCTCTTTCACACAGTTCTAAAGCAAAGTAGTTTACTGGCATGTAACTGTTTAGTGACTAATACTGGAAACTTAATGGGACTACTAGTTTCATCTACCTGAATTCCAAAACTGTGCACGAGAATTCCTTGCTGCACATAGTTTTTTGCTAAAAAATCAGAAATAGCTGATATGGCCATATGCTTCTTTCTCAATTGGTATGATATATAAGTAGTTGCAGAACCAATCAACTTAGTTATTCTACATCATCTACGAATCATCTGTTTATCTCTTTTTTGCTCATTTTTTAAATCGAATACATCTCCCACCCATTCTAATGGATATATCTTGATGGAACTAGCTTATGCTTGCCACGAAATAGCAAATTTTATACACTCTTCTATTGGAATTGTTTCTTACCACTTTAAGATTTTAAGGGTTGATTTATATACAGTGTTTCAGTTTCCAGGCTTGAAGGATTTGTTTCAAATAGAGAACAATCCTATGAAGATCCCATTGAAGAGTGAGGAACTTGTTATTTGAGATCCTTTTACTTCAACTCAATGCTAAACGGAGGATTCTGATTTCTTGTCATTGTTTTCCAGGCTGCTGTATGCTGTTTTTGTGGTCTCAAATGAGAATTCAACTGTCTCGGAGTTGGCTACAACCTTGCAGGCTGATCTTGGTCAGCTGCAAGCTGCTGCATCTTTCGTTTGCCGATTGGGATGGGCAGAAAAGTTAATAGATCCAGCATCTATTCTTCAGGATTCAAATGTAACTGGTTCCCCGAAAAGCCTTCTTAGTGATGAAGATGATGCCTCTCATGCTAGTATGGGCTCAGCAAATATGCCGAATGATGGAAATGCTCTTTCACAAGGAGATGCTTTATGGACAGAGAACTCTGCACCAGCTTATGGTTATTCTCGTGTTGCGTTTGTTGTAGATGCTAATATTACATCCTACTTGATGATGGGATCTGTATCACCAGGTTTGTTCATAATATATACTTATTGCTTTCTTTTCCGCAGTTTCCAAAGTAACCTTTGTTGCAATTGCCGGATTCCTGAGCAGGTCTAAAATCTCATGCTGTAACATTATATGAAGCTGGAAAACTTGGCCATGATAGCATTATGGATCTTTGTAAAGATTTGAGTACATTAGAGGGTGCAAAGTTTGAAGGAGAGCTTCAGGAATTTGCAAATCACGCATTCAGCCTGCGGTGTGTCTTGGAATGTCTAACCTCAGGCGGGGTCATCTCCGATGAAAGAGACAAAGTTGAAATATCATCTGTCAATAATGAGACTGCTTCGTTGGTTACTGAAACATCCTTTTCCCATGAATCAGGAGATTCTGGTTCAAGAGAATATGAATCAAGTTCTGATGGTCCAACTAGTTTAAATGTACAGATAGAGGAATCTGAGTCTGGAGAGCATACAACTGAAAAAGTGGGTAACGACATGTCTTCTGCTACCTTTACAGAAGGCAGTGATTCTGTTGTCGTGGACTCTGTTTCAGATCTTAGCTCCAAGGGTGATGAGAAAGCAGTACCCATTGAAGGTTTTGATACAGGAAAGGTGATTTCAAAGAAGCAGAGGAAATATCGGGTGGATATTCTTCGCTGTGAAAGTCTTGCTGCTCTTTCTGCAGCAACACTAGATCGTTTGTTTCTTCGTGACTATGATATTGTTGTTTCTATGGTTCCACTTCCACATTCTGCCATTTTGCCTGGAGCAAAAGGACCAGTTCATTTTGGTCCCCCTTGTCATACCTCAATGACTCCTTGGATGAAATTGTTTCTGTACTCTGCTGTTGCTAGTGGGCCTCTATCAGTTATTTTAATGAAAGGTCAATGTTTAAGATTGCTTCCAGCACCATTAGCTGGTTGTGAGAAAGCTCTAGTATGGTCTTGGGATGGATCAAGTGTGGGGGGTTTAGGAGGGAAATTTGAAGGGAATTTAGTTAAAGGTAGTATACTTTTACATTGTTTAAATTCTCTGCTCAAATATTCAGCTGTACTTGTGCAGCCTCTCAGTAAGGATGACCTTGATAAGGATGGAAAAACTGTTACTTTGGATATACCATTGCCCTTGAAGAATTCAGATGGTTCACCAGCCTGCATTGCTGAAGAACTAGGATTGTCTCCAGAGGAGGGTTCTGAATTGAATTCAATGTTGAATGACCTAGCCAAAAAAATAGATCTCCTGACCATTGGTTATATCCGCGTGCTAAGACTATTCAAAGAAAAGGAGGCTGAGAACACTTTCCAAGATGATGAGAAATATGAATGGGTTCCACTAAGTGTAGAATTTGGAGTCCCTCTTTTTAGTCCAAAATTGTGCAACGACATAAGTAAAAGAGTGGTTTCTTCTCAGTTACTTCAGACAGAGTTTCTTTCTGAACATCGGAAAGCTATGCAGAACATGAGGAAGGGTTTACGGGATCTATGTGCTAATTATCAAGCAACAGGTGCAACCGCCAAACTTTTGTACCAGAAAGAACAACCTAAAAATCCGCCTAAACAACTTATGAACTATGCCAGTGGAAGGTGGAATCCACTTGTGGATCCTTCTTCTCCAATTTCCGGGGCCTTAACTGAGCACCAGCGTCTAAAACTTGCAAATCGACAGCGATGTCGGACTGAAGTTCTGAGTTTTGATGGTACCATTTTGAGGTTTGTCTTGCTCCTTTGTTATATCTATTTATGTAGCTATAATATTTTAGTAATTTTTACGAATTTGGTTCAAAATGCAATGAGCTTGACCTTCAGTTGTCGAATATTTGATCTCAGATGACATTTTGCTTTGATATTTGGCAATTAGCAGTGACCTTTACTGGATGATCAAATTTTAATTAAGTTTTCTGGACTTTTTTAAGTAGGTAAAAAAAGCCTATATGAACGACATTCAGCATAAATCAAAATTTGAGTGATAAGTTGTGTGTTAATGTACAATTTGTCCTTGCCTAAATTGGTTACAACTTTGTTATCATAATGGAGAACATGGTGCTTTAGCTTCCCTGGAGAAAAAATGGAGAAATTCAAATGAAAATTGGCTCTTAGTAGTCCGTATTTGTGTAAATATGGATCTGAATAAGGTAGGTAGTTCAATGTAGTGCCTTGTGTCTTTTCATGTGTTGGCCAGTAAGATGCTCGAACTTTAAAAGCTTACTAGTGGGATAAGCTCCATCTGCCCAACATGATCAAAATGAATAGAAGAAAAAGACGCTATAGAGCGCTGAGTCTCAGAGTAGAATCAAATTGTTTTATTCAGTGGTTTTAAGCCTTTGCTTTGTCGGTTTTGCAGATCCTATGCTCTGACTCCTGTTTATGAAGCTGCTACTAGACCCGATGAAGAATCCACAGCTATGATTACTACAAAAACTGAATCAGATGAAGCTGACAGTAGAGAAGTAGTTCTCCCAGGTGTAAATCTTCTTTTTGATGGATCTGAGCTGCGCCCCTTTGAAATAGGTGCTTGCCTGCAGGCTCGCCAACCTGTCTCCTTGATAGCGGAAGCCTCGGCAGCATCTGCTGGTTCTGCAGTTAGATAATGTGTCAAATGTATGTTTTCAAGTTATTATAGGTTTCAAGTGCTCCTCCTATGAAGTTTCCAGGGAAGTTTTGAAATGGTTCTCTGTTATGGATCTTCCGCTGAGACCGTAACATTTCGCCTATGGCATTGCACAAGGTAATGAAGATGTTAATAGTATATATATAGAGGTCTTTTCTCCACGAACAGACCTTATTTTCGCAATCTTCTTTAAGATGGATTGCTAATAATTTAGGACATTTGTGGCCACTGGCTACCCGTTGAGTCTGGTTCAAAATTCCAATTTGCTGAATTTTTCCTGATTCCTTTTGCAGGTTCACTGCTGATATTTCTGTCTGCATTAGTGGATTATATTTTACTGAAGATACAAGAAACGATTAGATTTAGTGACCATAAAAATGCGTACCTACAGAGACATGGACTTTGTTGATTCGTAGGGTAGTTGTTTTATATACGTTTTCTGCAGATACAGATGGATGTGAATTGGTGCCATTCATGTTGTAAAGGTTCATCACTTGTTTTTTTCGTAGATAAGAAAAAAGAAGGAATTTTTTTAATGTCGCAATACAATTGCAGATACAGATGGATAAGAAAAAAGAAGGAATTTCTTCCAAAGTATGGAAGTATCTCTAATTCTGGCAAATACCATTGCAGAAAACTACAGGAACCCACATTATTTAATGTCGCAATACAAGATTCTAATAATCAAACTACCATATTTTGTTAATGCAAGATGATTATTAGAAGGAATGTTCTGAAGAATCCTCATCTCCGATCCATTTTATCGTATTTTGATAGGTAGGTCCCTGAAAGTGAAAAGGGCAGTTGGGATATTTCCATTTTCCAGCATAAAAAAATAGGCCTCCGTTCACTTGTCAAAACCTCAAAGCAACAACTCAATACTCACGTCTCTCCGTTCACGTGGCAGACACCAAAAAAAAGGCTCTACCCTTTTACCGTCACTTCCTTCCAAGCCACTCTCGAAAGGCTAAAAACACACACAGTCACTCAGTAACAGTTTTGTGAAGTTGATTGTTCTGGGTTGAGGCTTCGTTCATTCGATTTTTCTCACGTGTTTGGCAATTCGTTGTTGATGCTGTAAAGGAGGAAGAACTTAAAGAGATGGTAAAGAATATGATGATGCTTTCTTCGCATTCTGCTACGCCCATTCCCTTATATTCCACCCGCCATTTCCTTTCTCCATTTCATGTTTCCTCCACCATGGGGTAACCCTTTACACCTCTGCGTCCTGTTTTGCTGTTTTTTCTTTTTGCTATTTTATTTTCTTATTGTCCATAAAGGAAGTTCCTTGATGAAGATTCTCATTGTTTCTTGTTTGTTTGTGATTGAGCATTGACAGTTTGAATTGTTGTAAAAGAGGATCAGGGGAAAATTCTGTCCACAGATTGCTCAGATTGTTCAGTAAGGTAAAAAAGACTGAAATAATATCTTGGTTTCAACTTGATGAATGTTGCATTGGCATGTTTATAATAATCTCGAACTCTTGGCTTAGGTCAGATAAGGGAATATGGCAAGCTTAGAATTCCTACTGTATTTGCACGTAGAGGGCAAGAACAGACTTTGATTCAGGTATTTGTTCTGCTGTTTACTTGTTTTATCTTCTGTTCTTTCTTGAAGTGTATATTTTGCTATGGTTTTATGCTTTATCCTGAGGCTGTTCTCTATTTTTATTTTGTCATTTTAGAAGATTGACTGATGTTATTTTTTTTGTGTATATTCCAATTAGGAAGAAGCTCCAATGACAGAGGTCATTTCTCCATTGAAACTTTCCCCAGGTCAGGCACACCCATTAGGAGTTTCGGTACTTGAAAGTGGTGTGAATTTTGCCATTTTTTCCCAACATGCCACTGCAGTCACCCTTTGCTTACAACTGTCTCAGAGGTTGGGTTGAGTTCCTTCCATTTTTTTTATTAGTTTATCACTGTTCTGCATTATCAGTTGATGTTGGTAAGAAGTTACTTAAACAATTCTAGTCAGGTCCTGTATACCAATATTGAGCGAGCACGATGGTGACATAGGATTCATACAGCCGGCCCCATGTAGTGGGATAAAGACTTGCTGCTTTTTCATATATTCAAATAATTTAGCATTTGAAGTTTTTAGAATACCCCTTTAGCTGTTTTTGACATCCTACAACTTATGGATGGAGCTTATATCAATCTTTTATAACTAGATAGGAGAATGTAACAACATTTTTTATTGATAATCCATTTCCTCCATCACTATCAGATGACTGACTCTTAATTGGACTCTCTAATAAGCTAGACTAAAATGTACCTATCTGTCCTCTCTCTTATTTTTCTTATTAATGGATGTCCTCGCTTGCATTAGTTTCACTATTTGCAAACACATAAGCTCGGCTTCTAATCTCATTTATATATCTCAATATACTGAGTTTTTCTTAACTTTCTATTTTTTTCCTTTTATGATCAATCAGTTGGGAACAGACAAATCATGGAGAGATGGTAGAATTAAACCTGGATGCTAAATTAAATCGAACAGGAGATATATGGCACATATGTGTTGAGGTAATCTTATAATCTCTTTGACAGTTCTTCAACTTTTGAAACCAGAGATTCACTGCACATGTTGGAGACAAATACTTGTTTTGGGTGTTTGAGCCTATAATTGTGAGAGGTTTAACTACTGGGTGCACATTTTCTAATTTTAGGACCTCGGTCCATCTCTCTCCCTAACAATAAGTCTTATTTTATGGACTTGCATTTTGGACTGTAAACTAAATAGAAGAAACTCGGGGAAAAGAGACCAAAAATGCTTCTGAAGAAGATAACTCCAATCGTAGGAAAGTCGGACTTCATTCTTTGACTATCTTTAAACCGATATCTAATATATCCTCGAACATTGAACATGCTAATTGCTCTTGTCATGACTGATTACTGCCTCTAATGGAGTACTTTGGTTCCTCAAGTTTTGCCTTTGCATTAAGGCTTTTTGTACTTTTAGCTATTATTATTATTCTTTTCCAACTTATATAGTGCATACCATGGCACGATCTTCTTTATCTTGTACTTATGGCATAGTCCTGTTAACTGGCATGGTCAGATTCTCCAATCTGTGCCATGCATATATGTCAGCTAAAAAAAAAAAAAAGTGAGATGATTTACGTATTGTTCCAGGTTACTAGAGTTCTTAGTTTTATTTCTCGTGAAAGTGCTTGCACCAAAATCTGCTGCATGTGTTTATCTCGGCCTTTTTCCCCCTTTCCTCGTGTGTTTCTTGGCTAATTTGTCATTTGATACTACTTCATTTGTTCTTTTGTGTATGTAGGATCTGCCTCATTGTGGCGTCCTTTATGGTTATAAAATTGATGGTCCTCAAGATTGGAGTCAAGGACACAGATTTGACAAAAGCAATATGCTGATTGATCCTTATGCTAAGTTAGTTGAAGGTCGACGAGTGTTTGCAGATGTTGACCATAAAAGGGCCAGATTTTTCGGAACATATGATTTTGATACCTCACCATTTGACTGGGGAGACAACTACAAGTTTCCCAACGTGGCTGAGGTAACTTCAGGCAGTTTACATAAGCAATTTTAGCATGTTTAATTCTACATGAGAAATTGTGCATGCACAGTCAACATTATTATCCATGCCATTTTGAAGCGGGGTGAATTTGGAGTAGTCACTAAATGCAAGGTCATATTCCTTTTATACATATGCTATATGTCTTATCTGTTTCTAAATTGAAGCTGAACGATACATAGTTAACTATGAGCTTGTATTTACTTCTTGTGTGCTGATAATATACAAGAATTCAGTTTTTTAGGGTTAAATGCTGTCTACGGGAGTTCTTTACTGGTATGCCACTCTGTTCTGCAGAAAGATCTTGTGATATATGAAATGAATGTCCGTGCGTTTACGGCTGACGAATCTAGTGGGTTGGATCCAAGCATACGTGGCAGCTACCTTGGAGTAATTGAGAAAGTAAGATGTCCTGCTTTCTGGGAACAAATATTTCCTTGTATCTGAATCATTTTCTTTGTCTTCATGAAGTTGTCATTTCCATGTAGCCTCCCAAGGGCATGCCCTCTTGTCGTCTGCTATTGATTCTTTTAATTGTGCTAGCTCAAACTTAGAGCAGAGTCGCCCCTGCTCCCTGGAGTAGTTGTGTTCATCTGCTTCTTTGAAACTTCTGACCTGTCTGTTAATGTTTATGAATACTTTCTGATTGGTAGTCTCTCTTGTAAGTTGTTACTTTCATTATAGTGATCTTTATTATCTTAACTAACATCTCTCTAACGTGAAGATACCACATCTCCTAGAGCTTGGCATAAATGCTGTGGAGTTGCTTCCTATTTTTGAGTTTGATGAATTGGAGTTCCAAAGGCACCCCAATCCTCGTGATCACATGGTATTGCCTGCCCCTTGTCTTTTCGTTGAATGGAAGTTGAATCTGTTTGTGTAAATCATTTGTCTTCCTTTTGTTTACTGCATCATGTTAAATCAAGAAGTACACTATATAGAAAACCTCTTCTTCACCTTTTGTTCAAACCCTGGTGGAAGCTTGATGATTTGAATTTCCTCTTCTTTTTCTTTTCAGATCAATACGTGGGGTTATTCTACAATAAATTTTTTCGCTCCTATGACTCGCTATGCTAGTGCTGGTGGCGGACCTCTTAATGCTTCTAGGGAGCTAAAAGAAATGGTTAAGGCCTTACATGGAGCTGGAATAGAGGTGTACTTTTCTTTGGATATTGCCTCCAATAATTTACTTGTTCAGTTTACTATTTTTACACTTTTTTTTAATGATTCAATATCCGCATAACCATACTTCAAATTTCTACAGGTGATTTTGGATGTTGTTTATAATCACACAAATGAGGCTGATGACAAGCAACCATACACCACCTCATTTCGTGGCATTGATAACAAGGTGATTGCATGATTTGCTTAATGTAATAGCTTTTTCATGTCAATATCATCATTTGATGATGTTAATTAGTAGAAGCTTATTACACCCTGAAGTTTATACATTAATATTTCATTTTTGCGAATTCATATTACATTTTGAAATTTCTTTATGTAAATTTCATTCACTATGCTTTAAAATCTTTTATGCAATAATATGGATCCTGACAACATTTGCTAATTCTCGCACTTAAGCAACGATCACTATGATTAACACAATTATGTTATCGTTACTTGATTTGGATTCCTATTAGTGTTGCACCCACTATGATTGTGTTTAGTTTTGCGTACTTTTTCTGTCAGCCATAAAACTTAATATTTGATTCCATTGTGTAACTTGTCTGTATTTATCATTTTTTCTCGTTAATTGTCCTTGTGAAACTGTTTTAGGTCTACTATATGGTGGATTTGAACAATGGAGGACAGCTACTGAACTTTTCAGGATGTGGTAAATCCCTTTTGCAATGATAGAACTTCACATTTTCATGACGATTAGATAATGACTAGCCATGTTGTCGTTGACATCTAGGGAATACATTGAACTGTAACCATCCTGTTGTCATGGAGCTTATACTGGACAGCTTAAGGCATTGGTACAACTATTTTTCCTGTTCTAGGATTTTATATTTTTGTATTAATGTTCAAAGTTTTTGTTACTTTCCTTTCATTGCATATATTTTGGAATTCTTATGTTTTTCTTTGGTTCCTGGTGAAGGGTCACTGAATATCATGTCGATGGATTTAGATTTGATCTAGCCAGCGTCCTTTGCCGAGGAGTTGATGGTTCTCCACTTAGTGCACCGCCACTTATTCGGGTAATCGTCCTATACATCTGGCAACATTTCATAATAGAGCTGCTATTTGATGTCACTGAAGAACAATGTAGTTCTAATTATGTTCAAATACACCTTTACTTTTGACACTCTATTATTGGTTTTTTTTTTTTTTTCAAGCATCTTTCTGGTGTCTATTTTTTTCTATACTATTCTTTTTCATTTTATTCATTGTAATCGAAGCTTTATAGTTCCATTTCTTTCTTATCTGTTAAATTATTGATTCCAAATCGATCTCTCAATGAGCTGGTTATCAGTGTAGAAAGTTTTAATTCAGTGACTGAAATTTGTCTGATTATCGAGAAATAATGTTGTGCATCTACCAAGATATAAGATCTTGTATTTACATTTTTGCACAAACTTACAAGATCACTTTTCCAAATGAACAGCCAATGGATGCCCTATTACACATTTTACATTCATTCCTCTTGTTACATTCTCTCATTATGTGGCTAAACTTTTGTGGTTAGTGTCTACATGCCATTGGTATTCAGTTGCAGTTTAAGTTTTAATGCTAAGGGCTCACCTTTTTTCGGTTTATTTCAAGTGTAGATAAGGTTTGTTTTAAGAAAACAGTAGCGTACAGATTTAATTAAGAAAGATAGGACCTTTGAAACAAAGAAATGAATTATCATTTGAAGTAACTATACTCAAAAGTGATATTGATCCCATGTATATCACTAGATATTAGGAAATCTATTAACTGACTGAAATGTGGAATAGAAAGAAAATAGTGAACCAAAGTGCAGTAGGTGATCCAAACTGGAATTTCTGTGTAAATATGATGGAAATTTTTGAGATTAGATATCATTCTTATGTTCTATTCTATAGCCAAATTTCTGGAATGCTATAGATGGCATGCTTTAGTTTTAACTTCTGAAAGCAGGTATTTGTTGAATGCAGGCAATCGCTAAAGATAGCATCCTGTCAAGGTGTAAGATTATTGCTGAACCTTGGGATTGTGGGGGTCTTTATCTTGTTGGCAGCTTTCCAAATTGGGATAGGTATTCTACTATCCTTCATCTCTTTTTAGTACTCTTGCCCCAGCTAAGCGAACTTGTTCATATCATTACCATGTTGGTACGAAATTATTACCTGAAATTTTGTTTCTGGGTTGGTGATGTTCAGGGTCTTAACTGGACATTATCTCGTATGATGATTTTCTACATCATGCTTAGGATTTCTTAGTTTGACACTATGAGTTGTCTGATTCGGACTACTTAGAGCTTCTGATTTAGCCTATTGAAACCAATTATGTATATCTTTGAACTTAAAATAAAGTTGGACTTGATCGTAACAGTCACTTCTATTAGCTTGAATCTATATTCAATGAAAATTTTTTAACCATCTGGTCGCATCTGTTCACAATATAGTTATCCATTTAACTTGCTTCTGCAATTATAAACTAGACTGAGCTTGATCATGTTGACATTGTGCTGAACAGGTGGGCTGAATGGAACGGGAAATATCGTGACGACATTAGGAGATTTATAAAGGTGATTAAGTTACATTTCGAGTTGTTCGTATGGAGGCCAAAATAAAGGAAAAGCGGTTCTTAACAAAAATTCTTTTGTTTCAGCAGAGTGTACAAATGTTCTTATTCTTATATGTTTGAATAATAATGCTCTAGGGTGATGCTGGAATGAAAGGCAGTTTTGCAACTCGAGTGGCAGGTTCTGCAGATCTTTACAAAGTATGTATTGTAATTTTTGCTGTATTTTTCTAAAAAAAATCTGAGCTTTCTTTCTGCTTCTGAGATTTCCATTTACTACTGGATGTCAGTAAAGGAAAGTATGCAAAAAGACACTAGCCATTGATTCAAAATAGAAACAAAAGATAAAATTATTATTACGGACATAAACTGAGTTAAATTTATTTTCACTTCTCTGAATGACCAAATAGCGAGGTTTGTTCCTCTGTTCTGAACTTAAGATGATTACTTTATTTCGTTGCTGGTGGACTTCAGGTTTTAAAAGCCCTAAACCCATGAAACCTCTTTTCATGTTGTATGTCCTAGAAATTTTTTCTGTTTGTTCCTCCCTATGCTGTGAACTTATTTTCTGATTTCTGTAGGTCAATAAGCGCAGACCTTATCACAGTATCAATTTTGTTATAGCACATGATGGGTTCACACTTTATGATCTTGTTTCATATAACACTAAGGTATGTGTAATTAATTGAGTGGTTTTGTTTACTTATCTTTACCAAACGGTCTAAAACTATATCCTTGATTCTAAAATGGCAGCATAATGATGCTAATGGAGAAGGTGGCAATGATGGAAGTAATGATAATTTCAGCTGGAATTGTGGAGCCGAAGGTGCCACTTGCTTCCTGATTCTTGTCTATAGGAAAATGTTTGTTTAATGTTCTCCTATTATTTTGTAGTGTTACTCATTGATAGCTCTGTGCAGGAGAAACCTCGGACCCGAAAATCCAGGCACTTCGATCCCGTCAAATGAAAAATTTCCATATGGCGCTGATGGTATCACAGGTAATTCTACCTGCTAGCTGATGTATTTATCTTTTCTCAACTCTTTTGTTTCCACAGTCTAAAGACCAGCATGAAGATTTATGCTTTTCTCTCAGATCCAATTTTCTGATGTCTGGGGTGTAAGTTACAGGAGAATATTGTCAATACACAGTTCTTCATCATCACACAGTGATTGGGATTGTTATATCATGTTTTGAAAGTCAACATTTTCTCTTGGATATGATTTCCCTCGGTTTAATAGTTTCAATAAATTTCGTCGTGGTTCATTTATCTGCGATCAATAATCCTGGATATACTGCAGTAGTACGGGCTATCATCTGTTGTGCAATTGAATCGTGACAACTTTTGTTAACTTTGAACTGAAAGCATTCAGAGCATAATATCTATTTCATCCTCTACGAACTTTCTGTTGTATATACATTCTTTGGAACTGTTCTCGTTAACCATTGATTTCACATGTTCAATTACTTCATTTGTTGAAGAATGTTTGTTGAATATGCTGTGGGTTCTTGAATTTTCTTTCTGTAGCTACTCGAATCTTCTTAGTTTGATTTGCAGTATTGTTTCTTCATATACTAATATCACTTCTAGCCTGGCTCTAATTGTCACAGTGAACTGCACATAATGATGTTAATGACGTTGTACTTCTTTGGTACATATTATCAGGGGGTGCCAATGATGCTCATGGGGGATGAATATGGACATACTCGCTATGGGAACAACAATAGTTATGGGCATGATACCGCCCTCAACAACTTCCAGTGGGCACAAGTATATTCCAAATTTTCTTCATCTTCGCCTCAAATTATGTGGAGAATTATTTTTAAGAAAACATCAACTCTTTATGTAACAGGTGGAGGAGAAGAATGATCACTTCAGGTTCTTTGCTGAGTTGATAAAATTCCGAAAGGGACATCATATCTTCAAACGAGAACATTTCATAGGCAAGGTATCACTCTTGAATTTTTGGGTGCAACATTAAAGAATCCCCAGTCTTAATTCTGCTTTTTCGCTCTGTCTATTTCACCTGTCCTTATTGGAAATCTAGAAATTTCTAACTCAAAATATATGCTTCTGTTAGGTTCCCATTTCTTAACTTTAATCATCCTATGTCTCTAATTCTGGAGCATGTCTTTAGAATGTTTCAACTCTTCAATGGTTTTCCTTTTCTCATCTAAATTTTTGATACTTTAGAGGGTCAGGGGATTGTTTTCTTAATATTTCACCATTTTAATGTCATTACAAGATTCATTTGAATGGTGGTTTTGCAGAATGATGTGACATGGCATGAGGACAACTGGGGAAATCCAGAGAGCAAATTCCTGGCATTCGCGTAAGAGAACTATCCATTGAAAGACTTGATACTTCTTTAATTCTTGATAACATTCTGTTTGAGTCTAAGTGGGAACTTGGTTTTGATGTTTGAATTGTTTGCTGGATGAAGAAAGCTCTTGTAAGTTTAAGTTTGATCAAATTTAATAAGCTGCTACCCATTTGGCGTGTATTGTTTCCTCTGCTATTATCCCGTGCTCGAGTTCCATTGTAGGTTCTCCCTTTATTATTAGCTTTGTACACCTCTTTACTACATGTTCCTTGCATAGTAGAGTTGTGTTCGGGGATGCTTGCACTTTGTTTCTGTTATTGTTTTATTCCTTCAGAATATATGTTGTCCTGCCTTCAAAATTCATGATTCCAGTAGTTCTGATTGAAACTGATGCCTTCTGCTAGGTTACATGACGAGAATGGAGAAGATATTTACCTAGCATTCAATGCACATGACTTTTATGTGAAGGTTGGGATACCGTCTCCTCCAAAGGGAAGACAATGGTTCAGAGTGGTTAGTTTGCTTTTCTCATTTCATACGAGTTTCAGTGGTGTAGTATAATACATGTTAAGTTTGCCTTTGATTAAACACAAGTTTTCTCTTGAAGTTAGCATGGTTGTTTCTGGTAACCAAAGGCTTCCATGTCGGAGTATGTGGGAGTGCTCAAATTCTGTCTTTTTTTTGCTAAAAGTTGATAAGATCGTTCATATGAAAGCCTTCCATGTTTGACAATCATATGTTGCGAAGCAGCTACTCGAGTGTTTTTGCTATTTCTTCCAATTTCTGGCTTACATTTTACATTTCTGATAAAAGATACTTTCAAAGGTTTCCAAACACAGACACTTGGTTTCTGATATGTGTGAATGATGATCAGTTTCATCTTGATTCCAAGAGTCTTATTCTAACAGTCCCTTCTGTATTAGGGAGAAATTCTGAACCGAAGCATACAGAAAGAATGCCAGTTGCACATCATTTAGTACTTCATGTTTTTCCAATTTTGACAGTTTAATCATGTCAACATGCAGGTAGACACAAACTTGGTCTCACCAGATGACATACTCAGTAAGGGTGTTCCAGGCATCGGGGAGACGTACAATGTTGCACCTTACTCTTCGATTCTCCTTAAAGCGAAGCAATAAATATTTGCCGTGGACAGTTGCTTATGATCATGGTTGCTCGCCAAAAGGAAAGGATGGTTAGGGACATTTTAAGTTGCTCATATATATGAGTTTCCAGAAAACAGTGTGGACAACGTGGTGAATCTTAAATCAAAGAGTACAGAAAGAGGTGATTGACAATGAAGCTCTTTGGAGATGCAGAAATAGAGACACAGGATGGATTCTTTGATGAAATTCACACAAGACAATCCGCATTGGGTGTCGAAAGCATCACTGCATAGTGCATATCGCATGCTTAGGCCAAAATGGAGGATATATAACATCTTACTGTACATATATTCATAACTTTTTCCTCAGTTATTAGATTTTTCAAAATGTAATGGATTTGGTCTATCTCATAAGACATAATAAAATGAAGGTTTCCTCTGTTATCATTATGACCATCGTACTTCTGCATTCTCAAATCTGGGATTTCTAGAAGAATATAGAATAAAGTGATTTTGGTTGATGGAAAAACTTCCACGGTTAGGTTTAGTAAAAATGTTGGTAGGAAAAGGGAAAGAAAGAACCCTTTGGACAAAGCATCCGTGGGCAGTCAACATCATGGACAAAGCAAAACACAAAAGCAAAAGGTGTCCCAAAATTCCAGATCCCTGAAATGAGAGTGGTGGTGGAACACAGTTGTTAGGGAAGGAGAAGAACGACAGCCCTATGGCAAGAAACACTTGGATCACGTGCTAAAAAATTTTGAATAATTGGTAGTGTAAGAAAACCGATTATGTTTACCGCCAAGGAAAAGTAATTTACAGTGCAGAAAAAGAAAGCAATTGATCCTTTTTTTTGGGGGGTTACTTAACGCGGCGGATGATGTTTACCGCCAACAGTTGGCGCGCTTTTCTGTTCCACAAATCAAAAAGACCAAAAGAAGGTGGTAATTAATAAATCTATAATCAATCAATCTGCGAAATGCAGTAAACGCGTGAGAAAACCGATTATGGTAGTAAATTAAAGAACGCGGCAAAGATTCTCGGGTGTCTGTCTGCCTGAGGGTGCACGTAATTTCGAGAAGATTTGACTCAACATCTGATGATCAGTTTGTGTTTCTATCTATCAGCTCTTAATTTTTGACAATGGCATTTGTAAGATGAACATTCAAACGTTTGAAATGTTTTGGACACATATAAATGTGTGCAGTTTACTTGATGTTTGATACACTAAATAAATAGTATTTCATCTGTCTCGTCAGCGAAATTAACATCTGTGTTAAATTGAATTATATTCAGGGGATTAAAACAACACTAATTATTTGGTACATATATAGACCCCCTCATGAACCAATCTTTGAACAAATTATTCCAATCATAACCACTGATTATCGCCATTTTGATATTCCAACCTAAGAGGGCATATCAATAATTTGAGGATTCTGGATTTTTATTTTTCCAAATTCACGATCCCATTGCCTTACACCTGTACTTCACAATTTACAACACGGGTTTTTACGGAATTCAAAAGCTTTTTCTTTTTTAAATCTGGACGATCCCTTGCTATAGTATAATTCGAACAAGATGATTAAAATTGTTCTTGTAGGTGATTTTTGACAATTATAATTGTTGTATGTGGCACCACATTCTATTCGTCCCACACTTTTGTGGGCAAAAAATATGCAGGCCATATTCCACATGGTTGTGGGGGGAACTCATTCTCCTTGCGATCATTGTACTTTGTATTCTCTCCATACAAGCAATTGTGTCTAGAGGCAATGTATACCACTAAAAATAATGACACAAAACTTGAGCTATTCACACATTTTCCCATATGATGATCAACGCTGTGTATATATAAGGCCATAGTTATAATTATGTATATGTAATTGTCCTATACTATATATATATATATATACTTAATGTAACTTAATGTATTAGTACAACAACCCTAAATATTTTTAACACTTTCATGGTATCAGCATTTTTTCTTGGGCCGTCAATTTTTTTTCAGAGTTTTCCGCGGCCGTTCAATTCTTGCTTAAAATGTAGAGCATTATGTTTGCTCGTTTTCACAGAAATTATATATTATCCCCGTCCCACAAAAATAGTCTATATTGAGTTTTCAAATTTGTACGGTATAAAATTCAAAACTCAATGTTAACTATTTTTGTGGGACGGAAGGAGTATAAAAAAAAAAAAAAATACTCGTTCTACTTAATTCTTATAACTCGATTGAATGTATAGCGTAAATTACTGTACTTATCACCAAACCAAGAGGCATAGAGGTAGAAACTTAAGAGCGTAAGCTTTGGTTTGGAGTGCCCTTTAATCACGCCATCATCAACCTCACAATTTGGTTTACGTGTTTTTCTGTAGTTGAAACTCCTCTCAGCCTTAACAGCAAAGGAAAATTACAAATAGAAAAGTAAAAGCTAGCTGTACACAGTAATCAAAAACAACCATTTTATTTCGTGTGTTTACTAAAAATAGAATGCCTCCACATGGCCACATAAACCTTATCAAATTAATCTTCACACGTAATTGCTGCTGCTAATAACGCCACAATATATGCCATCGTTTTTCTAAAAACAAATTTCATTCCATTCTCATGGAAATTAATTGCAGTTGGGAGAATTATAGATTTGAACGCATTTATAGTGTCATTGACATCAATTTATCTTCAGAAATCCGAAAACTAAATGAATTTTATCATATCACATTTAAATTAATTCATGTACGATTAAATTGTATTTCTTTCGAATAACTGTATTTTGTTACTAATGATGAAATACAGCTTCTTCAACTAATATAAAAGAAAATACTAATAATATTATTGCATGCAAACCTTAATTGGAATTTCCTTTTCAAAGAAAAAAAAAATATTAATCAAATCAAGCCTGACCTGTAATTTTCCGTTAGAGTCATTATCAAACTCATTATTATTTTTATGAATAAAATACTCCAAAGAAAAGGAAAAAGAAAAATAAAAGGGGGATTGTCTGTCCCCTCTCTCCCCAACGTGACAATCATAACGGTAACGAGGAATATATTTCTTTTTCTTTCCGCTGCTAGCTATTAATAAATGATCCAACGGTCCTCAGAATCTCACTTCTCGAAACTCGTATCAACGGTTAAGATCACCCGCCTCTATACGCGTACGGCTCAGATCAATTCTCTGACGACAGGAGTAAGCTTAAAACAAACCCTAAAGCCGTGTCCAACTCTTTCTATCACTGTATTCTCCCCCTGCTGCCGAGCTGTCGTTATATGATTAGCTCTCTTTCCTAAATTTTTTATTTTTCCTTTAAAAAAAAAACATTAATTTTCTCGATCATTTTTACTATAAATACCCCCAAAACATACGACGTCTCAAAAACCCCAAGATTTCTATCTTCTTGTCGAGCTGTTTATCACTCTCTCTCTAGAAAAGCTTTCTTCTGGCAAACACAGGAAAATTTTCACTCTTAGTTTCTCTCTCTAGAAAAAAGCTTTTCAAAACTTTGCTTCTCTGTGAAAATGGCTTTCTCTAGAGTTTTCTTGGTTTCCATGGTTTTTGCTCTCGTGATCTGTTCAGCTGTGGCTGCTCAAGCTCCCGGAGCTTCACCAGTCGCTTCTCCCAAGGCATCGCCGGCTGCTGCTCCGGTCGCTTCCCCGCCGAAGTCGGTGTCCGCCCCGACTCACGCGCCTTCCGCCACCGTAAAGCCACCGGCTTCCGCCCCCGGACAATCTCCGCTGTCTTCCCCACCCGCTCCCCCCACCGAGGGTCCCGCCGCCGCCTCCGGCCCTGCCACCGCCCTTCCACCTTCCGGTATCGCCGGCACTCCGACCAACTCTCCTGATGGAAACGGCGCCGTTTTGAACAGAGTCGCATTCGCTGGATCCGCCGGTGCAGCCCTCATTGCTGCCGCCTTCTTGCTTTAAATTCGGGAGTACTAATACTTTTTGGGATCAGATCGACGGAGATTTGTTTTGTATCTTCCTCCACCACCCCCACGTTGATGATGATTTAGTAGGAGTTTAGGAGTTGATGATATTTCATTCCTTCTTTTGTTACATTTGGATGGACCGGAGATTTATTTATATTTTTACAGTTTAGTAACTCAGCCATGGTACGTAGCTAGTTTGCTAGTAGTAGAAAGTAGTAGTTTTTTACATTCACAGAGAGGAATGGTGGGTTAGGAGTGATGATGATGAGTAGTGTCACATTACTTTGATTTTACTTTACCCACAGTTTGGATTTCACTTCATTTTATATATTATTATTTATTTACCATTTATTATGGATTCATTTCTTTCTCTTTTTTGTTTTTTTGGGTTAAGAATTTTGTTTCTTGATGATCTAAATTGTACTCGTTGCTCAAAAGCAATTATGGGATATGAAGAGTCTTAATCGTAAGTTTTTGTGGGGTTTAAGCCAAAACAGGAAAGGAAATCCAAATTGGAAGCTTTTGCTCAGCTGAGGTTTTAAGAGAGATTTTTGGAGCTTTTTGGTTAATGGTAATTTGGTAAGGTGAGAAAGAAAGGGAGAGAGAAATGTATTCACGTGAAGAACAGAGGTTTGTCGGAAGCTTATGGAAGAGAGGGCGGGAGGCCATGTGCCTTTCCACCGTCACACCGCGAAAGCAGGGGCAAAGCTACGGCGTTACAGCTAGCTAGCTGTGGGTTTGTCTTTTTGTGACGGAAAACCAAAAAAAAATAATAATAATAACAGAAAAGTGAAAAAAATTACAAAATAAAAGGGCCTCTGGTATTTGGTAATAGTAGTAACTAGAAAAAAAGTAGTATGTGCTTTCGGCTTGTGATGACGGATGATGTTTATTTTGTTGCGAACCAAAACTAATTCCTCATCTGCAAGGGAATGATGTCTAATGCTAATCGGAAAAACATTAGCCATAATTACGTCATTTTTGTCATGAGAGACACTTTACGCTATATGGTTGTTGCATGAGAAACATATTCAGTAGAGATAAACATTACAATTATTTTTGGACTAAAATGTCCAAATGGTCCCCTTACATTTGGGCCTACTTGAATTTACGTCTCTAACATTAACATTTCAATATCGTATTCCAAACATTATGTTTTCACACTTTTTTGGTCCCATTTCACTATTTACGGCCGTTGACATGCCGGAATCACGGGTATTTTTGTCTTTTAATTTAATTTAAATTTTTATTAAAATTTAAATCATTAAAAATATTTTAAAATTCAAATTTCATTATTTAATTGTTAAAATATTATTTATTAATTAAAAATATGATTGTACAATTTTAAAATGTATCATTATTTTTAAAATTACTTTTTTCAATTACTATTTACTTTAAGTACACAATAACTAGTAATTATGTTGCACTATTAACTTTGGGCACACTATAACTTAAAAAATTTATTAAGTTACAGTAAATAATTCAAAATTCAATTATTTTTTTTTAAAAAAAAAGAAAAAGCAAAACTAAGATTTTTTTACTCTGACTGTTACAGTAAATCTTAAATGGTAATTAATGTTACACTTTTAACCTTGTACCCACTGTAACTTAAAAAATTTATCGAATTACAGTAAATAATTCAAAATTTAATTTTTTTAAAAAAAAAAGAAAAAACAAAACTAAATTTTTTTTACTTTGACCGTTACAGTAAACCCTAAATGGTAATTAATAATACACTTTTAACCTTGGACTCACTGTGGCTTAAAAAAATTTACCGAGTTACAGTAAATAATTTAAAATTTAATTTTTTTAAAAAAAAAGAAAAGGCAAAACCACGATTTTTTTTTTTACTCTGACCGCTATAGTAAACCCTAAATGGTAATTATGTTGTACTTTTAACCTTGGACCCACTATAACTTAAAAATTTACCGAATTATAGTAAATAATTCAAAATTCAATTTTTTTCGAAAAAAAGGAAAAATCAAGATTTCTTTTACTCTGACCGCTATGTTACTTTTTTAACCTTAGACCCACAATAACTTAAAAAATTTACCGAGTTACAGTAATGAATTCAAAATTTAATTTTTTTTAAAAAAAAAACAAACAAAACAAAGTAATTGACTGCTACAGTAAACCCTTATGTTGCACTTTTAACCTTGGATCCAATGTAACTTAAAAAATTTGCCGAATTATAGTAAATAATTCAAAATTCAACTGTAGCGGTCAAAGTAAAAAAAAAATCTTAGTTTTGCTTTTTTCTTTGTTTTTAAAAAATAAAATAAATTTTGAATTATTTACTGTAACTCGGTAAATATTTTAAGTTATAGTGGGTCCAAAGTTAAAAGTGTAACAGAATTACCATTTAGGGTTTACTGTAGCGTTCAGAGTAAAAAAAATAGTTTTACTTTTTCTTTTTTTTAAAGAAATTGAATTTTGAATTATTTACTGTAACTCGGTAAATTTTTTAAGTTACAGTGGGTCCAAAGTTAAAAGTACAACATAATTACTCTTTACTTTGGCCTAAGATAAATGATAAATGAAAAAATTAAGTTTGAAAATAATGTAAATTTTAAAATTTTATAATAATATTTTTAATTTATAATAATATTTTAACAATTAAATAATGAAGTCTGAATATTTTTAATGATTTAAATTTTAATTGAAATTCAAATTAAATTAAAAGACCAAAATACCCATGATTCCGGCATGTCAACGACCGGAAACAGTGAAACGGGACTGAAAAAGTGTGAAAACATAATGTTTGGGACTACAATATTGAAATGTTAATGTTAGGGACGTAAATTCAAGTAGGCCCAAATGTAAGGGACCATTTGGACATTTTATTCTTATTTTTGAAACGTTGAAACGCATGTATGATAATCACTTTAGTGTTTAGAATTATTCAGGTACTGTATACGTTGACAATAGCGGAACCAGCTACTTGGACTTAGAGGGGTTAACTACATAATAATGATCAAGATAGACGGTAAAATATATATATATATATATATATGACATAAGGTTAATCGTGATTAGGACATGTTCACCAAAAGGTATCAATTGCATGGCAAAAGTTATTCCTTCAATTAAGGACCCTTCTATAGTAAGACAGCTATCTAAGAACTAGCTAGTTGATCTAGCAAATTTTTTATTTCCCGCTTTGTTATCACAAAACATTTTAAAGGCTTTCCAATTACTCTTGCCCCCAAGAAAAAAGAAAAGTTCAATTTTTCTTTCTTTAAAAACAAAAAAATTAAAATCTCAAAATTGGAGTACTTATGATACTTACATCAACCTTTTTTTTATTATTATTTTTATATTTTTTGGAGGGGATATATCATCGAAATATTTATGATACAATTGATAAGTAGATATGATACTCTTATGTTAAATTTTTCATAGTGAGTTTCCAATTTAAAAGATTAATCCTTCTAACTTATAGGTTTTAGTTTTTCTAATTGGACTACTTTCGGGACATAAAGAGTATTGTTTTACTTAATTTCGATAATAATGAATTAATAACATGAGGTGACAGAATTATAATACTTCTCCTTCTCATTAAAATAGTCCAAATTATAGATTTTATTTTGAAATATTTTTAGTATAATTTATAACTTGTAATGTAGAATTTTTCCTTTTTTTTTTTTTGATAAAAGGAGTAATAGTAATGATTTTTATAAATACATCAAAAAGTTACTTTGGGATACGTGCCTTTCATCTTTTCTATCTTCCCTGTAAGAGGGAATTCCCCATTTTGGGCTTATAGGAAGCCACTGGGCTTAAATGGAAGAATTCTTCTAAAGACCCAAATTCGCATTTGGTTCAGCCCATTTTTCCTAATTCTTACTTTTGACATTGATAAATGGTCCCTTACATTTATCCGAATTTTAATTTTGGTCCCCTACATCAACATGTATATAGATTGAGCCTTTACATTTCATTTTGAAACTTTTTTGGTCTCTTTTCACTGTTCCGTCACCATTTCCGTCTTGATAACCGTTGACCCTACCAAGTTAGGGGTATTTTCGGAATGACACATATAAGATCAAAATAACAAATGTTTAAATGGTCCCTTACATTTTTTCGAATTTAAATTTTGGTCCCCTCCATCAACATGTATATAGATTGAGCCTTTACATTTCATTTTGAAATTTTTTTGGTCTCTTTTCACTGTTCCGTCACTATTTCCGTCTTGATGACCGTTGACCCTACCAAGTAAGGGGTATTTTTTGAATGACACATATAAGATCAAAATAACAAATGTTTTTATAATAAAATATTAAAAATTATTATTTTATAATAATTAATTAAATAATGTAAAAATAAAAAAATTAAAATGATTTCAAATTTCAAATTTATTACAACACAGACTCAGTACAACAAATACAGTGAAAAGATGGCAGGAGAAAAAGAAAAAAAGACAAAAAAAAAAAACGGAAATGGAGGAAATAAATGAGAAATATGAAGCACTGCCTCTGTCCTGGCGAAAAGAGTAAAAAACTGAAACTTTATACGAAGCCAAGAATTAAACTTCAAGAAAGAACCAACTTAGACAGAACAGCTCCAAGAGTGAATAACAAAGCCGTGAATGGAGTCAAGCTCCGGCGGAAGAGGGAGTAGTACTGGTGGTCGTCCTCGGAATTAGTGTTGCCGGAGGGGAATCAGCGGCGGGGGTTTCAGGTGTACCGGAGCCTGGAGCTGCTGCCTCCGTTTCCGGCCAGTGCAGGAGCGGCGGTGGATCCTCCGGGTGCTGCTGCTCCTCCGGCGGGTGCCACGGTGACGGATAACCTCATCCCTAGACTGCAGTGTCCGGGTATTCCGCAGATGAAGTAATGTGTTCCGGCGGTTTTGAGAGTGATTGTGGTGGGGCCGTTGTTGTCAGTTGAGATGGGATTCGCCGGATCGCATGAGTTGTAGTCACTTGAGCTTACTTCATCCACTGTATGGCTTCCACCAACATAATTGAACGCTGCGAAAAAAATTCAAAAGGATCATCAAACTTCATTCCTCTGTTTTTTTGAACAGCCATTTCCATTCCCCTGTTTTTCACCACCAAAATTACAGAGGGTTAATGTACAATTTAATAAAGAGATTAAAGAATTTTACAAAGTTTGTCTCCAACTTTGAAGCTCTTCCCTGATGCCCAGTCGGCATAATTTATTCCCGAAGCCCAACCATTAGAATCTCCAACTACGTACATAACTGCAAGACTTGGAACAGCAGCAAGAGCAATCAAAGCAAAGCAAAAGAGGAACTTGGCATTGAAGTTTGCCATTGGGATATGAAAAGGGGAAAGGAGGAATTTTGATCAAGAAGGATGATGATAAAATGAACAATGGTGTGTATTTAAGAAAAGGGGTTCTTGATCTATTTGAAGAATGATGAAAAGATTGGGATGATGAGGGTTTGTTTATATAATAATGATGGAAAAGGAAATGGAGTCGTTCGGCTTAATCTTTTATTATTATGTGCCGAGCGTGGATCTTTTTTTTTTCTCCATACTACTCAGAGCTGACCTTCATTCAATTGGACATTTTACCTACTTCTCCTAGAGTTTTTCCTACCTTCTAGTTCTAGTTCACATAATTCATGGTTTTGACGTATCAAAAATGCGACCAATAGTAATCAAAGGCGTTCCAGTACTTAAAAAAATGTTAATATTTAAGTCCCATGTGATAAGCTGCTTTGAATGCTATTGCTAATGGGCTTGAATCAAATGCCGCTGTAAAATTGTACAACCGTTAAAGTTATTGCTTTTATGACTGATTAATCATGAATTCGTAACAAGAAACAGATAAAGATTGCATACAAACGTAAACTAAAAATGAAAACCTGAATAATAATTATGAGAAAGAAGGAATAAGAAAAAACATGGAAAAATTGTCAAACCTTAAAAAATTACCAATGGCTCTTACTTTCCGTTTTGCTGATTATAGTGTTAGAAACTTTAGAATGTTCAAAGGAACAATACGAATAAAGAAATCCTAAAATTGGTGAGTATAAATTTAATATAAAATAAAATATCAGAAAGGAAGAACGATTCCCCTGCTTTCATCATTGGAATGAGAAATAAGGAAGAAAGTAACAGATAAATTATTTTTATTATCTTATGATACTTACATCATCCTTTTTTTTTATTACTTTTATATTTTTTGGAAGGGATATGTCATCGAAATATTTATGATACAATTGATAAGTAGATATGATACTCTTATGTTCAATTTTTCATATTTAATTTCCAATTTAAAAGATTAATCCTTCTAATTTATAGATTTTAGTTTTTCTAATTAGACTACTGTCGGGACATAAGAAATATTATTTTACTTAATTTCGATAATGATGAATTAATAACATAAGATGACAGAATTATAATACTTCTTCTTCTTCTTCTCATTAAAATAATCCAAATTATAAATTTTATTTTGTAATATTTTTAGTATAATTTATAACTTGTAATGTAGAATTTTTCCTTTTTTTTTTTGATAAAAGGAGTAATAGTAATGATTTTTATAAAAACATCAAAAACTTACTCTGGGATACGTGCTTTATATCTTTGCTATCTTCCCTATAAGAGCGAATTCCCCATTTTGGGCTTAGAGGAAGCCACTGGGCCAAATTCGCATTTGATTCAGCCCACTTTTCCTAATTCTTACTTTTTGACATTGATAGTGATGCCCTTTCTGTTTCGGTGATTCTCATTGAAATTCATCTGAACATTTTTTACTTTTAAGGAAAATGTTTCTCCTTCCTGGTTTTTTCCTTTTCTTTTTTTCCCCCTATTAGAAAAGGGAGGGAATTTGAAGTTGATAATCCACTAGATGCAAAAAACTTTATATAAATAAATATATATATAACATTATAAATATATATATAAACATTATATATATATATATAATATATAAATATATATATATAACATTATATGGTATCGTAAGCTATTACATTTGTAGGGTCTACTGGAGGAAGAAGATACTGCTACTTGTGAAGAGAAGATGCAAAGAACTATATCCCCTTAAGTACCTTCCCTCTCCCCCAAAAAAATGTTATAGCCCGATACATCAAAACCCTTATTCAAAAACGTTTTGATTCTTCCATTCCGAAATGATTTTTCTAGAATTTGTTTATTATTAGACATAGAAGAATTCAACATTGGATTTTTGGGTGATGTAAAGCTTTGTTTATCAAAAAGTTCATCTAGTTCATGTCAAGTTGTTACTCTCCTCGGTGCTTATTATAGACATTTTTAATTTGTCCTAAATTTTACTTAATAGAATATGTTCTTTTAGTTGAAAATAAAATTTTGAAGATATTATTATTATAAATTATCTTTAAAGTTTTTTTTTAAATTAAAAAACATATTAAGCAAAATATATGAAAAATCAAAATGTCTTACAAGAATAAATCGGAGGGAGTACTATTTTGAATGTTTAACTACTCCTGCAAAACATTGAAGAATTATTATGATTTTCATTGTAAAATAAGAAAGAGAAAAGGTAAGATGGCTATAAAGATGGAAATCACGTAGTTATTAGAAGATCAGGAATGTGATTATTATTCAGGATTAACATTTAATTTGTTGATGGATTCTGAAGATGGAGGAATCCGATTCTGATCTCTTCATACTGTACTCTATTACAGTTCATTCGGATACATCATTGAAGGATCAGCAACACATTTTTCTCCGCAGTGTGTTAAAGATCATCACTTTAGTATAGTAATAAATTAAGATATCTCATCAAACGAGATTGATTATTATCAAGAAGAACAATAAATGGGGTATCCATTAAATTAATAACCAATCTGGAATATTACAACACAGACTCACAACAAATACAGTGAAAAGATGGCAGGAGAAAAAGAAAAAAAGAAAAAAAAAACGGAAATGGAGGAAATAAATGAGAAATATGAAGCACTGCCTCTGTCCTGGCGAAAAGAGTAAAAAACTGAAACTTTATACGAAGCCAAGAATTAAACTTCAAGAAAGAACCAACTTAGACAGAACAGCTCCAAGAGTGAATAACAAAGCCGTGAATGGAGTCAAGCTCCGGTGGAAGAGGGAGTAGTACTGGTGGTCGTCCTCGGAGTTGGTGTTGCCCCGGGTTTCCCTCCCCCTAGTTATAATTTATACAGAAGAAAAGCATATTCTCATCCGAAGCTCTATTTTTCTGAAACAGGTCATCAAAACCGATCTAATGCAGTATCAAGAAGCAACCAATGCTCCAACAGTTTGAGCAAGCTACCAATATATTTCACTCCACTTGCTCATTTGCGTTGTTTTTTTTGCTTGCTTGCCTGTAGAAGCTGCGCCTTCTGCTTCTTCCATCAACCTGAACCTCAGAATCTTATGCAGGCTAGTTATCTGCTTAACAGGGGCCTGCTTACTGTCTACTATACATGCTCCAGAGAAAATATTGGCTTCAGATGGGCCTGTTTCTTCATGTACTACAGGGGCAGCATCTGCCAAAAAAATAATAATAATAATAAATAAACGGAATTAGTACTCTACTACTCTACAACGCATAGTCATTTTTGGTTAACACAAGCAGCATCTTAGACAGTGCGGACATTTTCTTTTTGTTCCCCCGCTTTATCCAATTACTTATCCAGATATTGCAAAGGAAAAGACACTAGTTACAAAGAAAATACCGAACCAAAGTTAAGAAGTAGCCCAATTTGGTGGTATGAGAGCAAGGAACCTGAAGGTTTTTCAGAAGACTGAAATCTTAAACCACTCGGAAGTTTTATCTTCTTATCAAAATGAAGGCATTTTCTTTAGCCAAAGAAGGTTATACTTTGAAATGCTAACTAATTTCTTAAAGAAAATCCCATCAACAGAAGACAAAATCGATGAAGATATCCAGGAGACGGTTCTCTATGGTTGGAGACTGAAGCAAACCAGGGTACACCAGCAACTAACATGCTTACAGCACGGTTGCAACTGATCAAAGAAAATTTATCGCAAAGTTCTGACATACAGGAACCATACTTCTAATTCAAGTCTACAATAGTGATGAACTTAATTCAGAACATGACGTACCCTTCTAAAAGCACATAACAATCATCAAATCAAGGATGAATATAGCTTACCACTTTCACTAAAGACAAGGCAAGTGCCCACAGTTTCATCATACTCACCAACCTGCATCATTCAGTCAATAAGTTCAGTAAAACAAAGGATCCATTATCCACCAAGAGTTAACACTGAATGAAACATAAGTCTAAATACAAGCTCCACAGCACCAGAATGGATATGCAGAAACATCCGCATGCCAACTCCAAGTGTATCTAAATATCAACATATCAAGACTATATATACACAAACATGAAGATGCCCTCCAAAGCATCATGTCTAAGCTCATTAGTTAGGATAGACATAAGATTGATAATTGCCTTGATGCACGAATTTTTAACAGATTTTCATGAAGACTCTGAAAACTCCACAAGAAACAATAAGAAATAGATCTCATCCCGGTTTACGACATATTAAGTTTGAGTTTCCTTATGGAGCCGTTTATTGACATTTTGGCAGCACCAGCTTTCCTATAATCTAACAGTTCTCTAGGTCAGCAAAGAAGATGCTTGAAACTTGCGAAACCATCAATTTAAATATATTCAACTACAGTAAGCTTTCTGCTACTAAAGATTGATACTTTGGGAGAGATTAAGTTCAAAACTGAGCAGAAGATGAATGTACTAATCAGATCATAAATATACACTCACCAGTTTGATTTTCCAATCAATGGTCAATATTGGAATTAGAGTGTCCAGACCCTGCATAAGTCAACCAGTGAAGTATCAGACTTCTTAGAAGCGAAGACGAAAAAACAAAAAACAAAGCAATGCAATCTCATTTTTTCACCACGAGCTAATATGGATAAAGAATAGGAGGAAGATAAATAGCGATCTCTCGGAAAGAATCATAAAGGTAGAAATAATATGCCAAAACCTCATTAGCCTGTGTTATTATAAGTTATAGTAAGTTTCAAATCCCCCTTCAGATAATGACAGCGATACAGAGAAATAAAGAACCAATTTTAGCATAACCAACCATTACCATTATTCAAGCAAGCAACTTGGAGAGACCTAAAACAAGAAAACGTACGGAGTTGAGAGTATAGTTACAGAGAGAACGTAGAGAGCATTGCAAGGAATGTGAACTTGGCCCATCACAGCATCCAAATCAATCAAAACGTACTCTTCTTCCTCTTGATGCTCTTCAGACAATGTTGTACTATCTCCCACCATTAGAACTAAATTCATTGAACAATACAGATTAGGAAGAACAAAAATAAAATTCCCACGTCTAAAATCTTGCTCAAAATCAAAATCCATCTACTTTACACTTTACAGTTTACAGCATAATAATACACCCACTCGAAAAAGAAAAAAGAAAGAACAACAGAAATTAAAATCCATTCATTCACCTGCTTAAGTAGGAAGCTGTTTATCCAGCTCTGAGAAACAAACAAAAAGACATAAGCGTTTTGATGCTCCTTGTCAAAGTAACAATACTTATCACCCCAGCTAATCTAAATTAACTCATCTCTTTTGTCTATACTTTGGTGGGTCACACAGTGATTAGAAATTCCTTGCTAAGCGAACCGGAAAATTTTTAATGAAACAAGGGTCAGCTAAGAATGTGGTGGCTAAATGTAATCACACTTCACGTGGCCTAAAAAGTAATTTTAACCCATAAAGTTCAGCTACAATAAGTGAGATAAAGTATCCAATAACCAAAAAGCAATGAAACATCATATGTCCACATAGAGATAGTGGTGGAGACATATGAAGCTTAGTTAAGTTACATTATGACCGCAGGAAATGCCTTAATTTAGTACACCATCATAAGAGAACACTGAATCAACTTTGACACACTCTCTTCAGGAAATGGCTAAAGCCCGAAATTATTCTCGGCACATTAAAGAATTTAGTGCACGAATAATTACATGGTGGTCAGAAACTGGTAAAAGAAGCTCAATCAATGAAGCCAAATTGAAGCATTATGACAGCTCCAACCTTCAATCTACCATTCAACACAAAATTCTACATGAAGAGAAAGATACAAAGCACATGTAACTACACAGGAAGAGCAGAAGTTCAAGGATCTTAGGAGCTCTGATTCGAAGGGCCGTTGCTTCACCATCATGAAGTTTAGGATCTCTGCAATCATATATATTTTATTACTCAAGTGCATAAAACAGGGGACACCAAATGATTAACCAAAGGTTTACCTTAATGGCGGTAAATTAGTGTTGTTCAATCAAAGAACAACACTAAAACTATTAATTAAGAATTTAATCCCATACATTGTCAACTACTTGGTTTTTCTAGTATCTTTAGCAATAAAAAAGCCGTGTAGAGCCTTGAATTAAACACCTAATATGCATATCCAATACATAAATAAAAGACGCAATGCTGAAAAAGATTCAAACTTTAAGAATTCGTTGCCGTTCAAACTTTAGTAGTTATCTCAAAAAATTTTGACCATATTCGAAGAACAAATTGTTTGAAAAATTAACACAAGCATACCAAGGGACTGATTGCAGGAAGAGAAAAAACACAAGAGAAGACTTCCTAATAAAATAACATTACACAATCAAACAATGGGTTTGATCCAACGAAGTCCCAGTCCCAGAAAAGAGAATCAAACCCAAAAATATATAGTCCAAACTATCGGAACTGCAAAACCAAGCTATAAATGGAACTGCTCCTGTATCTCACTATAGTTAAAATGCATACATCAAGTCACAGTTCAAATGTTTGGGTATTAGAGAGAGCCAAAAAGGTGAGATTAACTCAAACATACTCTCACTTAGAATAAAATCTCCTGCATCATGAAGGTGTACATTAATTCCTCAAATTAAGCAGCTGATAGGCTTTAAGGCCTAACAGTTGAGCATATTAATTTTCCCAGGAACAATCATAAACAAAATCTTTGCCAAATATAAATATTTTGGCTAGAAACTTCCAAATAGAGATCTAAAATTTCCGTAAGATGCTGAATTCAACTATCGACAGACCTCCGGACACCAATTTAAAATCCATAACAATAATTTGATTCATGCAAACAAAAGAGAACCTTTACAATAAGTAGGACAAAAAGAGCAAGAAAACAACAAGGAGGGGGACCAAAAAATCACACCATCAAAATGATACTATGAGTCTATGACAAGAATCAAAAGGGTCAAAAAACCGAAAACAACGTAAAACAGAAAATTAGAAAATCAATGGTAATTCTTACGGAAGGAACATGTTGTGAGCAGTGTTTTACTCCCTCCCGTCCTTAATATAAGGCAATTGATTTTGTTCTAGGTTTCACCTAGTACGTATTTTTATTTGACGAAAAAATCTAAAAAATATATTTTCACATTAGTTATATTCTCTCAATTGTTATGAAATATTTTTAAAATTTTTTTGTTAATTAAAAGTACGTACAAGGAGAAACTTAGAACAAATCAAAATTCCTTATATTAAGGACCAGAGGGAGTACTTTCTTGGGAGAAAAAGAGTATTGTTTTACTTAATTTCGAAAATAATGAATTATTAATATTCTTAATTTTGATAATGATGAACTATCTATTAATATGAGATGAGAAAATTATAATACTCTTTCGTCGTATAAAAATAGTCCAGGCTATAAAATTTATATTTTCATATTTTTAGTGTAATTTATAAGTTGTAATTTAGACTTTTTACTTTCTTTTTATTTATAGTGTAAGTTGTAATTTAGACTTTTTGTTTCGTTTTTTTAATGTCTGTTTTTAGATTTTTTGTATTAGAAATATAAAAATATGTATTGAAAATGTGAAAAATTATGCTAGGATGAAATATTTATTATTAAAATAATCTGAAAAAGCCATCCAAAAAACCAAATAAACAGAGTAATTTATAAAAACATCAAAAAGTTACATCTTTACTATCTTCTGTATGAGAGGGAATTCCTATTTTGGGCTTACAGGAAGCCACTGGGCTTAAATGGAAGAATTCTTCTGAAGACCCATATTCGCATTTCATTCAGCCCATTTTTTCTAATCCTAACTGTTAACATTGATAATGAATGATATCTTTCTGTTTCGGTGATTCTCAGCGGAAATAATCTGAACATTTTGACTTTTAAGGAAATGTTTCTCGTTATTTTTTTTTAAAAAAATTTCCTATTAAATAAGAGGGGAATTTGAAGTTGATGATCCATAAAAAAAAATTGATGATCCGTAAAAAATTAAAAAAAAAAAGAAGAAGAAGAAAGTGTTATAGTCCGTTATATGATCACGCTCATTCAAAAACGTTTTATTCTTCCATTCTGAAATGATTTTCCAATAATTTTGTTATTTTTTGGACATACAAGTAGTATTTAACATTATATTTTTGGGTGATGTAAAGCTTCGTTCATCAAAAAGTTGTTCTAGTTCATGTCAAGTTGTTACTCTCCTCGGTACTTATCATAAACATTTTTGTTCTAAATTTCACTTAGTACTCTCTCTGTTCCAAAATTATTGTCCAGTTTGAGATTTCACTTTTAGTACAATTTGAACTAAAAACGAAAAACCCAAAGTGGACAATAATCACGGGACGGAGGGAGTACAATATATTTTTTTAGCTGAAAATAAAATTTTGAAGATGTGGTTCCTATAAATTATTTTTAAAGTTTTTATTTTCAATTAAAAAACATATTAAGTGAGATATATGACAAATCAAAGTGTCTTATAATAAGAAATCAGAGGGAAAACTATTTTGAATGTTTAACTACTCGTGCAAAACATTGAAGAAGAATTATGATTTTTCATTGAAAATAAGAAAGAGAAAAGGTAAAATGGCTATAAAGGTGGAAATCACGCAGTTAGAAGAAGAACAAGAAGAACAATAACGAGATTGATTATGATCAATAAGAACAATAAATGGGGTATCCATTGAATGAATAACCAATCTGGAGTATTACAACACAGACTCAGTACAACAAATACAGTGAAAAGATGGCAGGAGAAAAAGGAAAAAAAAAAAAAAACCGGAAATGGAGGAAATAAATGAGAAATATGAAGCACTGCCTCTGTCCTGGCGAAAAGAGTCAGCCAAGAATTAAACTTTTAAGAAAGAACAAACTTAGATAAAACAGCTCCAAAAGTGAATAAAGCCGTGAATGGAGTCAAAGCTCCGGCGGAAGAGGGAGTAGTACTGGTGGTCCTCGGAGTTGGTGGTGCCGGAGGGGAATCAGCGGCGGGGGTTACAGGTGTACCGGAGCCGGAGCTGCTGCCTCCGTTTCCGGCCGGTGCAGGAGCGGCGGTGGATCCACCGGGTGCTGCTGCTCCTCCGGCGGGTGCCACGGTGACGGATAACTTCATCCCGCCACTGCAGTGTCCGGGTGTTCCGCAGATGAAGTAATGTGTTCCGGCGGTTTTGAGAGGGATTGTGGTGGAGCCGCTGTTGTCTGTTGAGATGGAATTCGCCGCACTGCATGAGGCGTAATCACTTGAGCTTACTTCATCCACTGTATGGCTTCCAGCATAATTGAACACTGCGAAAAAAATTCAAAAGGATCATCAAACTTCATTCCTCTGTTTTTTTGAACAGCCATTTCCATTCCCCTGTTTTTCACCACCAAAATTACAGAGGGTTAGTGTACAATTTAATAAAGAGAGTAAAGAATTTTACCAAGGTTGTCTCCAACTTTGAAGTTCTTCCCTGATGCCCAGGTGACATAATCTGTTCCCGTAGTCCAACCACTAGTATCTCCAACTGTGTACTTAGTTGCAAGACTTGGAACAGCAGCAAGAGCAATCAAAGCAAAGCAAAAGAGGAACTTGGCATTGAAGTTTGCCATTGTGAATATGAAAAGGGGAAAGGAGGAATTTTGATCAAGAAGGATGATGATAAAATGAACAATGGAGTGTTTTTAAGAAAAGGGGTTCTTGATCTATTTGAAGAATGATGAGGGGATTGGGATGATGAGGGTTTGTTTATATAATGATGGAAAAGGAAATGGAGTTGTTCGACTTAATCTTTTATTATTATGTGCCGAGCATGGTTGTAAAACAACATGTTTCCATCTCAGAGCTTACCTTCATTCAATTGGACATTTTACCTACTTCTCCTAGAAAGTGGAGTACGTACTAGAATTTTTCCTACCTTCTAGTTCGCATAATTCATGGTTTTGACGTATAAAAAATGTGACCAGTAGTAATTTGAAGTCCTTTAGCACCGATAATGATTATGGTTATGATTATGCTGTGAATATGTGATGTGATGTCACTACCGTATTGTTTGAAATGTACTTCTTCCGTCCCAAAATTATTGTCGAGTTTGAGATTTCACTTTTAGTACAATTTCAACTGAAAATGAAAACCCAAACTAGACAATAATTATGTGACGGAAACATCGAGAAATTGTCAAACCCTAAAAAGTTACCAACGGCTCTTACTTTTCGTTTTGCTGATTATGATGTTACAAACTTTAGAATGTTCAAAGGAACAATACGAATAAAGAAATCCTGAAGTTGGTGAGGATAAATTTAATGTAAAATATAAAATATCAGAAAGGAAGAACGATTCCCCTGCTTGCTTTCATCATTGGAATGAGAAACAAGGAAGAAAGTAACAGATAAATTATTTTTAGTTACTATCTTGGCCATACCGATGAATAATCGTCCTAAGAGAGATGTGTTTTCCACTTTCTTTCTTTCTTTTTGGTTACAATTTCAACTTTTAGAATTTAAAAAGAAAAAAAGAAAGGCCACATTGATTCCGTTAAATCGATGAAGAGCTTTGAAAACTTCTGTATACTTGTTGGAATCAAAAAGAAGTTCACCTAAAAAAACGCACTTACGACTATCATAAAGGGGTCCCCAATCACATGCCAAACTCGAGAACGTGTGTATATATTTTCTGATTATTATGCCTTTTTGGTAAGCTTAAAATTTCCTGATGAGAGTAGTTGGGAGAAGTTGTACTTAGCCCAAAAAATTTTGACGGGCTGGCGGATAACTCCTGCTCCTTTGTTCTTTTCTTCCTTTCTTCTTCTTCTTTAGTTTAATTTCCTCTACAAATTCCAATCATGATCCTGAGTCTTTCCCCCCCAGTTAATTTTATCTTACTGAGACAAACCCTTTTTTCATGTAAAAAAAAAGAAAAGAAATCTCTAATCAACCAGGAGACAGGAAAACACAGGGTATCTATTTTTAGGGAGTTTTGATCACTGTCTACATTCTATCTAGAATCCTTGCTGCAACACTAAAACAATTTCCAGATTCAGTAAAAAGGATGATTACTTGCAGACAAAGAATTTATTGAGCAGGAGATAGGAATGAGTACCACCTTTGAAATAACAGGGGTAGTTTAGTTACATGATTAAGACATTCCAGCTGACTATATGCAGTCTATAAACACCACCAGGGGGAAAAAAGGGGGGAATCCTATAGCTAAACATTACAGGGATTTTTCAGTTTACTATCATTTTTGTTTCATTCCTGGGTTGGTGAAATTCAACCGATTTGTCACATGGACCAACCATTGTCTATCAGAATTTAGGTTTCAGCAAGTTACTGAATGCACAGAAGAAGTCTGTTGATCTCATCAGACTATCAATCTCCTAATGATGTAATGAAATTCATGACTTGTTCAAGGTGTAGAGCAACTTGATCTCACCATATATGCTTAAAAACAGTTTTAATGATGCAATGACAATTGACAGCAATGAATACATATCAGCTGACTAAATCCATTCCACAGTTTGAATCAGATGATGCGAGCTACGAATACACATCAGCTGACTAAATCTGTTATCTCTCTTCTTTTTCTTTTTTTTTTCTCCGGTAAAAGATAATTTTTTATTCATCACAAAATCATTCACTATGTACTTACATTAATTCCTCGTATAACAAAACAAGCCAGACCAAAATAAACTAGCACACAAGTCATTCTCTACTCATTCTCGCTATCAATACATATTAGACATATCACTTGAGAGACAATGCACCTACAACGGCCAAAAACAAGCATAAAGATTTGAATATCTGATGATGCCTATTATACTTCTCTTTAATCAACATAAACTGTCCTTTCCATAGGATTTATCAACTGACATTTCAAAATCACAAAGAAGGAAATCAACAATTCACATTCCTACCAAATAAAATGTTCAACAGATTTGCATCTTCACAGGACACAGCCCAAGTACAACATTCTATCTTGTACATCATACAATCCACTTATTGAAAGATCCTGCATTTCTATCTCAAGCCTACAAATAAGTTTCTTCATGTAATCCTCTAAACTTCTATACACAAAGAGGCCAACTAATTGTTGAAAAACATAGTCAAATTAAAAGAAGACAGATTTTGGTTGCAGAACTAGAATACCCATTAAGGCCATAGAAAAACTGGTTTCAGGTTAGGTTTTTACAAATTGCATGAAACAAAATGGGGAAGACAAGTTGGTTTATGCAATAACCAAGATTTGTTGACACTCGGTTCGGTGGACCAGGAGATAAGCTTAACAATACAAATCTCTCATGTTTTCTCTCTCCCTTCCTGAACAGAGAAGATAAGGAGGGGGCAGTAAATATGCACTTCACACCTTTAGAGCCTTGTAACGGCATTGTCCTTTCTGAAGCAGAATCAAGAGTTTATCGATTAAGTTTAGCTAAGATATTCCTCATGATTATTTGCATAACTATGTGGTTAAGTTTTCAAAAACATATCATAGTATGGTTTTGGGTCACTCCTCTGTACGGTAAATCCTACCAATGTACGTAGGGGGAGGAGGTTAGAAAATGAAGCATTCATTATAGGGAACTGAAGAACATGATATACTAACTAGCCACTTTTCATGAAGACAAGCAAAAGTCAGCATACCTTCCTTATGTTAAAACACACACACACACACACACACACACAATGCAATATATGTAGAAGAGCTTGAAAAGAAAAGAAAAGTAGCTCATGGTTCTCTTACCAAAATTTGAGTGCAATAAGGAGTTTGTGATTGGAACATTACAAGAAACTAATCTTACTGTGCTAAACTAATAAGCTCTGATCAGATTAGTCTACTTTATCTAAAGACTCTGGCTCTTCCCCAGTACCATTAAGTGCCACTTTTGTTTGAGGTCTTAAAAATGTCCTACTTCGTGCTACACGAATCGGTCTCCCCATAAACTCCTGCATCAAAGAGCTTTCTGAGTCTTTACCAAAGAAGAGGTATTCATCCAAATCTAAATTAGATACTACCGGCGTGAAAAGTATCCATAGCTTCAAATGAAACATGAGTAAGATACAAAGCTACAATGTACCTTTCCTTGAAATGCTGTGAGTGCTGCCTCAGCATCCTCTTTAGTATTAAAGGAGACGAATCCATAGCCAGCAGACCTTCTTGGTTTATCTTGAAATATAATCTCGGCAGAAACAACATTTCCATTATTCGCATTGAAAAACTCTTTAAGATCTTTAGCCCTGGCTTGGAAGGACACATTTGCAACATATAAGTTGTGTATTGGCAATGTCTTTGGCTTTGGCTTTGGAGGAGGAGGTTTGATCTTTTTCGGTTTAGCCCAATTAAGCTTCAAAACTCTACCCGCGTATTCCTATATACATTAACCAATAAACAAATCATACATAATCCAACCAACCTAATATAACAAGGTTTGCAATTCAGTATGCTTACATACGATTCCAGATTGCTGAAAGCAGCTTGAGCTTCCTCAGGTGAACCCATTGTAACAAAGGCCAAACCTCTGTTCCTGGTTTTATTAAACATTGATAGCTACACGACAGATGTGCAAACACACAAAACAGAAAACCCATCTCAGAAAACATCATCCATAATCCAAAGTACCATAATGTAAACACTCAAAGCGGAAAACCAAATTGATTGGAGCATAATACATTGGATTGCAAACCTTTTTCTAGAAGGGACATTAATCAAATGGCAAAATTGAAAGCAGTACAAGTCCAAAAAAGAATCAGAACCAACCTCAACGTCAACAACTGTTCCATACTTCTCAAAGAGAGGGCGAATATCATCTGCAGTGCAGGTCCATGGAACATTCTGGGCTAGGATTCTGGTCTTAGAAAATTCCTCTTCTTCCTGTTCTCCATTTTCAACATCCTCTGGGCTTTCAGTAACGGCTTCTGCTTCAATTGAAGATGAAACGTGCAATTGATAAAGATTCAATCTTTGGGATTTTGATGGGATTTTAAGTGATAAGGAAGGAAAGGAGATAACGTTGTTTAGCTGGAGAGGTTTGTAAAAGTGTTGAATTTGGGGCGAGGTTGAAGATAACAGGATTTGGTCATGGTGGAAGGAGAAATCTGTGGCACAAGGGCCATGGAGAACACGAAGTAATGCCATTTTGAATGAGAAATCAAAGCTCAAATTCAAACCAAAATTAGCTTTAACATGGCGGTGCTTGGAGAGTGCTTCGACACTGTTTCTTTTCTGGACAACTTAACGAGAGGGGAGAAACGATACCAGTGTACTGGTAGTATTGGATAAGGACGAAGAATGACGAGAATATCAGAATTTGAACAATTACAACTTTTTGGGGGGTACTATTAATAATATAAATAAAATCAGAGGTTACAAAAGCAAATATTTATGAAGGGAAAAAAGGATTCGACGGAGAGTTTGATTCAACAAAGTATAAACAATTCTGAATGCTGGCTGAAGTTTTATTTTATGCAGTCTGTAAGATTTCACTACACTCTGTGCTCTTTATTCCAGATCAAAATCGAAAATTCCCAACCTTCCACATGACAACTAATGTGGAAGAAAGAAAATCTGCAACTATAAAAGCACTGGAAATTTCAAAAGAGCTTTGTGGCTAATCTAATGACATAATCCTGGAATCAATAGCAAGCATAATGCAGCAGTGTTAGTAGATCAAAGTCATAAACTCGAGGAGAATATCCAACCACAAAAACTTGTGAGAAATGAGAATAGCTGCAACCAGAATATGAGGCAAACATTTCAAAAATATCAGAATTCAATCCATTCGGCTGCTATTAGACAAAAACTATCAATCGTATCTCAAATTAGTGAATGACATCTTTACAGACATGTGGTAGCTAACTTGGAACTGGTTGTTATCATTTCGTTGCTGTGCTACTGACGTATACCAATGTAAGAAAAGCCCTTCACAAAGAGATTTTGCCTATGGAAAATCCTACAGGGGAAAATGAAAGATAGCAGCTACTTCTTGAGCATTCTTCTTTCAGGAGAGCATTGCAAGGGTGATAGTGGAAGTCTGACGGCATCAACATTTCCGAAATCTATTTTCTTCTCAACTTCATCACTGCACAACTTGGGGCTGCATTTCCGTTTGTTTCCCTGTAGAATTGCAGGAAAAAAGGGAGATGCATTAGTTCAAAACAGCAGTTTTCTAAAGATTAGAAGGATCAAACTTTGTCTATAATCAAACTTTGCCTAAAAATTAGAAGGATCAAACTGAAAGAACACTAGACTTAAAAAAAATTCTTACCTTTGTGGAAGAACTCGCAGAATGCTTCCCTCCAGAGCCAGACATATGCTTTTCTCTATGCAACTGCCTCATCAGCTTTTTGTTCTCCTCATCTAAGATTTTGTTTTGCTCAAACAAGACATTTACCTGCAAAAACAATATATTGGTTATTATTATTAGGATTCTAGCTCATATTTCAATTGGGCATCTCACGTAACACTACCATACCTCATCTTCAGCTGTATTAAGGTTCACGCGCAAGTGATCCTTGTCATTCTCCAAGGACTTGAACTCAGCCATCAGAGCTAGCACTTTCTGAGCGACTGGACTCAAGCCACCCCTGGAAGAGAAAAGGAAGAAGTAAAAATTTTGGCTCCCAGAATATTATGAAACTTTGAACTGAATTTCCATGATATTCAGTATTGATTAACACATACGGCATACAACTGAATCTTACCTATTCCACAACTTCAACATTTCTTCACAATAGTCATTTCCACTGTTCACTGTGAGAAAAGAATGAGCTATTGATGAATATTCATCTTTTCCAATTGCAGCAGCCAAAAGAGAGTCAAGTAGTGTTTGCTCAGCAGCTGTGTCTTGTGAGGATGTACCAACCTTTCAATATGAAAATTATACTTGTCAGCCAAATGTGCTTTCCTTAATAGTGGATTAGAATTTCTAACAAAAGTTCAGGTGTAGAAAACATTAATGCGTCATGTGACAAAAGTTAGCCTTTTCCAATGAGATCTGAAAACACATTAACATTAATACTTTCAAAAATTCAGGAACATGATAATAATTCTACAAGCTACTAAGTTCCTCCCTTTTCCCGAGCCACATCACTGAACCAACAAAGATAGCAAAAGTAATAAATTTGGTTTCATCAGCATGCTTTAATGTCCCAATAAAAACATAAAAAATAGTTGAACTCATCCTATACGTGGGATCAGCTATAAATCATATGTCCGCACATAGTGTCATGTTCGATAATATCTCACCTAGGTTAGAATTTATCACGTCGTCAATTAGTTTCTTTCCAAGTTCTTCTGGGTCTACATATCTTTCTTATATCCAGTTCACAAAATTCTCAATTATCTATACGCCATACTGGTGCATCTAATAGGCTCTGAGCACATGTTCAAAACTGAAGTTACTCTCAGTGCATTTTTAAAAAATCTCTTGCTTATCCTGTCCAGTCTAGTGTTTCGGTACATTGCATTCTTCTCATTTCTGCCATTATCATCTTTAGTTTATGACTTACTTAGTTGTGGAACACTCTGATCAATGCTGTATCAATAATAAATTTTATTTGGAAAATATGCAAGAGTTCATGAGACAGCACCTGTCATGCTTCATTCAACTATTAGCGCATCTGGTTTTCTACTTGTACTGGAGAATGGAATACAACATGGAATTTCAAGTTCAAGAGTTTTTCACAATATAGCAAAAGCAAAGATTCTAGTTACTAGTCTAAACTTTCTCACTACAGTTCCAACCAAACCACTTCAGAGATTTAAGACCAAACCCAAACTCCTTAGGTATAAACGAAAAGAATATGCAACAGATACCCAACAATGGTCATCTTTCAGTATACAGTAGTTTCAGTCGGAAACAGTCAAACCTATCATCTTCTACCAATTAAATAAGCAAACTAGTTTATCCTATTTTCTTCCTGAGGAAATGGCGGGTAATCCTATGACTTTATTCCTCATGAAACTAAGCTGACAAACATATAAAACCTTCCAGGCCATAAACATAGCAAAATATACGCAATAAGTAGGAGCCAGAGTGGTTTCATCTAGGCCCTTTTACATCCAATAAAAATTCCATATTCCTTCAAAAACCAATCAACACACTGTTCTAGGATACAGGAATTGGAAAAATTTACCGATTGCGCCTCAGAATGATACTTATAAGACTGCAGTTCCTCTGACAAAGCCTTGACCTCCTCCTTAAGTTCAGCAACACGAGATTCTGCCACCATAGCCCTCTCATCTGCCTCGTTTCCAAAATCCATCAAAGCTTCACGGTCACGTTCATACAACTTACACTCCCGCTCCCATTTCTTGCACTGTCCCAACAGATTCATACACTCCGCGGCCAATTTCTGGTTCTCTTCAACGAATTTCTTCACAGCCTGGGCGTTCAGAGTAGCCTCCGACTGCAAAAAAAACAATTCCCGAAACAGCAAAACAAAATCAAAAACTAAAATCTTAAATATATTCTACCCAAAAACAATTAAACTAAAGAAATCCGTTACAAACCCTAGCAAGTTCGATAAGGTCTTCCTTCTCCTTGAGTTTCGATTGGAGGGAGTGGTATTGATTCTTCAAGTGCTGTTGGGCTTCTTCGGAGGCACGAACCTTCAATTGAAGAGTCCGAGTAGAAACCGGAAGGCCCAGCGTGTATTCAACCGATTCCCGGAGAAAATCTTCGGTTTCTTGAGAAAGATCCATTCTTGATTGCTTTCCCTCTCTTGGCAAATTGAAAAATCCCAATAAAAAGCCCCCAAAATTAGGCAAAGAAGAACAATACTACGAATCAATTCTCGCCGAAGGATTTCGAACGTTTGCAGAAGGAATTGAAGTTGGGAACCCTAAAAGATCAAATTTTGAGCGGAGAAGAAGAGCGGGAGAGACCGAGGGTTTAGGGTCGGAGGAGTAATCCTAAATTTGGGTGCAAATTGAACCCATTTGAATTGGGAGGGATGAGGGAGAGCCGTTAGAGCTGCGACCTTTTGATTTCAACGGTTAAGATGGTATAGAACTTCGATGGGAGTACACGTGGCACCATCAGTGGAAAGGATAACTCTTTTTTGCCCATATTTCAATTAGTTTTGGCAAAAATGTTGAGAAATAAATATGAAAAAATTATCGTGTGACACAAGGTTTTAAAGACGTGTAGTTTATTTAATTTAAAAAAATTTGTTAAAGGATTATTAAAAAAAAAACTTTGATACAGGAATATTTGATATATACATATCCAATAAACATCTCAAAAATAAACATTGATTGCTCGCCTTTAGTAAAAACAATTTTAAGAGAGGATTTCATGTCAATAATAATATCACGTCTCTTTTGAACGTTGAATTGAACTTAACCATTATGATAGATTTTAAATAATAGTTACAGTAATAGTGTAAGCTTTTATTTTATGGAGAGATTACGATCCAGTCGACTGAACGGTTCAGTCATATATTAAGAACCGTAAGATTTAATAGGTGAGATGACGGCCATTAGATTAAAATTATAGTATTTAAGAAGTTGCTATAACCTATTGCACTGGATCATTCTCACTCAATCAGTAAAAAAAAATGTTTTGAAAATTTCAGAATTTTACCCAAGCATCCCATGTTCTCAATATCACTACGATACACACCCACATAATTTTTCCGACGAATTTCTACTCATCTTCAATGTCAAATTTAATTTTATTTCTGAAATGCTCAATTTGTCCAGATTTTTTAGGCTAATAAAACAATTCAATAACAATTGTACATCATCATCTACGCAGAAATTAGTCCTTTCCCAAATCTTTTAATTTTTATTTATGCTAATCCCCTCGACGTTTAATTTAACTGAAGATTTCGATCACTGATAAATTAATTTAAATCAAAGAGAAGATACAAACATGAATAAAATTTAGAGGAATATGTATAGTTTGTGACAAAAATAGAAAAAGGGATAAGTTCCCCGTTTGCTTCAATTACAAAATTGTTTATTGCTTTTTAGGCTCCGTTTGGTTGGAATGAATTGGAATTGAATTAGAATTACAATCCAAAAAAATTGAAATTAAAATATTGGGATTGCAATTCAATCTCAATTTATTTGTTTGGGAGATCTTAATAATTGACTAGAATTAAGGTTCTAATACCAATTCTTGCGTTTGGATGCTTCAAAATTTGGATTCTTTAGAATTGAAATTAATTTGTTACTAGATAATTAATACAATTTATACTTCATGTCAAATTTTTTTTTAAAAAAAAAACTTAATTTCCTATGTCAAAATAATCTATCACGGATATGTATAAAACAAAAAAAAATCATTGTGTACATGTATATTAGATTACTTTGTTGTCCTTTAAACTAATCCTTTTGAAAAAATAATTTTTTATTTAATTTGCTATATTATTTTGTGATTTATTATGTACACACTTTTTTGTAGGAAACAAAAGAAACATTATTGCGTAAGAATTATTACTATGATATGTAAACATCCTTGAGTCCCTCTCTTTTATTACTTTTCAAAATTTTTTAATTTTTGGTTTATTGATTTTTTCCCCTATATTAGTAAAAAATATTGTATATAATATAAATTCATTTTATGAATATTAATTTCTATTATATATGTTGACATTATTTTTTGGAATTTGCTTAAAATTTTTTAGTTTTAGTATATAGTTATATATGAAAAAACATATATTTAAAATTCAACTTACAGAATTTTTGATGAAAAAATGCCATGTATTATTTACTATATATATATATATATATTAATATAGGTGTACATATGGAACAATTATAAAATATTTTTGAAAATTTTATGGTGTTTACTGTGTCAGTATATAATAAAAAATTCTAACCCAAAATTAAAATATTTATCTATTAATTTTTTTGGGACAATTATACTTTTGATTTTTTCTCAAAAAAATATAATGTTAATTTTAGATTGATTTCATTGATGATGATGATGATAATAATAATAATAATAATAATAATAATAATAATAATAAGAAGAAGAAGAAGAAGAAGAAGAAGAAGAAGAAGAAGAAGACAAAAAGCTGAAAAAAAAGAAAAACAAAACGAAAAGAAAAAGGGCAAGGGCTGAAAGCCAAAAAAAAAAAGAAAAGAAAAGGACTTAAGGGAAAAAAAGGAAGAGATGACCCGTTTATGTTATAACCCGGAAATGACCCGGTTAGACCCGCGAATTTTTTTTTAATCCCTTGAATTTGAATTCCAATTATTTACCCCCACAAAAGAATTAAATTCAAAGAATTGAACCCAAAATAGTATTGCAATTCTAATTTTTTCACTTCAATTTTTGTTAACCAAACACAAGAATTGGAATTAAAGAGCTCCAATTCCAATTCTTGGTCTCAATTCAATGCAACCAAACGGAGCCTTATAGTTTTCATAACTGAATTCAAGTTGAAACTTGTTCTATATTTGTAGTTTTGATCCAAAATTAGTTTTGGTCCAGAATGGAAGACAACAAGGGGAGGATAAGTTATTGATTTTGCAAATTTCTTTGGCTTCTCATATGAATATTCATCCTAAAACATATTTAACTCAACCGAATTAGAACAATCCACCCATTTAAGACTAGGATTCCTAGTAATGAATTGACGCCTCACATAAATTTCGGGTGCCTTGTGAAGTTCACTAAATCGTGTAGTAAAAAGTTTCATTAATGAAGAAGATATTGAAGAAATCATCATTTGATAGTATTTGGTCAAATCTGAACAAAAATAAAAGATCCAGGCAATTAGACAGAATCAGTCGGTGGGCATTTTCACCGGGGACGCAAGGTCGGGAAGGATACAGTATTTACGACGACATGGGTTGAAGATAAGGATGCTTTTAATTATTCTTTCCTTTTGATTATTTAAAAATGTGTAATCAATTATCCCATTAATAACAAAGTTATGGGTTAGAAAGAAATTTGTTAGAATACTTCTCACCCTATTATTGCATTTGACATGTTACTTTTTGATTAGATGTGTATGAATTGAATGATTCAGTCAAAATTTAATGGCTGGACCATAGAATTTCCCTTTATTTTATTTATTAGTAATGTATATGAAATGATTATATGAATCATATACTGTATCGATTTTGTGATATATCCAGTTTGTCACCGAAAATAATAAGCTACCGAAAAATGGTTCATAACTCTTTTCACAACTCATTCATTCTTCTGGTGCCAAATAAGTGAGATAATAGTTGGATGAGATCAATTGTAAGAGTTGACTTGTTACTTCCTATTGTTTAATTTCTTTACAAACAAAAATACTCTATCTCACAAAAAATAATTCATATCATACCTTGTGAATTATGTTAGAAACAATAAACTTAAAAATTTTACTGTGTATTCGTTTTAATTAACATGAATTGCATCAATTTCCCAGTCAATTGGGACAATCCTCAAAAAGAGCGAGTATCCAACATGAATTGCTTAAGCTTGATCCTTAGATGACTCTTGGACATTCGCTTTCGATCCATGGGTGATGATGGATTCAATCTGCTGGTCAACTTCTTCAACCTGAATTACATCAACTTCCAGTCAGCAAACATAATCTGTTACGTCCAGAGAATGGACTAAAACTGTAAAACATACAATATCATTGGCAGATCAATCTATCATAAATTTTTTTAATAGAAGTCACCAAAGGAATGTCTGATGTGTTTACTCTCTTTGGTCAGGATAATTTTTATGAGACGGATGAAATTTAATTAATCGTAATTAACCTTGTTCATTAAATCTTCAGTTGATCGGGCATCTTTTGCTGTTTCTTTGGCCACATTTTCAACAAAGTCAACTACTTGTTTGAGTTTTCCGCCCTGAGGCAACTTCTCAGAGACATCTTCCGCCAGCTTCTCGACATCCTCAGCGACCTTCTCCACCGTGTCTGCCACCTTTTCCACCGTCTCAGCCGCGGCCTCCGTTTCCTCTGAAACCATAAATAATTTGCCAAACCATGTAAATTATATATCCTTAACTACAAATTAAAAATGACTCACTTATTAGCTACAGTATCCAAAATAGAACTTACTGGTCAATGTTAACAATCTCTGGATAACAAGGGGTACTAAGGCTACCAATCCCCATATCCAATTTACCCTGCAAAGTGCAAATATGATATGAATCCCGAGTTAGTTAATCCGTCCCAAAATAAGTATCGCGTTTAATTAGAATCTTTTTTAATTAGATCAACAAAATAACAAGACTCTAATATTTTGACTAGAGGAGTTAATATCCATTGTAATAATCAAGAAATGAAGATCTTCACTAACCATGCCTTATCGGCAGCAAGAAAAGACTGAAGATGATCACTTGATTCAGGAGTGCACTTGATAGAAACATATCTGCATATAAACCCAAAACAAAAATAATTTGGTGAAAAATGATTTTTTTTTTTTTTTTTTGGGTTCTTTTTTGATAACTTGGTTGAATCTGAAAGTATCAAACAGTGATCAGAAAATTCAGAATGGGTACCTCTTTGATCCATTGTGGTTGTTTAAAAATGGTGTCTTGAGGTTACTCGGAAGATGTGAAAAACTTGCCTTTTTGGGAAGTGATATCCTAGCTCGTTGCTTCGTTATGCATAATGAATTCAACAAGAAATGTTGAGATGATTTGTTGATGGATTTGTTGGAGAAAAGAAAGGAGGAGGATGCCATTGCCATGGTGATTGAATTGAAGCATTTATCATTTGAAGAGTCTTCAAGACTTTAACCCCAAAAAAAAATTCAATTCAAAGTATATGAGACAAGCATGCCAGCTAGCCAATCCGATCAAATTAATCTTACAGCACGGAAAGTTCAAGTCTAAGATGCGTATTTTGATTGGAGAGATTCATCCGTATTTAATTTATTATTCCCAAAAAAAATAAAAATAAAGGCAAAGTTAAAAACAATTTTAATTCATTTGGTCCAGCGTACTTCTTTCTATATTTTATTCTTATTTTCTATCTCGGTTTCATTTGGTGAGCCATGTAAGCTTTAGGGAGAGTGGTAGACAGTATGATACTCCATCATTAAATTAAAAATAAATTAGTGAATGTTATACAGTGTACTCCCATCATTATTACAATAATAGTTTGCTAAATTAGAATAATGGATAAGAGTTAAGACATTGGATAGCGAATTTTATTTTATTTATTTATTTATTTTTTTGGAGGAAACTTACATTAGGAGTTAACCATAGTATTTTTCTGGTAAGATATCCATGGAATTTAGTAATTTGATTATAAACTTTTGTCATATTCTTGAAAAAACAATTACTTTCCAACTAACATGCCACTTTAGAAGATGAAGTATACGAGTGGAAAAGTTTATGATTTCAAGAATAAGGAGAAAGTATAGAGCCAAATTACTGATAGAAGTAGAACTACAGATAGAAGTAGAACTGTAATATAGGGACCAAAACGTGACAAAATAGAATATATTTAGATTTGTGTCAACACGATAATTTCCATAATTTTGTTTGGAAACGCCAAGTTGATCATATTCTGAATCACCTCGGAAAGATAAGAATATAGCATCACATTGCACTACTTTCCGAAACTTGGCCTTCTTAAGAGACGTTATTCCTTTTTTCCAAGGAATGGAAGCAGGCGGGAAGTAGAGAAAATTTGGCTTTTCAGAAGAATTAACCTTCATTTCAGAAGAATTGTCATATTAAGATTCATTAAAAGTTTCAAATATTGGCTATTTACGATATATTTAAAACTAAAGACACCAAATAAAGGATATGTTTGTTTCGTTTTTTAAGTGTGTGTTTTTAAGTGTTTTTTTGTATTAGAAATATAAAAAGCTATATTGAAAATATAAAAAAGTATGCTGGCATGAGATATTTATGTTAAAATAATTTGAAAAAACCATCCAGAAAACCAAACAAACAGAGCCCTCGTAACAATAATATTCGCCACCTTCAAAATTCACCTATCAATTGCGAGCTAAAAGCTCACCTTTTGCTTGCACGTATTAAATTAAGCCCTCATTAGAGACGTTTTTCACACTCACCTTGCATTAACCGCAGAATGCCAAATGGAATTTCGATAAATTAAAGTCATCTGAACAATGAAGGGGTTATATAAATAAGCCCTTTCAGTCAAAGAGGATTAGTACTCTAATCGTCAAAGAATTAAATATTTAACTTTGTATTTCCACTGGCGCGTAATTTAGTCTTTGCCAGAACTTTGCAAAAGAATATGCCATTTGCTTACAAGTTACAACACAGTCAAAAGAATTAATTTGTAAAAGAATTATATTTTAAAACAAAATAAAATATGTTCCAACTTCAATGATTTCCTTCAGCTTTGTTATCTTCATTAGAATGCTCCTTTCCTTCAATTGCTGATTCAACTTTATCTTCAACTTCTTGAACCTGCCCAGAACCAACGTAAAAGAGCATAATATATTATTAATTACTAGTTAATTAGCTTTTAGACTAATCGAGCACAAAAAATTTAATCTAAAAGACAACCGACACAACCTATAATAAAGTTTAATAGTACGTTATCTAATGTGCAATTCCTACGTCAATGGCGCATATTTGTGCTGGGGCAGGTGACCAAACCTAATGTTAATTCTTACTCATGTCGCTACCAAACAAACAATCACGACAATAATCAAACCTTAAATTTTACTACTAAACATTGCTTTTCACTTAACGACTATTTATTTTACTATCAATCAAGAAAAAAACGAAGTGATTAAATTAAGGAAATTGGTAATTTGAAATGGATGTTGTTTGTGTAGGCAAACCTTGTCGATGAGATCTCCGATCATTTCGGTTTGGTCATCGATCTGATCGGCGACATGTTCAACTCTTAACACAGCGTTTTTGAGATCCCCGGCGGGAAGGTCTTCGGCTATGTTTTCCGCCACCTTTTCCACCGTTTCCGCAACTTTCTCCACGGCGTCCACTATGTTTTCTACAGTTTGCACCGCGACATCAACTTCATCTACGTACAATTCCCAAAGAAACAAATTTTTAACGGTCAACCTTAAATAACGGAAGACTTAATTAATTACATTAACTAGGGAAAAAGAAAACATGTGCCAAGTTGAATTTTCGGTTCTTACTTTTAATCTTCAACAATGTCCCCAACTTGGTCGTCAAGAATGGTACAACAAACGTTACTAACATTCCCAAAATCCATTTCCTGTTAAAAGATATGCGGTATATATAAGAAGATTAATAATCAAAGAAATATCAATAAAAACTGAAATATTTCAAGAAAATGTTGATCGAAATTACTTCCTCCGTCCCAACAAAAATAGTCCACATTGATTTTTGAGTTTTGTACTGTTTTTAGTACAAATTTGAAAACTCAATGTGGACTATTTTTGTGGGACGGAGGTAGTACGTACCACGATGAACCGGAAGGGGGACCTGAAGGTAGAGGATTAACCCCGGTTGGATCGACGCTATTGCAAGCTGCAAAACTCTTCTTAGTTCCACCTTGGGAGATATGAATCAAGCTTTGACAACCCCAAAAACAAAGGGAGTTTCTGGCAGCTAAAATAGCCAAATTGGAACCCAGGTTCAAAGAGGAAGAAGCTCTACGCTGGTTTTGACTTCTGGGTTTGAAATGGGTAGCGGTCAACGTTGGACAACTCAAAATGATAGCTCTACAACTCATGATTAATTTCAAACTGAGTTAGTAGTTTCTAAAGTTTGGAGTTGAGGTAGAATATATGAATTTGAACTTTGAATCTGGTTAATTATATGAAAGAATTTGATGAATGAAGAAATGTGCTATAAACAGTAGTTCTATTTGCATTAAGTCTACTATGCATCTTATATATTTATAGGCAAAACCTTGATGAAGTAGACAAGATACTGGTCCGTGTGTTTGAGAGAGAAAACGAAGGTTCTTCGTATATACTTAAAACTATGAATATTAAGATGTGGAAAAGGGTTCAGCACTAATAAGCGTTTTGATAGTGATTTTTGGACTTCTTTGGTTAATATTTTTTCGGAATATATATGCACAATAGTTATAAAACAATTTTAAGCGAGTACATATCATAAGTGAGATTCATTTCTGTTCGAAACTAGATCATCTATGAAACATAAAACTCTTTCAAGACATTATCAAAATTACTTCAAAAGTAAACAATTTTGTTAAAAACGAATGGAAAATACGTTAAAAATATGAAAAGTCATTTGCAATGTATGGAATGTATGAAATACAAGTGTAATTAAAAATAATAATAAGGGGATGAGTTAGATCCGGTTTCGGGTATAAGGCTTTCCATTAGACATGGATAAACTCGGTATATAGTACTATTACACGCAATCTAATACATTCGGATATAAACCTAATGGTCTTATTGTAAGAATATTAAAAAATGTTGACCTATTCATTTTTTAATTCAATAATTTTCTTTTCCGTTGACCATACGTTTTTTTAGACTATTCGCGCTGAAGTCTTCACAATCAATGTTATATTCCTTTGGATAATTGGATGCTAAATTGGTTCAACATCTTCAAGAATATAAACATATAAAACATGTGCTATAAATTACAACTGCGAGAATAGTATTTGTATAAACTTCATTTTGGAACAAATAATATACACCTATATATTATCGTCGATAATGTATGGAATAGAAAGGTTTGCGTATAACTGCTAAACTATGATATGGGCTGTTTCTGTTGACATAGAAAGGTTCATGTATGTTGAACCCCAACTACATCTTGTCAGTAAATAAAAATGGTTCAGTAAATAAAAATAAAAATGGTTAAATTATTCTTGTCAAATTTCTATAACATTACCCGCAAATAAAAATAAAAATAAATAAATTCCAGAACACACAAGAGAAATCCGTCCATCAAAATCCAGCAGCTCCAGCCTGATATAATCTTTACTGTCCTCGAAAGACTTCCGGCCAAGTCTCTGCTCCGGCTCAAGTGCGTTTGCAAACTATGGAACTCCATTATCATGGATCCACTATTCACCCAAGCCCACAGAATATTTAGCCTCCCAATCCCAGATTCCAGGTAAACAACAATTTAGCCATTTTCGGGTTAAACAGAGATGAGATTATTGTCAAATATTTTGATCAGGATCAAAGTTATTTCACTCGTCTTCATACTACGGTTCCGCCTCCGACACGATTCAAATTGAAGTACGGTTTACATGGCTGGAATGTTGAAATGTCTTCACCGTTGAACGGCTTAGTATGTTTGTATTCTCGCAAGTATCAAAATGCCTCTGTTTTGAACATTACTACCAGGCAGATTTTTCATCTTCCCAAGACTGAGGAATCTAATATTAGTTCATGTTTTAGCATATGTTTTGATCAGTTGGCCAGACTATACAAAGTGTTGCATTTGTATTGGACAAGAGGTCCTTCAGGATCACCAGAATCTGCTATTTACACACTTAATAATAATGGATCAGGTTCATGGAGAAAAACATTAATGGATCCACCTCAAATATTAGATAGCTCTGATTCTCACCCTTGTGTCAATGGTACCATTTATTGGACCGTTCATCAGGAATACAAGGTAAATTTCGTTTGCTTTATGTTGATTTAAATCAAAAGACATTCAAAATCAAAAGATCACATCTCAGAAAGGGTAAGTATTTGAGTCCTGACCACTGGAAATATGTTCAAAACCATGTCGAAAGTATGTATAGGTTCGAGGATGAGGGCGAACACGAGTTCATAGCTTCTTGGGGGAGGAATAGTTAGCCGTCGTGGATTGGCCTTTCAATTGGACTTGCTCAATGGTGAGTTTTAATTCGTTTTTATGGTCAAGGTAGCAGTATTTCTCTACATGTTTCCACCAGAGCAGCTCTGAATAGGCTTTTATTAGTATCTTGTTTTGAAAGGGTAACTGTTTTGCTCATCATGATTATGTATAATAAATTCGTTTTCCTTGGTCTTCTTCGATTTTATTATTTTTTTAAGCCAACAACTATCATTTGATGTACTTACTGTTAATATAAGTGAATCAAAATGTGTCCATATTTTGATGTTCAATTTGCTATGTCAATGTGGAGAGCCTCGACTAAGCTGACTGACAACATGAGATAGTTTTTTCGATCTCAAAGAATATGTTATCCAACACTTCCATTCATGTTTATCACGTAGATAACGCTACAACTGTAAGCCTGTAAGGTATGTGGTTGGATCAATTGTAGTACATTTTAGTTTGTTGTTAATGATATATCTCAGGTAGATATATAAACGGATGTTTGTAGACAAACAGGACAATCATGCTAGAATCTTTAATACTCCATCTGCCCCAAAAAGTTAATAATTCTTTTGATGAAAGCTTTATTATTGTTGTAAAACTGAATGTACAATGGTAATGATGTTTGCACAACAAACAAAATGATATGAAAAATAGTTCACATTGATGAAATTTGAATGTACTAATAGGAATGGTGTTTATTCAGGATAATATGAAAATAGTCCACATTGAGGAGTTTTGAGATCAGTACATATTTTTCTGAGAGGGAGGGAGGGAGAGCAAATCCTTTCACGATAGGCATCATCATACACAAAAAGTAAAATAGAGAATCGAAGCTATGAAAGCTGATTTTTCCAAGCCAACCTACACTTTGCCTCAACACTTTCCTCACTCGGTCAAAAACTGTTCTATTCAATACTCAATTGTTCTGAAATGGCAAAACAAAAAGCTCAAAAGAGAATAGAGAATTGAAACTATGATGTACCAAAACTAAAGAGAAGCTATGAAGCTGTTTTTTCCAAAACAGCTAGCCTCAGCATTTCCATCAAAAGTCTGTTTTTATTCCACCACATTCAAATGTTCTTAAAATGTCAAAATTAAAAACAAGAAGAAAAAGTCTCAAGAACTACAAGCATGAAAAGAAACGCCGGAGACAAGGGATGACTTGCTGTTTAGGCGGCGGTGTGCCGCTGAACGAGACGCCGGAGAGAAGCCATGACTCGCTGTTCCCATTTAGCCTTCTCCTCGAAATTAAACATGGCCAAAGCACGCTTGTCTTCAGCGCTGTAAACCTGGTTTTCTTTCCTGGTACGAACCGCAGTCATCAGCTTGTGCCGATCCCCACTCATTACATACCCTTGCCTTTCAAAGTTTGTGATCTCCTCTGCGGTATAACCCAATTCTCCTCAGCGCGGGATACGTTTTCCTTGCTCCACAAACCTTGCCATTGCATCACCTTCACCTGGCCTCAGTGCTCTATCCCGACCTCTTTCCACCGGTAGCTCCGGTGCCTTAGGCAATGGCATTGGCCCAATTAGTGGCCCATCCTCTGTTTCCTCTGCTTTCTTCTGAGACGCAAAGTACTCTTTCAATTCAACAGCCGCCTGATCTCTGTCAATTTTGGTAGTCGTCTTTATCTCATCATTCTTTTCGGATTCACTCTTTCTCTGCCGCTTTTTATTCTCGTCTGAATTGTTCTTCTTCCTCCTCTTCTTCTTGTCGCCGGCGGTGCTCTTCTTATGCTTACTCTGTTTCCTCCTAGACTTTTTGCTGCTGCGCCTTCTACTGTGTGATTCTTCTTCTTCTGAACTTTCACTCAATTCGTGTGATGAATCACTTTTTGTGAACTTTCTTACCGCTCCTATGGCGGCTAGAACGCGATTTCTTGTGGTGCTTCCTCTTCTTCTTCGATCTTGAACCATAGTCTGATTCGGATCCGGATCCGGATTCGGAGTCGGAAACCTCAGTAGAAGAATCCGATTCGGACTCCGATGAACTTCCAGATTTGGAATCAGATTTGAATAACCTTTGATATGTTATACAGTAATAATTTTTTTTTCCCCAATACAATGAAAGACAAAACCTAAAACGCTAATACAGACCGTGGATAAAAGTAATTGCTGCAACTTCAACCAGTGGAGCAAGTAATCTATGAAAATCTCCTGCCACAATGTTGATTTTAATATTCTTTTTTTTTAAAAAAAAAGAAAATAATCATAATAACATGTTTTATCTGCTCTGTTCAGTTATTCTTTTTACCCTTTGTGGGTTTTGTGAGATTTTCCTTAAATAGAAGAGATATGTCTGTCAAAAATTTAGATGTACAAAAGTTTATAGGGATTTTGATTAGGAAAGAGATAATTACTGGAGTATCACAAAAAGATAGTACATTTTTCTCCTTTAGAGCTTTTGTTTCGTTTTCTATTTTCGAGCCGCCGCCCTGAAACTCAATTGCAAACCCTATCCTTCGTTTCCTTAAGAACACAATTTTCACCGTTGATGAACACGCCCAGAAAAAATATCCCTTTTAATCATACTTTGAAGAGTTTAAAGGCCGGATCAGCAAAATGGCCCTCGAATATCAAAACCCTCTGGTCATATGGACTGAGATCGAGCATGAAGAAACCGGAACCGCCACCACGGACGCCGACGGCGCAGCCCGTCGAGCTTCCATTCGACGTAATCTCCCAAGTGTTGGCAAGGCTTCCGGCCAAATCTCTGTGTCGATTCAAATGCGTTTGCAAACTATGGAAATCCACCATTTCCGATCCTCGATTCATCGAAAGCTGCAGAATGGGCTCCCAATTCTGGCTCGGAGGTAACTATTTAGCCATCTTTTGGTTCTACAGAGATGAGATTGTTATAAATTTCGAGCATCACGATGACGGAATCCGGCGCCATAAGGTTCCGCCTCCGTTAAAATTCAAACTGAATCGATCCGTAGATGGCAGGGGACTTGAAATTTCCCCACCCCTGAACGGTTTAGTATGTGTATATTCTCGCAAAGTTCGTCATGCATTTATTTTAAACATTAAAACCCGACAGATTATAAACCTCCCTGAGATTTCAGAAGACTGTGGTACTGTAACTTTATGTTGTGATAAATTAACAGGGGAATACAAAGTGCTACAATTCTATAGGACATTTGATCCAGCTCCTAGATTAGAATCTGCAATTTATACGCTTAATGGGTTGGATTCAGATTCATCATGGAGAAAAACAGGTGATCCACCACAACTGAATAACTTAGATTCCTCTGCTTCTCGCCCTTGTGTCAATGGAACAGTGTATTGGCTCATTGTTGGTATAAACACTACTTATCTCATCTGCTTTGATGTTTGTGCTGAAGTTTTTCGGACACTAAGGTTCACTGAAACTCCGACTTATAACGCCAATGTGCTTGTTGTGGGATCAGAGTGGTCAGCTTGTTTTCCAATCATATGTCCACATTTTGTTGCCAATGGATTCGTCCCGACGGAAATTTGGGTGCTGGAGGAATGTTGGGGATTCAACGAAGTCTCGATCAAGGAGAAGATTCCGCTCCCGCGGGATTTCACTTTGGAGTCTCCCTGGCGTCATGTCTACTCCGGCGAGCTCCCAACTGGAGAGTTGTTCATAGTTGATTCTCGGACGACGAGAAAGTTTTATGTTGATTTGAAGAAAAAGAGGTACGAGATAAAGTGGTCGTATCCAAGACAAGGCAAGTATTTGAGTCCTTATTCCCATAAAGTTCTTATAGGCTATGTTGAAAACATGTATAGATTCGAGGATCATGACAATGGTAGACACAGAGTTAACAGCTTCCTTCGTGAGGATTAATTGATCCGGTATGTTTGGGATTTTCATTCTTGACTTGCACGGATTGTTGCTATTTTAATTTGCTGTTTAATCTTAAGGGTAATAGTTTATAATTGACATTTTTTCACTTGATCAGCAGTTCAGCTACTTCTTATTAGTAATTTCTTTTGGATGGATGAATGCTTTGGCGCCCCTGATGTTGTATATACTCCAAGCTCACATGAAACAGCAACGATAATTTTATTCATTAGTTTGAAGCTAAAAAGTAAAAAACCATCATTTGTGATATTCACAGTGTTACTGAGGTTGCTGGTCTTGTATACATGAGTTTTTTTTCCCATCCCAGAGTGTTATGTGTACAATTTTGGGATGCAAGGAAAATTTGGTTGATAAGGCAGGGATATAATTTATAGCTTGGTGTTGCAAAGTTGCGATGGAGATTAAAAAAAGGAACACTTTGTTTAACTACAAAACTGTTCTTCAAGTCACTTTGCCTGCACAATTAACATATTTCCTCCGTTTTGAAATGATAGTCCAGTTTATATTTTCGTTTTTAGTTCAAATTATACTAAAAGTACAAAACTCCACTAGACAACCATTTTTGGGATAGAAAAATACAAATTTAGTGCCCACGGTTTTGAAAGTTTTTTTATTTAACAAATTTTGGTATTACAAACATGACTTCTTTTTTAAGTCATTTATTGAAAATCTGATTAAAGCGAAAAAAAAAAAACGCCATGAAGCAATGATTGCGAGTCTGGTTCAAACCTTAAACTTTTTTTTACGTCCAAAGCAGAGGATCTAAATATTTTATTCAGCCACCTAACCTTTTAGATATTACCTCCTATATATTCAAACCTTCTACTTTGAAAAGGTTGTCATTTATCAATATCTTGGACTCAGGCAAATGGTGATGACGTGCTTCATATCATTGAGGTATCACAAAAGAAGGTTTGAGGGATTTGTGAGGGTAACTTAATCTCAATTTAGAGTGGAGAATGACAAGGGAAAGAGAAAATAGTTTAAAACTCACACTTATACTTGGGTTTTATAGGATTTCGAACTAAATTCGCTGAAAAAGAAGAAACTTCAATTATATATTGGAATAGCAATAGATGAATAATGAATTAGTGGTTGATGATGGTTAAAATGCTTAGGTTTAAAGTTAACATTACTTGCACAGTTCCATCTCGCAATCAACATTTGGAAAAAGAAAACTACATGCTAACAAGGAAGAAGGATGGTAACCTGAGTTTGATTTCATTGCCCATTCTCCGACTTAATTTGTAAAAAAATGTAAAAGTGCTTTTAAACAGCTCTCCCTTAATCAATTATTTTGGGACGAAACGACGAGAATATAATTCCGGCAGTGGTGGAGCAAGGGGAAACGGAGAGGTGCGGCTCAATTTTTTTATTTAGTAGGGATATCCTGAAATTTCAATAGAAACTATATGTTGAATAATTTTTCGCACTCCCTACATTGATTCCCTAATGTTATTAGTAGTTTTGTCTACATTTTGCACTTCCAATATTGATTTCCTGGCTCCGCCACTGAATTCTACGTTATCTCATTTTGAGCAGCTTTTCAGCAAACTAATGAAAACTCAGAGTTTGCCTTCCAGAAAGAAAAAGAAGAAGAATGGTAAAGCAAGAGTCAGCATTGTATTCAGTAAATTCTCAAAATAATGATATTTTTTACATTTGCAATCAAACAGTTTACCTGTTTTAACAAATAAGATCACTGTCAGTGTGGCTATGAGTCCACTTTCTGTCCTGAGATAATGTGTAAAAGAAAATAAATCAAATGCAAGGAAGTCTTCTTCTCACCTAAACTAGATAGCGAAATGCAAGATGCGTATTAACTTGTTTTACTACCAACTCAACATCATGAAAGCTGTATGTCAACTAAACTGCTGAATATGATGAAATCAGCAGTTTGTTTTTAGCCAAAAAAAATTTACCCAAAAATTCATCTTCATTATTCAACAAATCCAAGAATCCAAAGCATATTTTCCCCCTTCTTTCCTTAACCCTTCTCCTTAATTTCCTCAGAAAATCTTTAAATCGAATTAGTCATGATAAAGCACAGAAAGTTGTACCCAACTTCAGATAGCAACTCAACCCTTCCTTGCCCTGATATTTGTGATTCATCATGCCCTTATGGCTGTGACCCTTATGCAGATGGTTACTTGCTTCCGCCGCCGGCGCCACCACCGCCGGCGCAAGATTCACATTCCATCTTATCCAAGCCAAATGGACATCTGTCCCCTTTAGTGATCGTCTTGGTAACATTGTTTTCCAGTTGTTTTTTTGCTGTAATTTTCTACCTGCTAGCGGTGAAGTTCCGGCCAAGATGGAATTTTTTCCGACGCCGGCAAAGGCAAACTCCAGAGGACACTAATGAAGAGTTTCTTGATCAAAACCATGGCCCGACAGCCATTGATTATCCCATTTGGTACATAAACACCATCGGTCTCCAGCCGTCGGTAATCGAATCGATCACAATTTTCAGGTACAAGAAAGGGGAAAGTTTGATTGAAGGCACTGAATGTTCAGTTTGCTTGAATGAGTTCCAAAATGACGAAACACTCAGGCTGCTACCTAAATGTAGTCATGCTTTTCATATCCCCTGTATTGATACTTGGTTAAGATCTCACATTAATTGTCCTGTTTGTCGCGCCGGAATCGTCTCAACGACTGCCACTAGTATCCCGGTGGTTTCAAATGCATTGAATACGAACAACTTGGGGGCAAACGAGGATTCCCAGTCGGAGAATACAGAATTTGGAGACATAATTAACGTCAATATTCGGGCCGGAGAAGACGGTTTTTGCGAAAACAGGACAGATACAGGGGAGATAACTGAAGCTCAACTGGTAGATCCTGATGTACAGGATGTTCAGATAGTAAAATTTAATTTGATCCATAAAGAAACTTCTGATTCTCCGGTACTTGAAGATTCAGACAATGAAGATTATGATGAGAAACCAATGAGAAAGTGTGTTTCAGTGGATTCCTTATTGAAAGTTTCTGTATGTTTGTCTGAATCCGAAGATAATTCGGGCTCAGAAGATCAAATTCCGGGGGAGGTTTCTTCAAAGAAGGTTTGTGGAAATTTAAAGACAGTCAGGAATTCTGATGGCAATTATTTGATAACGCAACATCTGCACAAGAGACCTGTTCAGATGAAGAGATCGTTCTCATATTCAGGGCGGTCAACATTGCTTTCTTCCAGACAATATTCCAGAACCAAATCATCAGTTTCATCATCAAACCCCAGAGATTAACCAATTCAGAAGAATTGTCTGTATAAAAAAGCTCAGCTCGATTCTTTTGTTCAAAATGTTGCAGAAGGAATGAAGAATAACCATGGAAAACCTCCAAAGTCCAAATAAATTTCCATTATTCAAGATCAAGAGTCAAAAGTACAACATTCAGCAGATTCAAGCACGAAGATAGTTATGATATTGCGTGTTACATCACGATTATGGTAAGCGATAGGCAACCAATCCATACCAAAAATGATGTGGATGATCAAGTTGCTGAAATTTTTTTTGCTCCCTCTTTTGCAGTGTTCTGAAGATTCACATATTTTTTTTGGTGGGTTATCTTAGAGGAACTTCCCAGGTACATGGAGGATGTTAATATTTTGCTTGCAAGTTGAAATATTATAGACATTTTAAGAAGATTAGCGGATTTTTTTACTACCTGTGCTTTTTGTATGCCGTCCAATATTTGTTTCATAAGGTATGTTTCAGAGAAAGAGTACATTGCTTGAGTTGTCATTGATTATATAATACAAATCGACTCCAGTGGTAGGTATAATAAGTCATATATACTAACTTGCTCATTCTAATAATTCACTTTGTCGAACTAAAACAGTATTACGAAATAAATTATTTCAATGAAATAGAGAATCACTGATCGGCAATGTAAATGGCACAAAAAGCGATTGGTATCAAGCTCATTTCACACTTTTGATAAATTCTTTTATACATTGGTTATATAATCTTGCGTGGTGCACCCTAACACAATATCCTGCACACAAAATATGAATGCACCAAGTGCATTCAATATTTTTTTCACACTTGTAACTAAAGTTCAGAATTTTGAACCAAATTAAGTGCCGGTTTAAGGTTCACGAAAAATTATTGGGTACAATTACTGTATTATAGTTTTTAGTGCATCAAGTAGTAACACATCTCTATTTTGGTGCTATAACTCCGTAGAAATTATCTCTCTCCTTCTAAAATTACTATTTTATCTCTATTATTGTGTCTGGCTGCACAATCTTAGATACACTGAATGATTTCTCAAGGTCCACAACATGAATAATATGCTCCAATCTGGCCGAAAGAAATGCTTGCCACGCAGTCATTGGTTGGACTAATACCAACTGAAAAAAGTCTTCTCATGAAAAAATTATATTCGAACTTCTCATTTTTGGGAGTATGGATCATGTGGTTTAATACAAAAGTTTATGAATTTATCAAGATGTAAATATGACTGTGTTCTTCAATGGACTAAAAATATAAGTTTTTTCAATTACCTCCTCCATGCTACTATACAGTCTCTTCATTCAAACATTGAAAAAGTTGTCTATAAGTTTGACTGGGGGCACAATTGATTGGTGACTAAGCTAAGTACTAATACTCTTAAGCGAGATTATATTTTTAAATCCAACTGTTTAGCTTTTTAATAAAGTTAAAAAATGCTTTCACCATAGCCATGACTACTTTTCAGTCTTGAGATAATGTACAAAATCAAGAAAGCAAAATGCGGAATTCGATGTCATTTGTTTATATGAATATGGATACGAAAGCACTATATCAGCAGAATTTAGCCAAATTAATGAAATACAATAAAACTTCTCAAGTCTAATCCAACCCAATTTCATCTTCCCTGCCCATTTCCCCGGGCAAAACCGTTCTTCCATCAATTAATATGATTAATTGCACAGAAAATTGTTTTCATCATCATCCTGGCATTATTTGCTATTTGCTTCATTGGGATCACCATCTATATATGTATTAGTGGTGACATTCAGGCGAAACCCGAATGTTTCCGGCCGGCACCGACAAAGGGAATCACCAGAAGTCACAAATGTTGAGTTTCTTGCAGATGAGACTCATCATGATATGTTAAGGATTCTTGCTCCCCAGGGACACCATTATGCCCCCCGTCTCCAATGGTCATTTATCGAGACGATCACGGTTATTACGTACAAGAAAGCAGATGATTTGACCCAAGGAACAGAATGTTCCATCTGCTCAGCTGAGTTCCGGGAAGATGATTACACTCAGGCTGCTGCCTAAATGTTGTCACGCGTTTCATATTCCTTGTATTGATACTTGGTTGAGATGGCACAAAAATTGTCTGGTTTGTCGAGCCCAGATTTCACTCGATCGAAGGATCTATATCCCGTGGGATGAATTTTATAATCTCGACGATTCCACAGCTCAATCCACGTCTGGAGTCAATCAGGTTACAGAGGATGATTCTCCTGAAAACAGGACAGATGCAGGGGAAAACGCTGAAGCTCAGAGGTAGATCAAGATTTCCAAATGTATTATTAGCATTGTAAAAGTTACAATATTACATCCTGAAGAAATTTCCAAAAATTAACTCTATGTGACTTTTATATTGATACCAATAAAATCGAAAGATATTTCAAAACTACAAGAAGAAATATAAAACTCAACGATTGTTTTCCTTTTTTCATAGAGTTTTGGATCACGTCTAATTCTTAGTTGGGTTATAAAAGCAGACTACCAAGTAGGAAATGGAATGCACAATATAGTTCGGTCCATGACTTTTGAAGGCCCAAATATAGGCGCACGTGTAGTTTCACTTCAAAATCAATTGGAAATAAGAGGGGTAGCACATGGGGTATATATGTTGAGTTTAAGAGTCTCCATCCATCCATGTGGGACAAGGGAACATGATGTAATTTCTTTTTTTTCATTCATTTAACACGTCCCTCTCAAGCCCTATGGACTTGGACGGGCAATTTTATATTTTTTTCTGATTTTTTTTCAGTCTTGCGATCGGTTATTTTTCCGGATAAACCGTCGCCTGTCGGGCCAGTCAAAGTTCAAAGTCAAACCCCAGATTTCTTTCTTGGGTTGACCAAAGTTTCAAGACCCAATCTGGATCAGTCCACATCGCCCCACAAGTCCCACAATTCCGCAGATTAAAACCCGCTCTGATACCATCTTGAAGGCCCAAATATAGGCCCACATGTAGTTCCACCTCAAAACCAATTGGCAATGAGAGGGGTAGCATATGGGGTATATATGTTGAGTTCAAGAGTCTTCATCCATCCATGTGGGACAAGGGAACATGAGATAATTTCTTTCTTTTCATTCATTTCCTTACATTGTTATATCGATGTGATTCTTAAAATGGCGTTCGGGTTTTTTTTTTTAATATATTTTTTTTAAAAAATGGAGTTTGGGTTTTGTCGGTATTCTCGTTGGTTTATAGGTAAACGAGCAGGTCGACGGGAATAATTTCAACAAAAAGTTACATTATTTGACTTTTAAATTGTTACGACAAAGAAAAGAAAATTTCAAGTAACACATATTACAAACCTAGAAGAAATTTTTTTGAACTTTTAAATTGTATAAAGTAAATGAACTAATTTCCAGACAACAATATCATCAAAAAAATTTTAAAATAAACCAAATGATAGAATTAATTTTGACCTTTGTCGACATTCTGGTCTGACTTTTCAAAAGAAATGAATAATCCAATGCGAATTATTTATACCAAAAAAGTTTTGAGATTTTCTTACATTGGTAGATATAAATTAATGAATTACAATACCACAATAAAAAAAAAAGAAAAATAAAACAAATAAATGAATTTTCTGCCGTCTTCAACTTTCTTTTGGCTTTGCAAAGTTGACAAACGAGGTCGATGCCAACCTTTTCTGCCAGGAATAAATCTTTTGAGAGTTTTGGGTTGATACCTAATAAATAAGTAAAAGAAGTAATAACTTCACTATACTGTAAAAATAATATTCAATCTCGACAATAATTTCGAAACGGAATTTTGATTTTCGTTGATTTTGTCATCAAAGAGATGAATACTGATTGTATATTGATAAAGATAAATTAAAAAATGTTTTAGAGCAAAAATTGGAATCATAGAACTCAATGATTGTAATTTTTTCATAGATTAAGTTTTGGTTCACGCCCTATTTTAAAATTTTAATCGGATTAGAAGCCAACTGCCAAGTTGAAAATGGAATGAACGGCATCGTTTGCTCCATGTCGAACTTTATATAATTGATGGAATATTGAATTTACTGTGCTACAACTATAAGATACTGCAAATGATGTAGGAAACAAAAATGTGCTTGGCACTTGTCGACTTTGTCGTCAGTTTTTTTTTTTTTTAATTTTTAATTTTTTTTATCAAAAGGTAGTTATATATATAACCTTTAATTAGGTACAAAAGCCACACGACGGGAGTATAATACTCCTATCACGTCATGCAATAATCAAGACCGGATTTGTGGAGGCGGTAAATCCAAGCGGCTAAGTCTTCCGGGATTCATCACCGCCAAGCTAGCTAGACAGTTCGCGGTAAAATTACACTCTCTATGAGCATGCAGTAAAATTTTATCGTCAGGTTTTTTAAACAAACGAACAATCGAAATTGTTGCCAACTTGGCAACTCGCCATTAATAAATTTGATCAAAAAGTAAATATAATGTAACAAATCAAAGAATATTTATGGTAACGCAGTAAACAGAAAAGGCATAACAAAATCAAAGGTTAAATATTTATTAGGTCTTTTTGATTGAGACTTTGTTTGAGTAGAGTTTTGATGAGTCGACGCGCGATCAAGTAAAAAATAAAATGCGTCGTATTAAATTTGGTTCTTGTTGGCTTTCGCAAGGGTAGTAGAATGTAGTATATTTCATAACTTACTATATACAACGTGTTATATTTTAACCCGTCGATTTTTCAACCTGTTTTGTATGTAAAAGGAGTATATGTGATTTTAAATTGATTTTTGCATGAGAAGGAAAACTTTATAGTTTTTGTAAATATATAAGATCTGAAAAATTGACTTGAAAAACTGAAATTATTAATTAGTTTTGAAAAATAAAATGATTAAAAAATTGTTAAAATAGTACAAAATAATTGTACGAAATCCTTTTTCAATCCGCACAATGTGAAAGAGTTCTCAAGTGTCAACTGTGGAACATGCCTATTACACAAGTGACAAAAGAAATGGGAATCCACATATCTCTCTATGAAATAACATGGAACATGATCGTCTTGGATATGCTCATGTCTTGTTAGGCTTATATATCTCAACTGATCATTCAGTGGTTCTTTTTAATCCGAACTTCATTTTCTTCATATAAGGATATCTATCTTTATTTTCTTTGGGTACATTAGGATATACATATATATATATATATATCTGTGTGTGTGTGTGTGTGTTTTTTTTTTTTTTGCTTCAAAAAACAAAACTTATTTATGCCTCCATGATGAGTTAATTGGTAAATAAATCACTGACTGCTTTAATTATTTCCTTTGTTTATTGTCATTTTTATGACCAAACCGCTGCGGTCGGCTCCTAACCACTTTTCTATTTATCTTTAGAAAGACGTGACCAAGAATTGGCTAACTTAAGGTAAACAGATTCATTAGTCCAAGTGATAGAAAACTTTTTCCTAGTCTATGAATAGAGAGGATTAAATAATATGCAATACTCATATCCCAAAACGATTTTATATAAATCAGGGTGTTGAATGTGAAATATGTTTTCTGATTCATCACATTTCAGTAATAAAAAATATACATTAATTAGAAGAGTAATAAAAGTGGAATCTAGTGTACCTTTTCATGCATGTCGACCGAAAAGACCAGGAGATCGATCCAAGATACAAATACGAACGTCTTTTTTCATACTCAATGGAGTCTATTCGATATGACTAGAAATCGGGCCAGTTCAATCTCTAGGTTGATTTCTTGATTGTTTTCGCCTCTTTTTTTTTTAAAAGTGAGTAATCATGTAACCGAGGCATCAGCGTTGTAATCAGATTTAATTTGAGTACCAGTTTGAAACATCTTCCGCTATCAAACAGCTGATTAATCAATCTTGCAGATTCCAGGCATAATCGAACATTTTGAAAGGTCAATCAACAAATTAAACAAAACATAGACGATACACCTCAAGCTCTCAAATTTTCAAAATGAAGGATTTCAAAGCAATGATTCATCTTCCTTTTTTTTTCTAGCTCTAATTTATTTTGCTCATACAGAAAAAGACATGAATGATTAGATCGGACTACCCCCTAGACCTAGAAGCTAAAAGGGGGGGGGGGGTACTACTGCTTGCACATGAGAGAATCTTTGTCCTAATATAATATAACCAACTAGCTACGTGACACAAAAACAATTATAAAGACAGGTGAAATTAAATTAATTAATTAGAAAAAACCTAAACAATCATATCAAGGTGGGAGACTTGAGAAAAAGAAGCTAGCCTTATAAGAGTTTACCCATATATGCATATATATATATGTTCTTCTAACTATAATAAAATAATTAGGGTTCCAACGTAACTTCCAATATTAATCTAAACAGCTTCTTCTTCAATTCTTCCCAGTAAGTGATTCACAGCATCAGCTATTTCGTCTACTGTTGTTAGCTGGCATCCTTCCTCAAGCTGTTCATAAAATCAAAGTACAAGTATCACAATCTCGACCCACTAGGAAGACTTTACCTTTACAGTTTAACACTATTCCTTATCAATCGTGTTACATCAGTAAAACGATGACGTTTTTAGTTTTAATGAGACAACTTATTATACTATAAAGGGATTGTAAATATTACCTTAACACTTATGGAGTAGAGGACCCTTTGGTCAAACGTTGTAGTGACATTGAGATGGAGAATAGTGAACCAGAGACATTGAAGGCCAGAAACTATTTTCAAGAGTTGCCTTGGACGTTTCTTGGACAGAATCTTGAGGTTAGCATGGCTCTCTGCCATACTCACTTCTATGTCGGCAAAAGCCGTTGACCGCTTCTTATTAGGCTTCTCATGTCCGTCCGCAGGCGGCGCCGGAATGTTACTCGTCGGATGTGAATTGTTAGGTTGAGCTGATGATGATGAGGATGATGAAGGGGTTGTTGAATATTGTGGGAAGGTGAAAAAATCAGCAAAAATTGGTGGGACAACACCATTTTCCTCCATTTGTTGTTGCTGTTGTTGATCATCGTCATTGTTATTAATTGGATAAATGGTCCTCTTTTGTGCCTCTAGAGATTGAAGATATTGTTCAAGCTCTTTCACAAAATTAATAGCTCCTCCAATTATTGATGCTTGGTCACCCTGCAGGGAAATTTTTATAATCAACGACAAACTGGATTAATTTCATACTAATTTGTCGGGTTTACGTATACAAATTTGCTACTAATTTCTCCAACTTCAATTAATTAATGAAATAGATTTACATACATAGTATGTGATGTGACCCAAGATTCCACTGTTTGAATAAACACTGACCAAATTGACATCTCTACATACCCTTTTCATTTCTCTAATGCATCCTAAATTGATAAGACAAACAGTTTTTATTGCTTTTTTTTTTTTTTTGTGTGTAATATGTCCCATCGATCCATGAAAACGATGACTAAGTTTATATAAGATCAATTTTTGCAAGTGACCAATGATCTTTACGCTTTTTGTAGGAACATGATAGTGGACGGATTATATATTATGTTGATTGATTGCACAAGTTTCTTTTTCAGGACAAAACAAAAATAGCACAACATTTCTGCATTATTCCCTCCATAATTAAAGGCTAGAAGGAAGAAAGAAAAAAAAAAAATAAAGAAAGCTCAAATGCTTCTTAGCTAGTGTGTGACTGTGTGTAAAATGCAAAAAAAAAAAAAAAAAAAAAAAAAAGAAAAAAGAAAATGTTTGATAATTACCCTTTGAACATAAGAAGGTGGCATTAATGATCGAATGACGGCAAGATAATCGTTCATTTGTTTCCTCCGATTCCGTTCAACAGCAATGTGAGTCATCCTTTGGTTCTCCAATTCTTCTTTGTTCTTGCTAGCTCTAGTCCGTTGCCGTTTACGCTTGCCGGAGGCCGGGACGGCCGATGACTCTTCCATCACGGCGGTGGACTGGTCAACTCCGGCGTGAAGTTCCGGCGAGGATTTTGCATCCCAATATTCTTTATTCACATTTTGCATCACCCCCTGAGGAGAAGAAGATGATGAAAAGTAATCCCAATTTCCATTTACGCAACATTGTTCCATTCCATTGCCGATCAGTTTTACAAATCCTTTCTGTGCTTCCACATCAAAACCGCCACCGCCACCACCGCCGCCGGGGCCTAATCCGGCACTAACTCCGCCACCAAAGGTGAAGATATCCTTACAAGGATAACCCATTGAGTAGTACTCTTGTGGATGAATTGCAGCATCAAGTGCCATTAATTTACTCAACAAAAATTTTCTAAGTAAAAATCACTCTGTTTTTTTTCCTTAGTACATGTTGATCTCCATAAGCTTGATTATGGAGAAAGTGGGATTATAAGAATTGAGCTGCATACATATAGTTTAAAGTGAAGGATTAGAATAATATGAAAAGGATGTTGAAGGAAATTGCTGATTGAGGAAAATTCACTTGAGTGAATAGGAAGGTTCATGCATAAGACCAATTTGTAGAAGAAAGCCAAAAGACCAAACAATTTAGCCTTTTATTTTTTTCCCTTTTTTTTTGGTGCTCAATTCCCTAAGCTACAGAGCTGGGAGAGAATGAATGGTTGGTGAAGCTGCTCTTGAACTAGTTCTCAAACTTGACATAGAATTAAATAAATATAGAATGAAGAGAGGGGCAAGGGCTTGATAATTTAATGAGAAGAAAAGAAAGCAACAGTTCAGCACACGTGACGTGGTAGTAGTAAATTGGACTAGTCATCACTTCACTCATCAATCATCAAAAAAAAAAATTTGTATCAAAATTTTAGATTAAAAAAAAAAAGAAATTTATGAAGAGATTATAGAGTGACAGGGAAAAAAAGTAGCAAATTACAATATTATATTTGCTAATTTGGAAAGAAACAATTTTAATTAAGTTTCTACGTTACATACAACATGTCAGTTAGTAACTCATATATTTTTTTTCATATTTCAAATGCCATTTATGAAATACTAATATATGTGGCCGAATAAAAGAAAAAAGGGTTTGTATAATATATGGGGGAAATTCTTCCATCATCAGTTCATCACAATAGGAGATTGCCTCGTACACTTATCTCAGCAATGTTCGATAACAGCACAGCAATAATGGTCCCTCTAGATTCTTGTAATTTATTGTTATTCGGATGGTCCCTTTGGACTACTATAATTTATTTTACAATTCACATAAGGTAAAATCATGAAGTTGTGGGGACCTAAATAGTGTTCTACGTTATGTTTGAGCACTACTACAACAACAACGATGGGTGGAAATTTTTTGGCCAAACTTGCAAGCATTTCAATGCAATCCAGATTGTGAGAATCCCAGACTACCAAGTTCCAAGTGATTAGATTGTCAGAATTTGTGTTTGTTACACTATAGTAATGCGTATCAGGGAAACTATAACCATGTTTTAGGAACCAGTACTGTTGGCCTTAAATCCTCATTGTCTAAGTGATATAAACACTAATTCACATTTGTTTTTTGGTTAAAAAACGATCCAAACTGCCAAAGGCCTTGGCTCATACATATTAATTCCTACCTAGCTCCTTTACTATATAGCACTAAAGAGATGAAACTTGTGGATACATAAATTTCTCCGTCCCGAAATTACGGACAATAATTTTAAGACAGAGATTAGTAAAAAATTAAAATTAAAGTTATATGTGCTTATAAGGTCTCCTTTCTAAGTGAATCATTGTAAAAGTTTTTGCTGTTAATATACATTTTTTACAGTTTTCACTTAGATCAGATCGCAAGTTATCATGGAAAACCATATTCCGACTGAATCGTTATGATACACTAAGAAAAAATTGTGTTTGAACTCGGTTCAACATGTTTTTGATGTGATGTGAATCCTAACCTCGTAAGAGATTGGATACAATTACAAATATATGGTTGTGCGGAGGTTGAGGAATGAACCCAAATTATTGAGGGGAGATATGGTAAATCTGGATTCCATATTGTGTATAGTACGAAATCGAATGGGTACGTAACGCTAGCAATATTTGTCGATCGATTGAACATAGTAATAAATAAATAATATAGTTTCCGGGAAGACATCGGATGGACCGTGGGAAATGCGTGCCCCGAGATGATGTGAAAAGGCCCTCTGATTCATCATTCATTAGGTAATGATTCGGTCGGACGCTGGGCACGGAAGAAGAGAGATGCTTCATATTGCTGACGAAAAGTTGACACTGCAAAAGCTCTCTCTTTCCCCCAGAGATTCTGTTGTTTCTTAAGCACCAAAAGATCTGGGAAAAAGTGTTACATGTTCCATGTAGGTGTTGTTCTATGTGAAAGAGAAAACAATATTATTATCAATGATATTGGCTTAATATTCGTGAATTGTTCATCGATAACAATGACTAATTTTCTTCATTTAATTAAGTATTCTGGAAACGAGACACCAAACAAATAAGATGTACATTTTTTTTTTGTTACAAAGAAAGATGTGAAAATTTATATTCTGTGAACAAATCAAGATATAATATATATCTATCGTTATTATATCATGTTTCAGTCACGGTGAAACAATACATACTGAGGATGATACAGTAGGGGGTTAGGAGGAGGACACTTCTACTCTCTGCCAGAGGCAAAGGAATCCATGTGACCTCACAAACTCTGCAGGCCCTTTCTGCTAACATCTTCTCAGATCAAGAAAACTTGCTTTACCTTCCCAAGAAGAAGACTTACTGTTGCTGTCTCTTGTACGACTCTCCTGTCTTCAATTATTGGGTTTTAATTCATTTTTCACCCAGGTTTTTTTTTTTATTTTTTATTTTTAATTTCAGACATTCTTTCTTGGGTTATTTTAATGTATAGTATAATATTTCTATATTTCTGTCAGTAACGAATACTGCGTCTCTCTTCTGAAGTCTGAACTGGATGCATGGGGAACATTAAAATTTGTTTGAGTATGTTTGTTATGTTGTCTAGGTAGTAAAAGTTGCAGTTTAGACCGGCTCATTGGGAAATAGGAATCGACATATTAAAATGTTTTAGTAGGTGTAAGATTTCTATGCACAATTCGTTCTTAGTGATAATGTATAGTATATTGGTACACCAATATTGTTTAGAAGCTATTAATGTTTTTATTTTTTTGATACAAAGAATAAACATATATTCGTGATTATCTTAAATTATTACAATACATGGACGAACAACTTTAATCAAATCATCTACAAACAATGGTGTAAATGCTTGTAGGAGTCAGAAATTGATGGTTGTTGGGTCGTCAACAAGAATGCTAGATTACATACACAAAATTCGTTTCGCTAAATACATAAGCTAGCTATATGCCTATATCTACCTCCTCCTCCTCTATTAATTAACTTGGTCAGAATAATAGTGTCGTAGAGGAAGAATATGCTAGCTGCTTAAATGGAATTCAATTAATTGAAAGTCTAAATCGTAGCTTTAGTTAGTTGCTTGCTGTCTTAAACTTTGTCTTAAATTAAAATCTGTTGTAATCGTATAGTTTAGTAGTTCTTATGCCATGTGTTTCCAAGCGCAAACCACGCTTTTTACTTTTTGGATGCAAAACGTGATGGAGTTTGGTTTCGTACATACCAAGTTTCGTAATCCATGCCATTTCAATTAGAAGGCCACAGGAGGGATGGATAGAGGTGAATTCAGACGGAGCTTTTGACCATGGAACGGGAATGGCTAGCGCAGGGGCGTGTTGTGCGTGATCATCTTGGCAAATGGCTTGGTGGTTTTATTAATAACATAGGGTTTCGCACAATTACTAGTGCAGAAGTGTGGAGCCTTTTTCAGGGTTTAAGCTTGTCTTGAGAAATGGGTCTTCGAAGGATTATTATGGAAGTTGATAGTCAATGTGTTGTGAAGATGGTGACAAAGGAAAATGTCGAATTGGAAATCCATGGTAGCTTAATCAAAGCTATTCGAGAGTTGTTGAATCGAATTCGTTGGGAGGTGGTGTTACAACATGAGTTCAGGAAATCCAATTTTGTGGGTGTTTACTTGGGTTCTTTTGTAGCTACTGGTGTTGGTGGTTTGTTGAGATTTTATGACCCTCCGAATGAAGTTATTCCTTGGTTAGAATACGATATTATTGGTGTTTCGTACTAAAGGAATACTCTAATGTCATAATCTAGGTTTTTACCTTCTATTTTGTACCAAAAAAAAAGCCCGGAATTAAGATCCTATGAAAAATATTTGAGAAGCCAAATGACTAACTCAAAGGTTAATAGAATGAAGCAATTATTTATTTATTTGTTATTTGGGTGCACGTACTAGTTATAGTTCTATCTAAGCTTTGATCCCTATTCTCTGCCGGCATATACGTTTTTGGGATAGGGAGTCACGTATCAGGTGACCAAAAAAGTTGATACTTAAATATTTTTTGTTTGCTACATTAAAAAAAAAAAGAATGATTGTAATGAATAGTTTTTTTTTTTTTTTTTCAGGAGAAAGTAAAATTCAATATGGACTATTTTATTAGGACAAAAGAGTATACCAATATCATTATGCAAGCTTTGTCAAAAATCAATAATGTTGAAACATGATGCGGGGAAGAATCGAGAAACCAAAATTTGGAAGGATTTATACAAGTACTATTTAATTGGACAGAGAATATAAAGTTATATAGTGGGGATATGGGCGGAAGACGGAAGGTTCGTTTGTATTGTGTTTAGGTTGTTTTTATTAATTTCATATTTCCCGTTTTGCTTTTTCTTTTTCTGTCTCTTTTTTTTTTAATCTTTAATTGTAGTCCAACCGAAGATCTGAAAGCTCGACGAGGAACCTTCGCATCGTTGTTCTAATGTATTCCAAAGCCATGCATATTGTCTAGTTAAAATTTTTCAGTATAAACTAATTGTACTGATACTGAAAATTCAAATTGAACAATTATAATTAAATAATAGAGCGAAAATGTGTAGCCGGAGAATGAATTAGAGAGATTCACAATGATACATAATGTGCATCAACAGAGCGGAAATGTGTCGCACGAAAGAAAATTAGAGAGATTCATAATGATGCGTAATGTGCTTTCAATGAAATCGGAAATGCGAACAAAGCCAGATAACAATCCAAAAATCGGAAAGTGCGAAATTAAACTAGAAATGGTGACTGGACATACGATTGATTGTTGAATCAGTAATGCTCAATTAGATCTCTTTTCCTTTGCTGGGGAACCAATATGAACATCTTTTTGAAAGTGTCACTATAATGCAGCAACCTAAATCCTTTTGCATATAATTGCGGATCCATGTATTCAATAGCATTAAGTCCATCCATGCATTCTTGAAGTATCTCATCGTCTGATTTTCTAGGGACGATTATGCTTCTAACAGCATCCATCTGTCCCTCGACATCAGACGATTCTATTGATGGTCTTGTTGAGCTTAAACTATGACTTGCTAGAGTTTCTTTCAAAGCATCCAACTTCTCTGAAATTTCTGACAGCATTTTTAGGATGCTATTAGAAGTGACACCATCAGGGGATATCTCTTTTTCCTGATGATCATCATATTCTTCAGCACGAGCAGAAGACCTGGCCATGGCTACGGATTTCAATAGTAATTTTGGCAACAATACCTATCAGATTTCAGACCTGAAAATTCAGATATTCAAAAGTAAAAACCTTATACGCAGATTTCGTTGTTTAGATTTTAGCGTTATTAAGAGAAACACTAATAGTTAATATTATATTCTCTGTGTCCCAAAATAAATGGATGATATTTCATTTCATGTTTTAATGTAGCTAAATGTTGGGAGGACAACATGGACGAACACCAAACTACTTACCAAATACTAAACAATACGTAAAGATGACCATTAATTAGTACATCTGTAAGATCATATTGTCAGGGGATTAAAAATATCAACACTAACTGTAGAGGTAAAACAAGCAGCGAAATGACATGAAGATTTACGTGGAAAACCCAATTTCATATATATGACGTAAAGAGGTAAACATCACATGACTTTATATGTAGCCAAAATTCAAGATCATGAAGAAGTAAGAAGTGATAACATCCAAAAGAAATAGCAATGGACTTTCGAAATTAATAACTCACAATCTAGAACCCAGAATCCGTCCGTCAAAATGAAAATTGATGAGACTTCATATTTCCGTAACAATTTTCAGGCAGACTCAGACAATAGTTGGATTCGGATCGTTGACAAACCTGGAACTGCTCTGCAGGAAAACTTGCTGGAAAATCTTTCTTTCTCTACTGTTTTCAGCTCCCAAAACAGCCGGCCTTCTTGTCTGATTTTGCTGATGAATTTCGCCCTTTAATAAGACTTTAAGTGGCCAAGCATGAAAAAACAAAAAAATACTCCCTCGGCTTCTTAATATAAGACATTTTGATTTGTCCTAAATTTTACCTATATTCATTTTTAATTGGAAAGAAAGTCTTAAAAATATATTTTCACATTCGTTGTGTTCTCTTGATTATTGAGAAATATTTTTAAGATTTTTTTATCAATTAAAAATACGTACTAAGTGAAACTTATGACAAATCAAAATGCCTTAAGCACCGAAGGTTAGTACTCCCTAAATCGAGTTTTCAACATTTACTTTGCTCGGTACATTTAAGTTTTCTGTAAGTGCTGTATTTGATTTATGGCGGATTTATTTTGTAATTTTCTGGAAGTCAACTAGAAAAATTGACAAACAAATTGATAATTTACCGGCATTTATTTGTCAAAACAGAGGTTGAGGGGCACAAGGAAAAGTAGTTTTTTTTTCCCCTTTTACTGTTTGGAGAAAATAAAAAATAAAAAATTTATGTTTCGTCCCTTTTAAATAAATTGTAAAGTTAATTTTGAAATACTTCCATTTTAATTAATTACTTAATGAAATCAAACATTTAGAAAACGAAGAAAAAACTGATATACTAAATGGCTAAAGCAAGCTTCAAATCATCATAGACGAAATGTTCTAATTTCCAAATTTTACGATTGATTTTTGGGCCTCTAGATGAATCAACACCTTTATACCGGGTTGTATAATACCAAACAATACAAATGAAGGAGCATCGAGTAATGTTAGTAAAATAAAAGGAGCAATGTGCAAAATCTTTTGGATTTGCTAACCGTTTAGCTTTGCTGGTTACTTCAATTCTGTTATGAGCAGTTCTCTCCGGTATCCGTAGATTGGGAAACTCAAAAATAAAACTTCAATTCCCTTTTCACTCTGTTCTTCATTCATCTTCTCCCTTTGCAATTCATCTGAAGAACTGAAAGCCACTCAGTTACTACCGATTCAATTGCCAAAAAACCCATTGATTTTTAAGCATTTTGAGCTACTTTTCTTTTTGGATAAATTAGCAGAAGGAAGGTAACCAAGAAGACTTAGAATCAAGAAGTAGCAGAGTCAATGGGATCGCAAGATTCATCCAGCGGTAATCTTCCCGTTCTTGGAGACGATAATGAGTCTAAGATCTCAGAAGGAATTCATCCCGGTGATACCTCGAAATTCCCAGAAAGAGTTCATGATGGGCATGTTGATAATGAGTCGGAATCACCTGCAGAAATTGACAATGATGCTGATGAACCGAAGGAAGAAAACCAAGAAGAAGCAGGACCCGACCCATCATTGGGATTGCAAGATTTTTCCAAGAATTATCCTCTTGCTCACGGTGGAAAAAATGAATCCAAAGCTCATCCTGATGATGATAATGCTTCAAAATTCCCTGAAAACTCTCCCCGCGGTCATGGTAATTAATCTATTAGGCCCGAATTTCCCTTCTGAATATGCAGTTTTGATATGTGAAGTTCTTTTCGTTGATTCTATTTGTTTTCTTTCCCTCTTACTCTGTTTCTCTCTGTTGCCCAGATGCTCCGCAAGGCGGTAATGATGGTGCCGATAGTCAACTTCAATCCGCAATCTTGCAATCCATACAAGGTATAAATACGAAAATTTCAATTTCAATCTTGAGCCTTGTTCTTTCTGCGAGGAATTTGATCGATAACGAATTGAATCGTGATTATTATAGGATCGAGTTCTCAAAGTGGTGAATCCGAATCGTCTTCTGCTCCGGGGTCCCCTGCTTCTGATGATCAGCGGGAAGAATGTGTGATCTGTCATGTTGAAAATTCTATTGAAACAATGAGACGAGCTGATCGATGCGCACATTATTTCTGCCTTAAATGCGTCAAGCCTTACGTCGGGAGAGAGGTTCTGGAAAAGCAGTGTTACCCTGTGGTTTGCCCAGATAAATTGTGCGCCGAAAACTTGCTTGAAGATGAAACCAGGGAGTACCTGAATCAGTATATTGAAGACCGCATACATTGGGCTCAAACTGTGATGGCGCTTAAGGGAGCTCCAAGAGTGATTCAATGCCCTTCTGATTACTGCAAAAAGCCCTTCTCAGATGATTGGATGAACTTGTTGAAAAGGGCTTGCCCACATTGCAACAAACTCATCTGCATGAGTAGCAGGGTCCTGTGGCATTATCACCTGTTTTGCTACGAATTCCAGGCATTGAAAAGAGCTGCAATGATGCCTGAAATGAGACCCATTTTTGAAAGGATCTTGGGAAAATATATGTGGTGTTGGTGCTCTAATTACATTCCTGGAGAAGCTAGCAGAAAACCATTGGAGAAGTGAGTGGCTTTTTTGAGTTTGTACTGATGTTGGCAGATTCTTGGCAAAGTTGGCATTTTGTGGGCATTACAGAAGCTGAAACTCCAGGTGTGATGATTCAGTGCTTATATGCAGTATTGCTGACTTCTTAAGTTTCAGATAATTCATAGTACCATATGATTCAGTTCAGTACATTTGATGAGGGTATCAATCAAATTCGTAGTTGTGTTGTTTCTAAGCATTTTCGATGATGATGCTGTAAGGATAAGGGGATATATGCTTTTTAGTACTCTGATATGCATTCTTGTAATTGGATTTGGTACTTTTCATTTTCATTGTTGTTTTAGAATGCTTAATCAAAGAAGGGCCTCTGTTTTCGCCGTGACTTATGATATTGAAACTTTCAGTTCTTTATCTGTCAATGGATCCTGTTCTGATTTCTCTTTTAAAACTAGAGTTTGCAACTAATGGGCAGTAAAGAACTTAACTCTTCTCAAATTTGAATTAGTAAGCTCTTTTTATTGGGGAAGACCAAAATGGAACATATATTAAGCCTTTAATCCATCCGTCCTTCCCAAAATAATTGTTCTATTTGTTGCAAACTTGCGAAAACAAGTTTGGTTCCTCTAAATTGTAACTCCTTCCAGTTCATCGTTTTTGCCATAGAAGCAGAGTAATCTAGGATTTTCAACATAATAGACTAACTTAAATAGACAATGCGTTACACTTAATAGACAATAGTATAATATAGGATTTTCAGTATCTGCACCAAATCCAGGTTACACTTCTGTGTGAGCTTCAATAGTTTGAGCACAATTAAACAGCACCAATTTGGATCAACAACAACCACAATATGAGATCACGGGAATGCGAGTAGCAAACTGAGGATACCCACATCTGTGAGTTACTCTGATGAAATGATTGTCATATTTATTATACTGATAAAACATTTTGAGACCCGGAGAAAGAAGTACTCCTTCCATTCTAAAATTATTGTCTACTTTACATTTCATTTCTAGTTCAAATTGTACTAAAATTGAAAATGCAAACTGAACAATAATTTCGGAACAGATGGAGTACTATATATGTATATGACTTAATTTGGAAGGTGCCAAATTAGAGTAGTAAACTAGTACTCCTTAATTAGATTTTTTTTCCTATCGTTGGGAACCAACAAGAACATCTTTCTGAAATCCTTCATACCAAGTATCGCCCTATATGCTTTCCCATAGAGTAACGGACTGAGATGCTCAACAGCATTAAGAGCTTCCACGCATTCTCGAAGTATTTGATCATCTGATTTCCAGAAACTAGTGATTATTAATGGATCAACATTCATCTTCTGGCCATCATCATCAGGCGATCCAGATGGTGGTGGCATTGATAAATTTGTACTTGCACTTTGTTGAGTAGTATCCCTCGTTTCTTTAAAAGCATCCAGCTTTTCTGAAATTTCTGACAGAGAATTCAGGATGGCATTAAGAGTGGCAACAACGGAATTCTGATCTTTTGCTTCATCAATATCATCCTTCTTCTCCCCATCGGGTAATTTGACCGATTTCTTGAGACGTTTTGGTGGATTTCGAGGAGGGAAATTATCATCCGCAACATAGGTTGACTCCACGGAATTGTGATCTTGAGGAATCCGTGTTACTGCAGGAAATTCATAAGCCCAAAATTTACAACTAATTAACAGTCTAACACCCTAATAAAATGGTAAGTAAAAAACTTAATAGGTTTCAGGGGATCAGATTGCGAAAAGTTATGTTGGAAACTGAGAGAAATTAAAACAACTTTGGCGATTACCTTTTGTTCGAAATTTGCAGCATCTTTCGGACCTTCCATGTCAATCACTAGATCGCCAATGTGGTTGTTGACTGTTTGTTTGTGTCACCCAATTTTCGTCGGCCCCTTAAAACCAATTAACACAAAACAAAGAAGGGGAAAACCAAATTTAATTAAAATTTGATGTATGCGTGAGATGTAATTTTGATTATGTGGGTGTTGAATCAATCCTTTTGAAGTTGACATTGAAATAGAAGTTGGGGAGACTTTTCGCGGACAACTTTGCCCAGCTCATTGAATTTCCGGGAACTCCCCAATCCCCGGCAATTTCAACTTAAGATACTCATTGAGCTGGGCGGGATTGGGGATTTTCCCCAACCTCCGCCACACCGCCATCCGTTAAAATATGAGCTGGAGAAGAAACATAAGTAGTTTCAAGACATTCCATATATGGCTTTTTTCCTATAATTTCAACATCTATCATTTGAAGATCCGGGCCATCAAAATCATCAATAAGCCACTTACATTTCCCTGAAACAACAGCTAGAACATCGACTGTAGCATTTTGAAGTATTCGTCGACGTGCTGTATTGAAACGTTTTGCTGCCATTCTAGCTGGAGTATCAAGTGTCATTGGGATTGTAACAAGGAAGGGGTTGAGCAGGTTGGTAGAAATATTTGATGTTTGGGATATGGATTTTATGGGTCATTTTCCAAGTTCATTTAGTAATCTCTATATTTTGCTTGCAGTAGATTATGTGTTGAAATGGGTAGAAGCAAAAGCTACTCGAAGTAATGACTCTTAAGTTGTTACAGGATTCCTTAAATCTAACATCTTTAGTAGGTTCGGAGTACCAAGAGCAATCATTAGTGACCAAGGCATCCATTTCTGCAATCGCACAATTGAAGCATTGATGCGCAAATATGGTGTTCATCATCGGGTATCTACTGCATATCATCCTCAAACCAATGGACAAGCCGAGGTTTGAAATCGTGAAATCAAGAAAATTCCTAACCGCAAAGAATGGTGTCTGCGTTTAGAAGATGCATTGTGGGCATACCGCACAGCTTGCAAAACTCCAATTGGGATGTCACCATACAGGTAAGTTTTTGGTAAAATGTGTCATTTACCTATTGAACTTGAGCATCGTGCTTTTTGGGCAGTTAAACAGTTCAACCTGAGTGCCGATGAGGCAGGATTGGAAAGAAAGTTGCAACTTCAAGAATTGAAAGAGATTCGATTGGAGACATGTGATAATGCTCAATTGTACAAGGAGAGGACAAAACTCATTCATGATAAATTCTTGCACAAGAAAGAAGTCCTGTTGGCCAGAAGGTACTTCTTTTCGATTCCAAACTTAAGTTTATGCCAGGAAAGTTGCGGTCAAGGTGGCATGGACCCTTTATAGTTATGAAGGTGTTTCCTCATGGTATGATTGAGATTAAAGGTTTGGAGTCCGGTAAGATTTTTCGAGTTAATGGTCATAGACTAAAACCATTTCTTGAGAATTTTGAAAGTACTTGTGTGAAAGAAATCACTTTGCTTCCACCTATATATGAGTAAGTGAGGTACATGTTGCGTTATCCAAAGACATTAAAGAAAGGTGCTTGTTGGAAGGCAACCCAATAGTTTATTTTTGTTATTTGTTTTGTTGAATAAATCGTTTAGACGGTTAAATTTTTTGTTCTTGATGATCTTGAGATCCATGATTTATTGATTTTCGTATTTTTTCTTAATCATTTGATCGCCATAGCATCATGTTATTTTGATGGGTTGTTTAAATGTGGCAGCTAGCTTTCAAGGAGAATTTTATGGCTAGTCAACCCACGTACGAATGCATGAAAAGCTGTAGACTTGTTCTCCCACCAAATTTCGTTCCGCCCTACAAAATCTCAAGAAAAGTACCGTTTCTTTTTCTTTTACATTATGTGGGATTTTGTATGTGCTTTTCTTGTTTGTCTTTATATGTTTTATACATTGAGGATAATGTATTCTTTAGGTGTGGGGAAGGATTTTGTGTGTTTTGATTTTGTCCTCACTAAATTGCTTAATAGAAGGAATTACACTTCTTTGAAAATTGTCAATAGTTTATGTTGAATTTAATATTGAGGGTTCCATATGACTGTAAAAATACCTGTTCAGGATCACTTTTAAGCAATATTAGAAACTCATGACTACGTCTTTATGCACAACATTCCACTTGACAATGTGTTTGCTTTGGGCTTAAATTTTTAAAATCTTGAATGCTTAATACATTGTTGTGATCTTATACTGGAGTCCACTTGTCTGAAACCTAGGGGGACTGTAAATTTGAGAGTTAGACTAAGGTAATCATACGCATTATGGTAGTCTCGAATCGAGCCTATAGTGGTTTATATTAGCCTAAATACCTTGGGAAAAGGGGAAAGTTGGCGATTGAATATGAAGTTAAGTGCTTTATCTAATGAGGGAGTATAGACGGTGTGTCTAATGTGGCATTTAATTCCTTGAGAGGTGAGATATGACACCAATGAGAGGAGTGTCCTCAGGCCTGGTGAGTTTAAATAGAAATTAAATGCTTAGATTACCATAGTTGCTGGAATATATGCTCTTGGTAAAGGCCTGAGTGGGAAAGATTCAGAAAAAAAAGCCGATGAGAGAAAGCCCTTAGATTTGAAACTTAGTAAGAATATCCTAGTTGAAGACATGAAGGAAATAGGTACTGATCACAAGATTGTCCATTTGAAATTAATTGAATCTAATCTTAGATTGGTCAGTAGGTTAAGCAACACTTTGTTTTGCGGTCTGTTTCACACACTCACGGAAGTGAGTTTCTGACTTGATCAAGTGGTTCTAAACCATGGTGTACATTATTTGTCTCTAATGAGACTAGAATCTGAGAGAAGATTTGACAATTCTCTTTGTTGTTTTTGTGTGGTAGAGTCTGTAGGAAAGGATATTATCATGTTTTCTTTGAGTTGTGTTTGCTTGAGGACAAGCAAAATCTAAGTGTGGGGGAAGATGATAATGTTAATATTAGCATGATATTTGTGGTGGTTCATGTGTTGTTTTGAATATTATCTATGCTAATATTAGTGTTTTGGTTCTTAATTTGATCATGGAGTGTTTTGGTTCTTAATTTGATCATGGGAAGGATTTGGAACAAAAAAAAAAGAAGAAAAGTGTTGATTTTGAAGAGTTTTAAAAAGTTTTGTTGAATCAAGTTTCAAGTTGGAGAATAAGTAATTGATTCTCGTATGGGCACACAAGATTTAAGCCAAAATCAATAAAGGAAGTAGAAAATTCCAGAAACGATGTTGTATTCCCGTGTGGGCATGCGAAAGCAGGGACTAAATTATAATTTATCAAAAATTTTAGGGTCAAAGTGTAATTATTGTAAACTTTAGAGACCAATATGCAAATTCTAAAAACTTAAATTCTCCTCTGTGGATTTTGAAGAGGCTGGACGAGGGCTGCCCTAATATACCATATGTACACTTTGTTTTCATTATTAAGAAAAAAAAAGAAGAGGCACAATATAGAGAGCGACAACTAGAGCTCAGGACAAGGATATCTCTTCGTTTTCGTCAGTTTTAGCTCTGTAATGTCAAACATCAATTCTTGTGTTGTTGATGTCACCATGTTTAGCAACTAAACCTCTTTTCTAGTTGAAGGATTTTATTGAAGATTTGATGTTATTCAATTGTGAGATTTAATCGTTTTCTATTAACCAATATGTTTTAAGTATTTATTAATTTATTCTCTTTGATATTTATTGAAGATTATTTAGCATTATTTGAATAGCTCGTAGCATTCAGTTCTCTTAGATAATCTAATTCATTGAACTACTAAGATTTGTTTGTTCCTTGGAAGTGGCAATGCAATTGATTGCTTAGTAAGTAGTTTATTTGTGTTATGAGAATAAATAATTAATTTTTAATGAAACAAGGTTTGCTTGTTAGAAATTGAGTTGGGTCTTTCCTTGTCGAAAACTAAGTCCTAGGAGGTTCCAGGTTGTGTATTTGGCTATAGAGTGGTTAATGAAGGTTTCTTAATTACTGGTAGTAAATTAAAAGACTGAGTCGTTAGGAGGTTCCAACAATGATAACCAATATATTCTTGATTTGTTGAGTTAATTATTACATCAATGATCAGTTGGATTCATCAAGGTGAAAATTATTCCTTTGACTAGAGTTTTTCTTACTATCGGTTTTCAAAAAGTATTTTTTATCGTTTTCCAGTTTTTTTTTTTCATCCATTAGTTATAAATCTAAAAATTCTCCCATTTAATTACTTTACTTTTAATTAGAGATATTTTTACTTCCTTATTCCCTGAAGAGACGACCCTACTTGTTGCTATACTAATTAAATTTCTTAGGGTAGATTCTTTTATTTTTGTTGGTTTGACAGTCATGAGAGCATGATTTTTATATGTCCAAAGTCCTCTATGAAAGGAGCATTGATTGTGCGGTTAATGTTATTCGGATGGACGGTACAGTACTATCTCTATAGCCCAGACAAACAAATTTACCATGGTAAAGATACCTACATCTGCTAAACTTCGATGGGATTACATTATAACAATCGGGTTTTTCTGGGAGAGTTGGTTGTCCTTTGAAACTCCAAGCAAGTAGGGTTGACGATAAAAAAAAGTTGGTCTAGGATTTTGGTTGTTTAAAGAGACGAAGGCCATATGCATCTGTGATGGAGTGGCTGTCTTCTTCTTTTTTTTTTACTTTATTATTTTGTTGAAAACTTTTGTTCATCCAGGTTTTATCACTTAAATAGAGAAATGTTGCGTTTCCAGTCCAACTGCTCCTGGATAAGCTAGCTTGCCGTATGTTACCCGGGGAGCTCCTCCTCCTTATATCGGACATCATGCAGCGTTTACCGTTGTTTTGTCTCGGTTTGTAAGATACTCCCTCCAGTAGTATATATTTTAAATTGAACAAAAAATCTTAAATATATATTTTCATATTTGTTATATTTTCTTAATTTTTAGAAAATATTTTTATGGATTTTTTTGTCAATTAAAAATACATACTAATTGACATCTATGACGAATCAAAATACTTTATGTTAAGGATCAGAGGGAGTATCTAAGGGTTTTTTTTTTTTTTTCATACCTGTGCTGGTTTCCAAAGGGGGTGAAAAGAAAAACAAAAACATTGGTTTGGTGGAAAAGAAAATACCGCGCTGGATAACTTTTTGGAAAATTTTATAAAGATGAAATCGGTCATGATTTTACTGTTTATTATATTTTGCGCCAAAATCTAGATTTTGGACCCCATTTGTGTCAAAATTTTGAGGGACTTAGATTAAAAATGGTTTAGCCACTAAACATTATTAAAAATAATGTTCATGATCTGATATTCTGAAAAGATAAAAAAAGAAAATTGAAATAATAGAACCGGTGCACAAACGGAAGCCGCAAATATTTGCAGCCGTGGTGCTTGGAGAACAAAAATCCGAAGGTTTTCAAATCCTTCTTGCACAAACGGAAGTTGAACTTTCCGGTTTCGTCACGAGCAAGAAGGAGCAGTTGCTGAACTTTCGAAAGCTTCAGTAAAAATAAAATGCATGAACTTCCTTAATTGATCCAGGTCTTTTCCTATTAATTTCAAGCAAAGATGGGAAGTCCACGTTGAGATGTTTCGGCTCGAGTCAGTTTCATTCTTCTAGAATTAAATGGCCTTGTTTGGACTTTCGATCCTTAGGATTTTGAACTCTTCACTTTTCCTTCTTCATTCAGATTCAAAATTTCAGCAATTCTTTGTTTAAGTAATATTTCTACAAATAAATATTTCCAACCTCTTAAAAAATTAATTCATATTGAGTTTTCAAATTTATACTAGTATGCTACTCTGTTCCAAAAAAAAAAAGAGTTCATATTGAGTTTTTAATTTTATATTATGTATAATTGAAACGATATTGTTTTAAAAGTTTAGGTATTTCAAAAAAATTAGAAACAAAACTATGGTTACAACCTTAATTAAATTGCTGATGTCTTACTAATTATCTACTACTCAACCAGATCACACAATTTTAAATTGATGAACTGATGCGTCTGAATGACCAATTAAGTTGCTAAACTTATACTGATATACATAGCTTTTGATTAACTAGAATCGAAATTCTAAACTCTCAAAAGTTTTTAATCTAAGTAATAAGTAGAGATTAGGATGAATCAGGTATAGATTTAAACGAAATTTAATTTTATATTATAAATAGGATCAAAAGTAGTATTATATTTTTGAGAGCAAAATTTTCAAAAGCATCCTAGTTGTTTTCACTTCTATTCTTCCTCACTACTAGTGTAAGTGTGAAATTTGTGTCAATGAATACCTTTTAAGGATGAAGGAGGAGTGAATATGCCCCTGATCTCTCTCCCTCTCGAACGTACGTACGTACTTACTTTGGTCAGATCATTATCAGCCAGTATTTTCTGCATTTTTATAATCACAGAAGACATTGTAAGCTGAAGATGGAAGCATAATTATTTTATCTTATGGGAGTAATTATCAATGATTATCAATTGCTTTGCTTGTTACTAATGTGGTCGCAAAAGAGACCATATGCTATATAACGTACTCTCAAAGAACCTTTTTTATTGGTGGTAGGCTATAAGTCTCGGTTTGACTGGCAACTAACCACTTCCACCATCGCTTAAAAGTTAAAAGCCATATGTATCCTGGTTTCATTTCCAGTCCAACATCATGTGCTATAGTCCCACCAGCAACGTATAATTTAATGTTTCCTTGGACACAACTTTCATAATCGGACCTTGATTTATCTCTACTCAACTCCAATATTCCCCCAAATAAAAATAAAGAAGAATCTATAGTAATTGATGCATCAGTAAATAAATCCGAATTTGAGTCGGATAATTTTTTTTTTTTTTGCGAAATAAAACTATCTTAACAAATACTTCCCCCGTCCCAAAATTATTGTCCAATTTGGAATTTCTCTTTTAGTACAATTTGAACCAAAAATGAAAACCTAAACTGGATAATAATTTTGGGACGAGGGAGTAGTATTTAAATCACTTAAACAATATTGCATAGTAGTTAAAACGAACATCTTACAACAATTTGAAGCAAAACTTGAAGAATATTATAACTTCACCTTTTCGTTCTTTTTCATATCTTTAGGTATAGATATAGTCATGTTATTCGTATAGTTTTTCATGTAGCTCCCTAAAGTGGAAAGATTAATTTCACACTTTAAAATGGGAACACTGATCCCATCCTGAGAAATTCCTAGGTCAAATCAACCCAACAAATAAAATGATGAATTCTCATTTTGCCTTGAAGCTCAAGCCACAACCTCCAGATGCTCCTCTCCCACGCTTTTGTTCTAGCGCCACTTCTTATACCCCATTTTGTTCCTTCAACTGTTCTAACAATATTTCACCATTTCAGAAAAAAAAAAAAATCATTAAATCCGCCATGACATCGTTCAAATCTCATAGCTTTTTGATCTTTTCATCCCTTCATTACCAACTCAGCCATGCAACCACCGGCTCCGCCATCTTAATTACTCTTATTCTAATCCTCCTCCCAAACTCCGCCGCCGCACAGAATGCAGCTCTTCCATCATCTCCACCGCAGGCACCTTCGAAATCCGACGGCTTCTCTTTTGATCCGAAACTTCGGTTCACTCCCTCCATGGGCATCATTTTAGTCTGCCTCCTTAGTGCTTTTTTCATAATGGGTTGCGTCTCCGTCTCCATCCGTCATTGTTCTCAGCATCACCCGGCCGACGAATTCTTAAGAGAAGACCGGCCACTCGGCGGCTCTCGGCGTCGGACCGGCCGCCCTGCTCCGCTGGCTCGTGGGCTGGACTCTTCTATCGTAGACGGATTTCCCATCTTTAAATATTCAGATGTTAAGGAGCTCAGGATACGAAAAGGAGCCCTTGAATGCGCCATTTGTTTGAATGAATTCGAAGATGAGGAAACGCTGCGTTTAATTCCGGATTGCAGCCATGTTTTCCATCCCGATTGCATCGATGCATGGCTTGCGTCCCACGTAACTTGCCCCGTTTGTAGATCCAATCTGGACCTTATTCACGGTCATGATGATCAAGTTCAAGATGATGATCATGTTGTTGTTCCGGATCCGGATCCGGAGATTAACGGGTCGGTTCTTCAGTTACCTGACTCAGTTCCAACCCAAGGTCTGAGTAACCCGACGCAAGAAACTAGTAATTTGGGTGTTCATATCCATATCGGTTCACCCGAGCTGGTCAACCAGTGCCAAACCGCCGCTCGAAATTTCCCGAAATTACTCCAAGTTGATGGGAAAATCCCACGGTCTTACTCTACCAGTCATGCGTTGGTTCAACCGGATAAAAATTGCGAGAGATTTACTCTAAGATTACCGGAGGATGTACATACCCGGCTGATTAACTCGGAGTTAAGTCGGGCGAAGAGTTGTGTGTCATTTACTCGAGTTAGGAGTTCGACCAAAGGGTTTAGGAGAATTGATAGTGGAGGGGGGACACGGGTTGATTCTAAAAACCGAGGGCGGTTAGGCCGGGTAGTCCGTTCTGAGGACTTTACTTATCCAATTAATCCAGCGTTCTTTTCAAGTGCAAGTCCAACGGTGGCAGGAATAAGTGAAGAAAAACCAACGAAAACTAGCTTAAGGAACTTGTTACGGCCCCCTAAGAGTCTAGAGTGTTTATTTAGTGCGACGGAAGAAAAACAATTTGATGGTGAAAGATCGTTTAATAGACTAAGACCAGATGATAGTTTGGTATAGAATATTGAACCATTCGACTTTACATATGATTGTTTGTTGGTGCTATAATTTGCATGTTATACGTAAAACGTTATAAATTAACAGTTTTACGAATGAGTTATAACGCTGAATTTTTTGATTTTACTTTTTCTTCTCGGTAAATGGTGAACGATCAATTTTGCAAATTGTACACACTTTCATCTTCAGAAAGGTAAACAATTGACGAAATGAAATTGGAATTTGCATGGTGTTTTCCGGACATTTCCGTCAATGACTGATGCGTTTATAGAGAGTTGTATTCAGTTGTAACCAAGCCCATATATGCATTTCCGAAAAAAGAGAAAAAGAAAAATGCCCATATCTGCCATCTTCACAAATAGCAACCATAATACATCAGGAAGCCTAGTCAAACGAGAAGTAAAAAATATGATGCTTTTATAGACTAAACCATATGATGCTTTTATAGACTAAACGAGAAGTCACAAATAGCAACCATAAAAATATAGTATTAGTCGTTTAGTACCACATCTTTTATAGACTAAACCATATGATGCTTAATACGGTTTCATATTTTATTTTTAGAAGAAAGGGCAAAAGAAAAGAAGAGTGAGATTATATCCAAAAGAGAGATACAAAGAGGGGGAAGGTTATAGCTAGCTATTTGGGTTGATTCAACCAACGCAGCAAGAGAGAGAGAGAGAGCAAAATAACAAAATTACTTGGGAATACATATAATATTTCTTTTGTCCTAAAATTTTTATTCATTTATGATCTTTATTGTTAGTATAAATTGTAATTTTTTAGTTTCAAAATGGTTGTCTAATGTAAATTTTTTTTTTTATTTCTAATACAATTTGAACTAAAATTCAAACTCGACAATCACTTTTTTTTAAAAAATATTAATAAAACTCAAATCAAACCATCATTTTGAGATAGAATAATAAGTATCTTTGGCCACGTGATTTCTTTTATCTCGGCAATCTCTACCGATGATCAAGCTAACATTAATGGACTGGGGAGTCGTTCCCTTTTTCCTAGATGTATATGGAATCATGGAAATTATAGTAAAACCACTCTAAATTAATACACTTGAGCTTTTAAAAATTTATTTATTCATCGATAAATTAATAATTATTGATTTATTGACAAATTAATATTCTTTTAATTTAAAGAGTTTTTTCAATCCTAGTAGTAAGAAAATACAAAAAATTATTATTTTTATATGAAGAAAAGACCGCTATAGCCCTAGTCACAACATTAAAATTTTTTAATGGAAAAAAAACATGATATTTTCAAACATAAACAAAACTATTGAAGTTAAAAATTATGTTAACTTCAAATCAAATTTATTATTTTAAGTATTTATTAATTTATGAAAATGTGGGTACCTATATATATTTACATAGGAGATTCTTGAAAAATTATTATCTTATAAATTAATCAAATTTTTTTATTTTTTGTATTAGTCCCGAATTGGGACCGAATAAAAATATTATGTAATAAAGATTATTAATTATTAAGGGATTAATTTATAGAGGTTTTACTGTAGTTCCCGACTAGGATTTGTTCTTCCACAACCTACCCGCCGGATTCTGCTGCTGTGTGATGAAGCCCACCATGCATTGCTAGGGCGTCTTTGAAAAATCAGTGATCACAACAATTAATACTGATGAACAAATGATGGAAAGCTACACTCATGGTCCAAGAATTAAAAAGGTTCATTTTTTTGTATAGACTTGCAATAAAGAAATCCAATCTAATTGACTATGGAGTAACATTGAAGAAAAATTAAAATGTCAAAATAAACATTAGTTAGAATCGAAATTATATTCACATGAAGAAATTTTTTCTATTTAAAAATATGGAGTAACATTGAAGAAAAATTAAAATGTAACATTAGTTACAATCGAAATTATATTCATATGGTAAGTATATATTAGAAGAAGCAAACTGTAGTATATCTTAAGAAAATAACTATATTGTGTATTAGGAAAGTGTGACAGGTTCCAATGTCATGAAGGAGCAAACCAATCAACTATGCCAATTTTTGTCACTCTTAACAACGATTGATACTTTGTGAAGGATCACTCTAAAAGATAGGCGATGGGCAATAGCTGCTTAAATCAATCAACTCCAGCCAAAGGTTTAAAAAAAAAAAAAAAAAACAAAAAATCAGTCGCTAAGTTACCATCTCTATATAATACATGATTTTTGTCACTAGCTAATCTTCGTCGACGAGATCAAACGACAGATTTTAAGGACGGAACAGCATGATTTACGCGTAATACTCAGTGTGGGGACTTAATCTTCGAAAAATACATAAATAGTTGACTAAAACTTTAAAGAACAAAAAAGCGGTTAGTTAATGTTTCAGTAGCTTGAGAAGCCGATCGAGAGAACATGCTCGGACTCGTCATAATAAGTGTATATAATTGTAGAGAATCAGTTATAAATAAAACAAATGAATTATAGATGTTGACATTTTGGAAAAAAACCCAAAAAAAAAAAAAACCTTAACTCATATAATCCAATTTGTGATATTTAGAAAGTCAAACTCCTAGATAATGACTAGATTCAGATTTAGAAATTTCCTTCTTTTTTCTTCACAATGATATAAACAGTGGAACTATACGGCGTGTTCTAAATTCCATCTTAAGGATAAATAGTTATTAGTTCCACTCCATCTTCAACTCAAAATTTCTCTTTCTCCCTCTCAGTTTCTTCATTTCCGACCACCTCTGAAATCTTTGAAGCCAACGGCTTGAAATGAGTTCAAGAAAGAGACTGATCAGAGAATTCACCGGAATTCTCAAAGACAAAGCCTCAATAATGAAAGCCTCCCTAACAACAAGGAGCACCGATTCAGCAATAAAGGTAGCCATCCTCCGGGCAACCACCCACACATCCGCCGCTCCACCGCCGGAACACAGACTCGAATACGTCCTCACCCTCGGCAGCACCGTCGCCCCACTCGCGAGCGCGTGCGTAGATTCCATCATGGAGCGCCTGCACAAAACCCGGAACCCGCACGTGGCGCTCAAATGCCTCTTGGTCTTACACCACATCCTCGCCAACGGTTCCTTCCTCTTCAAGCAACAGCTCTCTTACCATCCTTCCAACGGCGGCCAAAACTCTCTCAAGCTCACGAGGTTCCGCGAAAACCGACACGTCAGCAGCGGGGGCGACGTCGAGGATCGGGAACTTTCCCAATGGGTCCGATGGTACGCTAGTGTTTTGGAACGTAACCTAATTTTGTCGCGGAATTTAGGATGTTACATCGACTTCGTTAGTAGCAGTAACGTGACAAATTCGAAAAACCGTTTTTCGAATTTGTCACGGTCGATTAAGGAGATAGATTGTTTGGTTTCCATGGTCGAAGAAATTTGTGGAGCACCGGAATCGTTACACCATCAAAAAGTGGATTTGGTGTACGAGCTTATGTTGTTAGTGAGTGAAGATTACCGAGGCACCCAATATCACATCATTGCGAGACTCGGTGAGTTGGGATCGAACCGGGTGATCGAGGAGCTGAGTTCGGATGACTCGGCCGAGTTGTTGAGTTGTTTGAAGAGGCTTGAAGGGTGTAAGGAGAGGCTTACGGAGATGTTCGCCAACAGGAAGCGAAACGATGCGTTTTGGAGGTTGGTTAGTCAAGTTAGAAAGGTAATAGAAGAGGTCAATGAGAAGAGGGAAAGAGAAAAGATGGTGGCTTGGAAAAGTGGCGATGCGAATTCGAAAAACGTGGTTGAGTTAACTCGGAATGGTGGACGAGTTAAAGGAGCGAGTCATGGTCACCATCATCATCATCAGGCGATCAAACTCTTGCCGTACGATCAGTCCGGTCAATGGTTAACCGTAGTAAGGGTCTAACTCACAGTGTTTTTGGCTGTTTCTTCTCTATTTCCTCCTTGGTCTGCTTGCTTGGCCGCGGAAGGTTTGTGTCCGAAAATGACAGTGTTCTTATTCTTGTACATACGGGGTGGTTCTAAACTTCTTATACACAACAGTAAAATAAATTGCTTAATTTGCAACTTTTGTACATATTTTTGGGATGAACTTTATTGAGCTCTTTAAGTTTATTGAATCTAATGAGCAAATGGTTCAAAGGTTTGTGTACGCATTTCTTATGTTTCAATTTTAATATAATTTGTATTAAAATGAAAATTCAAACTGAATTATTTTTTCGAGATAAAGAGAGTTGATACTTTTTTCGTCCAAAATGATTATCTTAATTTTGTAAATTATTTTCAATATAATAAAAAAGATAGTTATTTTAAAACGAAAGAAGTACTATTCGATATGAGAAACTAATTAAGTGCGGTTGAGGATGTATACAATGTGTGTGTATAGTCCGTTGATAAGAGTCTTTCTCAACACTATTCTGTATCCAAATGCACTGGTGGAATATTAATGTATATATTGATTTCGTTCTAAAATTATTGTTCAGATAAAAATTTTATTATTTAATGTAAATTATACTCAATTTAAAAATAAAAACTAAATAATCGTTTTAAGACGGAGCGGATAGTATCATTACATATACCCGAATTTATCTTAGTGATTTATTGGAAATGGTATAGCAAATGAGAGTAACTTCTGAAAGGCAAAACCTCGATTTATAAAGTTAGCTAGCGTAGGCAAATTGGACACTGGTTTAGGTTCTTTTCACTACATTGTAGTAGAATGTTTCTCTTTTTCATCTAACCTTCTGTCTATGCTTATTATTCGAAATCATGATTTCTTTTTTTCATTAAACCTTGAAGTGTTTTGTTTGTATCAAACCTGAATCATTGATTGTAAATATATATAGGAAGAACAATTTCAATTGGCGAGTTCATTCTGATTTCTGAATATTTCTCAAGAATTACGTTCGTGGTTTTTCCTACTAGGTATGCTTTTGGTCGTTTCGATTTTTGATTACAAATTGAGCCATATATACATTTACACTTATTCATGACTCACATATAATTCATCCTTTTTTTTTAAAAAAAAAAAACAAATATATCTTATTTTGCCAACTTACAAAATTGACTGAATCGTTTACTAGAGAAAAGTCCATCGTTAAATGGATTTTAATTTATGTGTTGCTTGTGAATATATTCGAAATTTCCTTATTTTTTTACGGGTTGTTGGGTGGACTTGAGAACTTCGTATAAATTTGAAGTCTTTTTCTAGTACAAAACGTTCTTGGTTGAATCATTCAGATAACCACTTGCGTAAGGCACAATTTATTTAATTAACAATATGGCGACTAATACTTTTATTTTTTGTAACATGAGTTTTTTATTAATCGGCCGACAAACTTGAAAAATATAAAAGGAAATGTCTAATTATAGAGCCATTTGACGTTTAAATTTCACCTAATCCTTTATGAATTGTCAGCTTCCTAGGGCTTGGATATGAACGTCTATAATCATGTATGATTATTATAGGTTGGATAGAATTCTAAGAATCCAAGTGGTGCAACACATGCTAGCTAACCACCGTCAGTTTTAATTTTAGGATTTCGTAAAATGGCATTCCTTTAATCCCAGTATGATTATTCTGATAGTTGAAATAGAGAGAGATATAAGATGTTAATCTTTTAAAAAATTGTAGAGCTTCTAATATAGAATCAGTATAAAATTATTGATAAGTTTACAATATACATCTTACTATATTAGAAACAAAAACCACACTTAAGAAAAAGCACCATCATTTACGATGTAACATTCTCACATCATATTTTTAAAATAAATTTTTATCTACACATTAGTTTCCTAGACTTAAAAGACAATTGGAGTCCAAATCTACCTCCACCTCCTATTTTCGCCAAAAAAAAAAAAAACCACGGATTCATAAAACCCGAAATTCTCATCCCCATCTCCACGACAAGCAACTCCCTAATCAACCCCTTCTCCAAAATAAAAAAAAAACAAACAAATTCCTCATCAATCATAAATTGAGAATATGTGGTGAAATATCCTCCTTTCCTATTAGCATGTTCAATCTTTTCATTAATGATGATCAACTACATCCTAATGGGATAAAATTTCGACTTCAAGAAATATTCTCTTTACCTCTATATATATAAACACAAAGGAAAAAAAAAAATTCTCATTGATCTTGTTTCGGCCGTTGTGGTGGTGCCATTACAGGTATTAAAATTTAAATGATTTTATTTTCACAGATCATTTGTTCGGCTTTTTTTATTTTTTGTTTTTCCCGTTCAAGAATAGTATTATTGCTATTATTTTTATGCGACCACCCGTTACAGCTACCATAGCGGTTGTTAGGTAATATGATGTGATTTCTTATATGGTTACAGCTACCATAACCTAGAATTTTTGTATGATTTTAGTTCTGTTTGGATTGAATTGATCAATTGGGTTTTTGTAACAAAGTGTGAATTTTTTTAATTTCTTTGTTATGTTTCATTTTTTTAGAGTGGTTTTCTTTTTTTAATTATAGAGTCTCAGTTTTTTTCGTATATGGTCAGTTTTGAAGTGTGTTTTTTCTTTGTTTAATTGCTTTTGATTTTGTTTCATACTCCCAGTTGACCAATTATTATTGTTATTATTATTTTTTTTAGCAAATGAAGGGTTTTTTTTTTTTTTTTTTTGTGTTCGGGCTTTCAAGAATATACTTTTTTGGATTTGGTTTTTGGACTTTTTTGAGTTACTCATCATATAAATAGTTCAGGTTACTTCTTCTAACTAATTTATGGGAAGTCTTTTATAAATTTGAGGTGGAGAGGGAAGGAATGATGTTTCTATGTTTATTTGTGTTTTTATATATCATTTTCACTTACAGGAAAAAAATAATTTCTCAATTTTTAATGGGCTCTTTTACTTTCTTTGTTTTTATTTTATTTGCCATGGTGAGGTGAGTTTTTTTTTGCTATAACTTGAAATCTATACAAATTTACATTAATTTTCATTCTCATATTTGTGATCAACATATTTAAATAATTAACCAGTTTCAAACCCATATTTTTGATATTTTACTACCTTTAAACCTTTGGAAGAAACAGTTCCAACATTTAAGCGCATACCCTTTGGAGGAAACTTACTACAAAGTTATTATAAATCTCCAAAACTAAGTATTGATTTGACACGACCAATGGAGAACATCAATAAATCATCTTACTAATATTTAAACTTATTAGGATGCTTTTATATTTTGTCTAACATTTACTTTAAGACATATATTTGATCAAGTTTATTTATATTTAATAAATAACACTTATAAAACATTTCTAAGATCTTCAAATATTTCTAAAATGTAACGGGCCAAATACAATTTCTTTTTTTGCCAAACACAAACATTTCTACGATCACACTTATAAAATATTTCTAAATTCTTCGAACGTTTCTAAAATATATCAGGTCAAATACAAAATATATTTTTTTCAAATACAAATATTTCTAAAATCTACAGATATACTGGGCCAGGGGATAAGCGACCAGACATCACTAGTGTATATATATATATATATATATATGCATCTGTATTTTTAATTTTTCTTCTTTACGCTAATTAAAAATTAATGCTGACTGCTTATAATACACAATCAAAAACATAAAATTAGGTGTTTGACTAAAAAGCAGTGGAAATTTGCCATCTGTAAGCTCAACAAAATGTTCTAACAAATAAGAAAGAAAAAAACTGGGGAACCACTGTCTTCTTTCTTTTCTTCCTCCCTATTTCTCCTAAAAGAATTACAATTTGATTTTTAAAAAATTGTATTAAGATATGACAACATCTCGCCTTGCATCCTAGTTATAAAGTGCTCTTTCCCCTTTCTAGTAAATATCCATATACTGACTTGATTTAAAGGGGAAAAAAAAAAGAAAAGAAAAGAAAGAGAGAGACAACATGTTTGTTCAATTGTATCAATTCAATAAATATGATTTTGTTTGATGGGGGAAGAGCGGCAGAAATTCCAATGAATCAATCTATGATGATTGGTCAACTGAAGGTCGAGACCACTTCTGGATATTCATTGCTGCTTTCTTAGCCTGAAAAGTTCCATGAGAGTACTGAATAAATAAAAAGATGAAATGCAAACAAAAGTAACAAACTACTGTATAGCGCATTACAGAAATGTAATCACAAAATTAAAATGCTGCTATAATATTCCATTATTTTCTTATTGTGATAAACTTTGTAGATAAAAATAAAAATGAATAAATTACCTCGTTCTCCCAGTCACATCGAACTAAAATGAGGAGCAATATTATGGTCTGGACAGCTGTTCCACCAAAAATCATTCCGCCCCATATCCCCTGATTTTACACCAGTTTCACAGATGAAATTAGAAACAATGTTAACCCAAAAATCAATACTACTACGTAAATTCATAGATCGGAAATTTTGTGACTGTGTATTCTATTTTTTTTTTTTCATATTTGCATATTCGCAGAGTGTCTACCGTTGCCAACAATGACTAATCCCTCTCGTTAAATTATAGATACTTCGATGGGTGGAACAACTGACCAAAGTATTTAAGGTTGCTCCATTCCCATGGCGAGGTTCGAATCCTCGACCTAGGGTTAAGTGTGAAGGAGTCCATTCCACTCCACCACAACCACTTTAATTTGAAATTTTGTGACTGTATAGTTTTTTTTTTTTTTCATATTATCTTCTATTAGGAGGCATTGGTGGACGATTTGTGACAAACTTAATGGAAATAAATATCCGAAAAAAAAGAAAGCAGGAAGTATGAATGTGAATGTGGACGAAAATACCTCGACGCCCAACTTGACGACCCAGCCCATAATGATTCCAAGAGGAAGCCCAACAAGATAGTAGCAGCCAAGGTTTAGGTAAGCCACACGTGATTGCCATCCCGATCCAACAGCAACACCTGTTTCATTCCACCAAAATTTCTGACATTCTTTTCTTTTTTTCTGTATTTTCCACATTAATCAAACCAATATTTATTCAATTTTTTATGGTACATTTTCTTTAAATAAGAAATATTTGAAAAATATCCGAGTATAAATAAGAGGATTGAGTGAGATGATAAGATCCGGAATAGCATATTAACTCAAGGTGGAGTGTTTAAAACTTACCGGAAGAATAAGAAGAGAAAAAAAAGAAGTAAAAATTGTGTACCTGAGAGGACTGGCTGGATGCTGTTAAGAAGAATGGTGAAGGCCAAAAGATAGGCCATGTGGTCGACGGCTTTAAGAACATCGGGACTGGAGGTAAAGATCAACGCGAATTTATTATGAAAAATCATGATTAGGGCACAGAAGATAATCCCGATCACCGTGGAGTGTACCACCGACACAATCGTCGCGAATCTCGCTGCATTTCCATTTCCGGCTCCTAGCTCATTTGCCACTCTAACCCTGCGAGCACACCCCGCATAAACATTTGTAATGTCATCTTTCGAAATGAATAAGTAACAACAATTTGTAATGGGATTCAATTACGACTAGCTAGTTAGCTATTACTTTACCTGTTCCAAAAAAATTACTCCCTCCATCCCAAAATCATTGTTTAGTTTGAATTTTTATTTTTAGTATAAATTGAACTAAAAGTGAAATCCAAACTAGACAATAGTTATGAGATACAAATCTCAAAATTTAATATAGATTTTTTTTAAAAAAAACAAAAGCAGTAATATATAAAAAAAATCGCATATGAATGTCGTAATGTTTGCAAATTGTTGATGACGTGAAAAGGGCTCAAATGATGTACCCATGTCCCAAAATTATGGTACAGTTTGAGATTTTACTTTTAGTATAATTTGAACTAAAACTGAAAATCTAAACTGGACAATAATTATAGGACGTAGTCACATAGGGAGTATAAACAACATGTCTTCTAAAAGAAAGATCAAAGGATTATCAGGTGAATGAAGAGAAAGTACGTACCCAGTAGCAGCAAAGAAAGCAAGAGGCACCATCATCTCCCAACCACTGATGCTCATACTGTACGTCGACAATTGGTGAGATCGAACATATGACATTATTATTAGAGCATTGATATAAAATCTATAAATGATAAATTATAAGAACAATTTTTGTTATTATTAAAAAAGAAAAGAAAATTAAGAGGCTTTAATTACGAGAGGCTACAGCCAACATGTCTACAGGCTACATCTCTTTTTTAAGTACAGGCGAGTCATGAATTCTTTCATCTCGGCGCCGTCCCAAACCAGAATATAGGCGAAACAGATAGTAAAATGAAAGTTATAATTCAGAATTGCAATATGAATTTTTTTCTTTTCCCGTGATATATTATCACTTTATGATGATGCTAATCAGTTTAAGAAAACTTAACATATGAATAATTAATGTTTTTTGTTGTAAAGGAATAAAAAAAAAAAAAACTTTTGAACGTGCATGATGTATTCAAAATTAATTTTTATTAAATCGCCGCCCATGAAATTTATACAAGGAAAGACGCTCACGTGCAGTGCTCCTACATTGCCTTTTTCATGGCCCCTTTTTCTGAAAAGTACAATTTCAAGCTTAAAGCTGGATTTTTATGGCCAAACAACAACAGTTGCATACATATTTCTTGCGGATGCCTACCATAATTCCTCTGGAAGAAAACGTCAAGACGAACCTAATCCAGTATTCACTCGTTTTAGAATACTCCAATACGTTCCGACTAAAATGATTGTTTAGTTTAAATTTATACATTTAGTAATCTTCAAGTTAAAAATAAAATTCAATTTAGACAATTAAAACATTATTTTCGCGTACAACTAAATTATACACAGAGAGAAAATTATTTTTCCATATTCTGATTAATCCTCCGAATAAAAGTCATTAATTTCGGGTAAATGAAAATGATAGGAATAGGATTCTTTTGTTGTCGTATTGTCTCGTTGGATTGTGTGGAACCAAAACAAAGGATAAAAGCAAAGGGGAAAAAGTTCACAGTCCGAGTCTCACTCACCAAATTGATAGCGCATCCACAGCTATCGTGGCGTTGTCCAAGTAGCCAGGCATCAATATGAGAATTCTGTAATACCAATTTTCCAAGCTGCAATAATTGGATATATATCACACATCAAAACCATATATTAATTATAGGTGGCAAATTCCTAAAAGCATTTAATCAATTTAATTATAACTGGACTTCACTTTTACGTACCCATGTGAAACAACGATTATGATAGTTGTTGAAAGAAATCGTTAACCAAGAACATTTACTTAAATCTAATCAGAATTATTAAAGTGGGATTGAAGTGTAAACAAAAAATGTCAGTCTTTCAAAAATTAGGTTTATTCCGATTTTTTCTTCTTTTTTATTAAATGTAATGGACCTACCAGAGCATGACACCAGAGGCTAAAGAAAGGTTGAGAAATTCCCAAAGACCAGAAAATGCCTGAATAGAAAATCCGGTCCACGTTTCCGGGCAGCCGCCCAAGGCGGCGTATCCGAACAACCCGAAAAAGATGAGCCACCACGAAACACCCAAAACAATCGCAAGTCCAACCACTCCAAAATCAAACACGAAAACGCTGACCCAACTCGCCACGAAATGGAACACGAAACCCGCCAGCGTAACCCAAACCAGGATTTGCGTCTTCAGCTGGCTTTGCAAAAACCTCTGGACCGGAAACTGGAACGCAAACGAAAAATGTAGCGGGATAAACCACAGCGCCACCAGCCCGGTCTGGTCCGCCACGTCGTCCGGTTGCCCGACTGCCTTCATGATCGGCGTCGCGAAAATATAAAGCGGTAAAACCACGATTCCGCATCCGGTTAGAATGATCCATGATCTCTGCATATATACCCCCATCATGCTGTACCTTTTCGCTCCGTAAGCTTGTCCACATAGGGTTTCCAACGCGCTCGCCATCCCTAACTGTTAGAGATGGCGCAGAGTTCCAGAAAAAATATGACTCTTATTTTGAGACGAGACGGAATGAAACAGAACAAAACAAAAAGGCTACGTATGTAGGATATATACCATTAGTCCGAAGGCGAGGCCGGCGATGAAGGTGTTGGCGATGGAGACGGAAGCGAGCTCGACGTTGCCGAGGTGGCCGGCGAAGCTCTGGGTGACGATGTTCATGGAGAAAGTGGCGATGCGGCTGAAGATGCTGGGACCCACAATGTGCCATAATTTTTTGGACTCGATCCAGATGCTATTCTTATCACCATATTGATCATCTTCTTCATCATCATGAAGACTGTTAGCTTCAATGAGTGGCTGTCGATTTTCTTCACAGCCACTATCCATGAAGGAATTATTTTTATTTATTTATTGATTTATCACAATAAATTCTCGTATAGGAAGGTTTGTGATCAATCACAGTCTTTGCCCACTGGGAGTATAGTTCATGAGAAGAAGAAACATTTAAAGATGGAGTCGTTCACGTAAAGATGTCAGCTAAGTAAAAATCATGTGCAATCTTTTGGCAGCTTGTTGCGAGGTCTATTCTTTGGGTATTTAATTACATTTGTACTTTTTGCAAAAAGGGAGTTAGCAGATTATTTACTTTAATGAAGTTATTTTGGATGGACTAGGAATGGGAGAGAATCTGACTTAAGGGATTAGGTGTATGTGGTGGCTTATTGTTTTTTTCTAAGGAAAAAAAAAACGTTAACTTGTTTTAGCAACATAACTATACAAGTTAAAAATGAAAAGGATTGGTGGGAAGTAGATTTACGTAATCTGAGACCAAGTGAAAGAAAATTTATGTTACACAAAAAAGAGCAGCACTCCCCATGTCCTTACTATAAGACATTTTGATTTTTTTTAAGTTTTATTTACTGTGTTCATCCAATTAAAAATAAAACTTTAAAATATATATTCACATTTATCGTGTCTACAAATTATCATAAATCAATTTTAAAATTTTATTTCTAATTAGAAAAACACGATAAATGGAATTTATGAGAAATAAAATAATGTCGTATAATAAGAAAATGAGGGAGTCATCTCTTTTTTGTGTAACATAAGTTTTATAGTATTCTATTTCAACGCGTAATAGATCGTTCATATGGCATTTTCACCATCACTATGCTTCATACCATAAATGCGCTTGAACATGACTTGAACGTTAGCTGTGAGAATGGGGAAAAGTGACTGAACTATTATTGATGATCTCATTTTGTAAAATTGATACCACTTCATGTAACACGATCATAAACACGACTCATTTTTTCTTCATCATGGTGACTAGTGAATGGTGAGGACCGTGAGGTGGTTGGTGCAAAAGTGAAGTAGAACTGAAAAATTCGGAAGCATTTATTTTGGGCAACAAAAACGCGGGCTTACAAAAGCAGGAGCGGCAGAGGTAAGCAGAGAGCTGGGTTGGACCATTTGGTTGGCAAACCATTCAGAAAATTCATTTATTGCTTACTTTATAGTATACTCCCTCCGATCCTCATTATAAGACATTTTGATTTCGTCCTACATTTCATTTATAATATCTTTTTAATTAAAATAAAAATTTTAAAAATATTATATAATAATTAGGAGAACATAACGAATATGAAAATATATGTTTAAAGTTTTTTTTCCAATTAAAAAGGCATCCTAGATTAATTCTAAAAAGAAATCAAAATGCTTTATAATAAGGACCGGGGGAGCGAGTATTCACTCATTTGAAAATCAGCTTGAGATCCAAATTTCCACGGGTCACTTGTCTGGTATCAATTCGAACGAAATACAGACATACTAATTATTCTCTGTATGATTCAGCAGCCTACCGTTTCATTGCCAGGAATTCTGAGTGGTATAAATTACGGTTACCATGACCACATGCATACCTGCCTAAAGTACAAATTAATGGCAACCCAAATTATGAACTACAAGTTAACACTTACTGTAGTTCATATATAACTCCATTTTTACTAGTAATATATTGGCATCAATCTTATGGAATATGTTGGTAATAATTTTCCCTTGTAACATATATTTTATGATGATTGTATTATTACCGTTCTAATGAAGATAATCAAATCCGAAAGTCAAAATCGGATACAACTCAGTTCTTTCAGGAAAAGGGTTTCTGTTAGTTTTCTTACCTGAAGACTTGAAAGGCAGATTCGATGGAGTGCATGCTTTTGAATAGAATTAGAGCAAAGAAGATTATGTTGATTGGGGATTTCGTGAGCCACGATCAATATGACCTCAGTTCGATCCTTGATGGTGCATGGAGCAATTAAGAGTTTGAAATCCGTTACATGTTCAAGGTCAGAAAAGTAACAAAAACCATATACTTCTGGCATGCAGCAAAGTGAAAAAAATTGTGTACAAGCTCTTTGCAGCTGATCGTGAGGTCTATTCGTTGGGTATCTAACTATACTTGTACTTTTGGTTAAACGGGTTAGGACTACGTAATAGTCTTTTTTTTTTTTTTAAAGACATTATCTTGTTTTAGCAAATGATTATATCAGTAAAATATAAAAAGGATTGGAGAGAACTAGATTTACGTAACATGAGACAAAGTGAAAGAAGATCGATGAATTATTATTTTTATACGTCACTTTTGTGTCACATTTCTTTCACTATTCATTCGAATTCTCAACGCTTAAATATAGTACACATACATGTGCATCACTGTCTTCATCACACCATAAAGGCACTTAAACATGACTTGAACGGAATGTAAGAATTCGGAAAATTTATTGAACGATTGATGACTATGTAAAGTTGGGTGCTTGCCCCAAAAAAATCTTGTTTGGTTAGGAGTTAGGAGAAGCCAGAACTTTTTTTTTTTTTGTGTGTGGCTATTTTCTAGGCAAATCGGATTAGCAAAATCCGATTTCTTATTTTAATTAGTAAATCAAATTTCAGATATCCGACTTCTATTTTTTTATTAAAATATTATTTATCTATAATTTCAAAACGACGGAAAATTAATAAATTACAAATCGGATTAGGAAAATCCGACTTGCTTTAAATATTTTTTTTTTAAAAAAACCGGGAAATCCAGCTGTGTATGTGCGGGAAATTTTTGAACATTAGTCGGATTTTCAAAATCCGACTTATATTTAATATGATAGATTGGTGTAGTTAAAAACAATAAATACTAACGGATTGGCAAATTCCGATTTCAGTAAAAACGGATTCCAGGAATCCGATTTTGTTCTTAAAGCACATTTTGGAAATCCGTTTTCACTTAAGCAAGATTCTCTAATTCCGTTTTTATAGTAAATTCGGATTCCTAAAATCCGGTCTTTATTTATTATAAAAGAGTGGAAAACGGGTTTTACTGTTTACAGATCGAAATTTTGTTGAGTTCTTTGTGTAATTGGGTTCTTTCGATGGCGATTTGAGAATCTTCTCCAAGGATTATCAGAAGTAAAGTCTTGAATCGTCATATCAAAAGGAGGTTAGTGATGCTTATTATGGTTTTTGAATAGAATGAGTGATGTTTTTAATGTGAAATTTTGATTATGGACTATTGTTTAGAGAACCATTGTTTATAGACTATGGAAATTTTGATTTCTTGCCATTTTGTATTCAAAATTTGATGTTTTATGCGTGTTATGGTTGATTTGAGAATGTATGGATATACACGTCTGTTGAACATGATGAATTTGAAACTGTGTCTTTTTGAGATTTTAGTCTCTATAATGATTAATATATTGTTGTGGATAAATAAGGATGCTGTGTAAAACCATTTATGATTGGTTTGCATTTAGGGTTTAAGTAGGTGTTGTTTATTTACAATGCATTGTTGAATTGTAGGAATTTAGGGTTTAGCATGTTTTTTCTTTGTGTTTAGGATTTAGGTTTATTCGGATAAAATTATTCATAATATTTGACAAATGATTGTTTATTTAATCAACAGATGTAAATAGCGTTTAACGGCTGATACATTCTGAATGTGTTTTAGACGAGTAACTTTGTTATAGAGAATGACGTTATTAATACTTTTAATAACTTAGCTGATGCATCTATGGTGATTGAGCGTAGATTGTCTTACAACGAATTGGTTGGGAGGATTTGTGAAAGAGTTGGGTGGGATAGAGAGATTGAGAAATTGAACATGTCACTATTGTTTGATAGTAGCGGTAACGGGTCAAGGCATTACGCTACAATCAAGGTTGAACCATCATTAGAAGTCTTGTATTTTCTTTCTGGAAGTGCATGGTTGGATTTGTATGTAGACACAAAGGATATTACTCAGTCTGAGAGGGCATAGAACCCAACAAGCAATGTGCATGGTAATGGTTCACGCTGAATGGGGACGGGTACTTCTCGGTCCATTGATGAAGCCGGGACTAGTCGGGACGGGTCGTTGTTTCAAAATCCGGCTAATGAGGATTGTATGGAAGACCACAGTGATCCGGGCTACGAGGACCCGACTAATGAGGATTATATGTATTACACTGATCCGAACGATTCGGACTACACATTAGGGAGTGGTGAAAGCAAGGAAGGGCGTTCAGTGTCTTCAGAAAGTGATGATAGCGGTTATGAAGCCAAGGAGTTTGAAGAAGAAGAATTAGTAGCTTCTGTACCAGGGCGGCACATATATAGCGAAATGGGCAAATGGGATCCGTCCAGTGTTGGTAGAAATTAATTCAGTCTTCCTAAGTGGGATGGGACACCCGATTCTATAAAGTTAGGTACTTGCTTCAAGAATAAGAAAGAAGTGCATGATGCTATAAAGGCGTGGAGTGTTTCAAGACAGAGGGAGTATATGGTTAACGATAGTGATCGGAGAATGTGGGCTGTGGAGTGCAAATCTTTAAGACACCCTCCTGTTGAAGGTTGTACTCCATGTTTGTGGCAGATGTGTGCCTCATTGAAGGACCACGGGTTGTGAGAAATGGTGAAATGGAGCAATGCACACAATTGTTTGAACGCCACTAAAAAGAATAATCATTGGAATGTGAGTGCTTCATTCATTGCTCAACTCATCAGGCGTAAGGTTAAAGTCAAAACGGATTATAGTGTCGCGTCAGTTCAAGCCCATGTCAAAGAGATATTAGATGTGGATGTTAATTACAAGAAGGCATGGCACTGAAGGCAAAAGGCAATCGAGCTTGTTTATGGCGATTGGGTCTTAAATTTTGTGGATCTTCCAAGGTATTGTCTTTTTTATTTTTTTTTTATGTTAAAGCGTATGTAAGTATGTTAAGATTGTTTAGTTGTGTGTCATTGATTACATTCTGTTTTATTAATCGTTTAGGTACTTGACAGCACTTGTAAAGAGCAATCCGGGTACAGTGGTAGAGTGAGAGTGATAAAAAGATTGAACCCATAAAGAAAGGACATTCATATATGTCTTTTGGGCATTTAAACCTGCTATTGATATGTTTTGAAAATGGCCCCCGGTTGTTAGTATTGATCGCCCTTGCGTGGAGGTTACAAGGGGAAGTTACTTGCTGCAATGGTCAAGACCGCGAATAAACGTATATTACCAATCGCGTTTGCGCTCGTAGATGAGGAGACCGAGGAAAGTTGGACGTTCTTCTTGAAACATTTGAGACACCGGATCGTAAAGGATAGAGTTGTTTGTATTATATCCGACCGGCACAAAGGCATCATCGCTGCGATGACCCATATGGAAGACCGGAACAAACCTGGTAAAGCATATCACAGGTTTTGTCTTTGACACATTCGCAGCAACTTGGAAGCTACATTCAAAAGCAAGAGAATCCGACGGTTGTGTTGGGAAATGGGCAAAAAGCTTTCATTAAAAAAATTTAAAGAATGCAGGTAAGAGTTGCGTGAATTCAATGTGAAAGCCCATCGCTATCTTCGGAAAATTGATCTGTGCCAATGGACTCTTGTAAAGGATGGATACTATCGTTGGGGTAATTTGACGATGAACATATCTGAGAGTTATAACAACGTACTCAAAGGTGTCCGTTTCCTCCCTATTAGAGCTTTGGTGGAAGTACCTTTTCACAAGATCGTGCTTTTGTTCCTGGAAGAATATCAAGTATCGTTAAAATGCATCACTCCGGTCCCTACGGAGCTGTGGAAGGACTTTGTGAAATATGAGAAGAGAGCTGCATGTCACAAAGTTGATAGTTATCCGAATGCTTAGTTCAAGGTGACAACAAAAATGCGGTTCAGCGGTAAGGGTGGCAACACGCAAACAGTGAGATATCAACAGAAAAAATTTTCTTGCAAGAATTGGCAAGAGTACAGGATGCCTTGCTCACACGCACTAGCTGTGTGTCGTGACATCAGAGATCAACCAATCAATCTAGTGGATCCACATTACAGGACGGTGGTATGGCGTGAACAATTTAGCGTTCAGGAGAACTTTTCTCTGGTTCCTGATGAGAAAAAATGGCCTCGCCCACGTTGGAATCTCATTCCGGATTATGAACGGATCGTCATGAATGCTGGATTGGGGCGGAAGCAAAAAAAGAGGTTGAAAATACAAATGGATTACAAAGGATGCAAATCACGAGAAGAATGTACCCGATGTGGCTCCCAAGATCATGTTGCATCTGCGTGCCCAAAATCCCACCGCCTAGCTGATAGAACCAGAATCAATATCAATTCCGGTTATTGTGGTTGTTTTCATTATATTAGTTCTTGTCAAACTTGAAACTTGTTGTACTAATTCAGAGATTGTTGCGACCTATCCTATGGACATCGTATTAGTCTGAAATTGTTGGTTCTAGCTGTTTGCACATTATAAAAACAGGAAATGGTGCACATGATAGCGATTGCAGTCATGTGTAAACTTCAAAAAACTCGGATCTACAAAATCCGACTAGGGTTTATAATCGGATTATAAAAATCCGACTAGGGTTTAAATCCAGATATAAAAAAACAGTTATACTTAAATCGGATTCCGACAATTAGTTTTTAAATCGAAACCGGATTTCTTGAATCCGATTTTGTTCTAAAATCGGATTTGTAGCAGAAATCGGATTTCGTCAAAAATTTGGAGTTTTTTGCCAAACTATCTGTTTTTATCCAGTTTTGAGAAATCCGATTTATGGAATTCGGATACTGGAAATCCGACTTAATGCATAATCGGATTTCTATATTCTGGTTTTCGTTGAAATCGGATTTTAGTTAGAAATCGGATTTCGACCAAAAATGGAAAATTTGGACAAACTCTTTGTTTTTATCCGATTTCTCAGAATTCGATTTTTGTGAAGTCGGATTTCTATAATCTGATTTAAGCTGTACTATATATAGCTTGACTAAAACCCTTGACCTCAAATTCTTCTTTTCCCTTCGACTTTCAAAACCCGGCGACGACCCGGCGATACAACCCATCAATTCGCCCGTCGATTCACCTCCAATCCAATCCAATCGACTCCGGCCAGGCAAATCCAATCGAATCCCACCATCCAAATCGAAGCTTCCATCCCGACGAATCGTCAGTTGATGAGTACCGTACCAAGTATCTGACCAGAGACAGTGAGCTTAATACGATGATTGACTCGGTATTCAATAGCTCCTTCACTGCCCTCACTATTGGTCGTGACGCTTTGAGCATGGTGTCTAGTCAGAGACTTGTAGAAAATCAACTGACTCTATCCCAACAGCCGCAAACCCCTCAAAAAAAAGGTCCCCAAAAGAACATTGGAGGTGGAAGAAAGAAACGTATGCCTCGTCCCTTACATACACCAATCAAGCGCGGATTGGAGAATTGTTCTATTTCGTGATCCCATGATAGTCAACGAGGAAGGAGATGATGAGGAAGAGGATGAGGAAGAGGGCGAGGAAGAGCGCGACGAAGAGACTACAACCCCTCGTAAAGAATCCTCCCAAACAAAGAAAGCACGGCGTATGGGCTCTAGGAAGTGTTCAAAAACTAAAATCTTTAGTCCGCCTTGAATCCGGTTGGAAGTGCAATATTTTGGAATGTAATTTCAACTTGTTTAGGGTTTTACATTTTGCCTTTTTAATTTGAACTTGTTTAGGGTTTGGAGTTTGAATTTTTAACTCTTCTATGTTTTTAAGACAACTATTATGTTTGAAATAGTATGTGGTTTCGTTTTGTGATATTTTGTGTTGATTGTTTTTCGTAAAATCTGGTTTTCTGCTGTTGGTACAGGTTTGACAGGCTAAATCGAAGCCCTGTTTTTTTCAAGTGTTCTATTTAAAATCGGAAAAGCAAAATCTGATTTTCATCTCAAGATAAAATCGGATTCTGGACATCCGAATTCAGAGAAAATGGATTCCAGGATTCTGTCTTTAATAAAAACGGAATTTCAGAATCCGATTTATAAATTCTTTTTAATTTCCTGAAATTATTTAAAATTTCTTTATTAAAATAATATTTTATTGCTAGAAAATCGGATTCATGAAATCCGACTTAATGCTAAAATGTCATTACGAACTGATTAATTCCGAATCCAATCAAATTCGGATTTCAGGAATCCGTTTTGTTGGAAAGTCGGATTTTAGAAATTCGACATGCCTATTTTTGGCATCTCCGTGTGCCGATGCCTAGTTCTGTCTTCTCAGGTTTGGGGAGTATGTTTTGTGGGCAAAAACTCATGTAAAGTTATACCTACTACTAAATGACGTGACAAGATTAAATAAAACGCGACTCATTTCTTTATGGTGAGGAATGTGTACACATGATCTTAAGTTTTTTTTTTTTTTTTTGAAAGGGTATATGATCATGGGTTGATGCACTGAAACTTGAAAGAGTACTGTCGTACGAACGAAAATTTAATTAAAGAGAATTTATTTTGGGCAACAAAAATTGGGCTCCATTTGGGTTTAGAAAAAGCAGCCACAGAGGTAGGCAGAGAGAGCAGGTTGGGCCACTGGTGACCAAAGCAATCAGAAAATTCATCTGTTGCGTATTGAGTTCTGTTACACGTAGTTTGGGTCGTAAAAAATTAAAACCAGAAGAAGTAATTTGAAAGATTTGTGACCTGAGAAATATATCGCCTTTGGTTGTGAATAATTTACACTTCTACAGCATCTATTATGGCATGAACAATGGGGTTCTAATGGTAACGTCAGGACCACTGATATCTTGGACTATTATCATAAGAACTCAACAGATACTCCTATCACTCCATCTATTCCATAAAAAGAAATCCACATTACCATTTGTGAATTTTACTATTTGTTTACAAATTACAAATTTTTTACAATGTGAATTATTTTTTGTAAAACATTACAGATTGTTCCAAAGAAATTCAATGGACAGATTTAGAACCTTAAGTCGTAATTTTAAAACCGTGATTAAAACGTATAAAGTTTTGTTTCATTTCAATTATTTTATATAATCAGAACAGGCTATTCCGGAGCATGAACTAATTATTCCAGAATGATGATAATATCTATTGGCATCTTATACTCCACAAATTTTGTCCCAAGTAAAATTTAAGTGCAATGGTCGTTCTCGAAAAGAGAAAAAGTAATGACGGTGTTTTTTTCTTTTACTTTTTTTGTTCTCCTGTATGATCAGAATTATCATAGAGCTCTATGAGTTTCCTACTTTGGCATTCATGGTTGAATCTAAGAAAGAACTCATACAGGGAATAAAGAATGGAAAAACCCTAAACGTGAGATTTGATGGAAATGGTTACGAAGAGATTGGTTTCAAAATTTGAGTGATTAGATTGACGGAACAATAATTGGATTGACGAGAATTACTAGCTATACAAATAGTCTAGTGGCAGCCCAAGTGATATGCTTATATTTTACCTATTTATAATATCCCTAATTTGTGATTTTTGCAATATATTTTGAGTACAAATATGCTATTTATATGATTTTATCTTTATTTGTAGGTTTTGTACTTAAAGGGAAGAATTGTTGAAGTTTTGGACTAAATTGAAAAGAAAGAGCAACTAAAAAGGGCCTAAATGAAGATTGTAAGAACTAATGATGAAGAAATCTCAAGACTTGAAGATTTGGAGGACTGAATTACAATTTTTGTTTTTCTTCCTATGATTTGGCCGAGACAAATTGTTGTGCGGCTGTTTGGAGTTGGATTTCGACAAGAATTTTAATCCCAATTTTAATTGGAAAATAAGTTTTCTTATCCTCCAAGAAATAGGGTTAGAGAAAGGCCTATATATAAAGGAAGTTAGAATTTCATTTTTGGGACGAAAAAGAGCACAAAAATATCATCCAAAAAGAAAACCCTTCAGCCCCCTCCACACGACAACACACTTTACACCCCATCACCAAAACTACACTCCATCACCAAAACTACTCCCATCACCACCGAACTCCGACGGCCACAAAACTCCCACACCTCCACGCACCAAATCACCTCACGCCTCCATCATCCATCACACCTTCCTGCCACCAAGCCCTTTCTCCACCATAATAACCCCCAGCCCACGCAAAACAGCACCAAAACCCGACCACCTCACCTCACCGATTTCAACTCCATCATCTACGAACAAAATTAACTCTCCAATATTAACCCACGCGACCAGCGCCTCATCACCTACGCACCATCATCGCCAAGAGGAGCAGCATTGGATCAATTTTCGGACTCAATTTTGCGACTTCTCTCTCCCGGATTTCATTGTTTTATTTATTTTTGAGATGATGTGTAGCTAAATTATTTAATCTAGGGTTTTGGATGTAGCCGTCGTACTATTTAATTTAATTTAAGTTATGATTGTGACTTTTTCATTAATTAATATTTATTATTCTTGTTTTCCATCCATGTGAATACCTGATCAATATTTGCATGCTTTAAGGTGCTAGCTGAAGTAGCGAAAGTGGAAGGCTAGTATTAGTTTGTAGGAATAATAAACTTAGGTAGTGAGCCACGCGAGTAGGAACACCGCCTTTGCGACTAGTAATTCCAAAGTTCTTAATGTGCTTTTATTAATCCCTATAGTCACGAGAGTAATCATAGGGTTAGTTTAAGTAAGAGGGTTATGACACGAGAGTGTTTTTTAAATTGGTGAATTTTCGTGAGATTAATGAGAGTCGAAAGTCACATATCTATAGATTAAATTAAACTGAATAGTCGGTTGGTGAACCCTTTGCCCTAGGTTTTTCTTTTACTTATTTATATCTTTAAATAATTGCAATTGTTAGTTTTAGGTTTAGAATAGTTTACAATTGATAAATTGTTAATCTAAATAATAATAAGAAATAGTTTTAACCGGTACTTAGTAACCTTCTTTGTGGGATCGACCCTGATTACTAGTAGTAAAGTAGCAAGCAGGGTCGATCTCACAAAGAAGGTTACTAAGTACCGGTTAAAACTATTTCTTATTATTATTTAGATTAACAATTTATTAATTTTAAACTATTCTAAACCTAAAACTAACAATTGTAATTATTTAAAGATATAAATAAGTAAAAGAAAAACCTAGGGCAAAGGGTTCACCAACCGACTATTCAGTTTAATTTAATCTATGGATATGTGACTTTCGACTCTCATTAATCTCACGACAATTCACCAATTTAAGAATTATACACTCTCGTATCATAACCGTCTTACTTAAACTAACCCTATGATTACTCTCGTGACTATAGGGATTAATAAAAGCACATTAAGAACTTTGGAATTATTAGTCGCAAAGGCGGTGTTCCTACTCTCGTGGCTCACTACCTAAGTTTATTATTCCTACAAACTAATACTAGCCTTCCACTCTCACTACTTCAGCTAGCACCTTAAAGCATGCAAATATTGATCATGTATTCGCATGGATGAAAAACAAAAATAGTAAATATTAATCAATGAAAAAGTCACAATCATAACTTTAAATTAAATTAAATAGTACGGCGGCTACATCCAAAACCCTAGATTAAATAATTTAGCTACACATCATCTCAAAAAAAAAAATAAAACAATGAAACCCGTGGGAGAGAAGTCGCAAAATTGAGTCCGGAAATTGATCCAATACTGCTCCTCTTGGCGATCATGGTACGTAGGTGATGAGGTGCTGGTCGCGTGGGTTAATATAGGAGAGAGTTAATGTTGTCGTAGATGATGGAGTTGAAATCGGTGAGGTGATGTGGTCGGGTTTCGGTGCTGTTTTGCGTGGTCTGGGGGTTACTTATGGTGGAGAAAGGGCTTGGTGGCAGGAAGCTGTGATGGATGATGGAGGCGTGAGGTGATTTGGTGCGTGGAGGTGTGGGAGTTTTGTGACCGTCGGAGTTTGGTGGTGATGGGAGTAGTTTTGGTGATGGGGTGTAGTTTTGGTGATGGGGTGTAGAGTGTGTTGTCGTGTGGAGGGGGCTGAAGGGTTTTCTTTTGGGATTATATTTTGTACTCTTTTTCGTCCCAAAAATAAAATTCTAACCTCCTTTATATATAGGCCTTTCTCTAATCCTATTTCTTGGAGGCTAAGAAAACTTATTTCCTAATTAAAATTGGGATTAAAATTCTTGCCGAAATCCAACTCCAAACAGCTGCACCAACAACTTGTCTCGGCCATATCATAGGAAGAAAAACAAAAATTGCAATTCAGTCTTCCAAATCTTCAAGTCTTGTGATTTCTTCCTCACTAGTTCTTACAATCTTTATTTCGGCCCTTTTTAGTTGCTCTTTCTTTTCAATTTAGTCCAAAACCTCAACAATTCTTCCATTTGAGTACAAAACCTACAAATAAAGATAAAATCATATAAATAGCATATTTGTACTCAAAATATATTACAAAAACAACAAATTAGGAATATAATAAATAGGTAAAATATAAGCATATCACCAAGTCGACAAAAGTGTTTGTAGAAGAATTTCACGTCTCGTCGGCTTAAATAGACCGATGACTGGGTCGACAAGGATATTTGTAGAAGAATTTCACATCTCGTCGATTTGAGCATCAGCCCCCAAAAAGCTAGATGGCTAAGTCGACGAAAATCTTTGCATAAAAAATTACTCTTTCGTCAATTGGAAT